TGAAAAAAGCACATGGGCCTGGAATGCCTGGAGGGCCTGGAGGGCTTCGGGTCGATGCACTCCATGGATTCTCATCCTTTGGTCCTACTAGTCGTGTAATTTTTTCATGTGAAAAGGTACCCTCTGGTAATGACTAACATAGCGAACTGGAAAATCACCATTTTTAATGGGTCAAGCAACTACAAATGGGCCATTTTCAATAGCCATCTTAGTTTACCAGAGGGTAATGACAAACATGGGTATGCTCCTGAATTTCTCTTGGGTAGCCAGGCACCTTGAATTTAGGCACTTATTCTGTCACCTGCAAACCATATGTTGCATAGTTTTGTCCTCTGTGCAGATCTCCATGTGTGTTTTTTAATCCTAATTTTACACGATGTTGCTTAAACCTAAATTTCCTTGACCGGATCCCATCATGTGTTGGTGCAAAATTCTTAAGTTGTTTTGGTTCCAGCTCTACAAGAATACATGTTGATTTATTCTTTGTATAATATATATATATTATATATATTATATATATATTATATATATTATATATATATATATTATATATATATTAAATATTAAATATTATATATCTTTATTACATTGTCATCAAACCACGTGCAGTACATCAAACACAGTATTTTAGCATCATGCAACTCGTACAGTTTTTGAAGTTTTTGCATGTTTTTGCGCAGAGCGAACGTGCTGGGCCGGCTGTTGGGGCAAACCCTCAGAGAAGCCCCAGCAAAAAAACAAAACATCTATATAGCAATATATGATTTTCAGATATTTTTAGAAAATAATGTGAACATGTACACACGCACACACACACACTCATATATATATAATATCCATCATATTGATATTATAGTGTAGTATACCGATTAATGTCATGGGACCCTATTGTGAGTTTTGTTTTCCAAAAATTATTGAGTATCCTGCAAATGGTGGAGGTGGCCTCTATTGTATTGTGAGTTCTTTTTTCTCAGATCCATTTTTGTCAGGAGGAGCTTCATCCACCTTTATACACCTTTCTTTGGGTAAAGCTGGTCCATTTACTTTAGGAAGCCATATCCACGGTAAAGCCTTGAACATGCAAGGTTCCCAAATAATTAAATGCCTTATTAAACCCTTATTACAAACAGCACCCAAACAATTTTCAAGGGGGTACCCCATGAATGGCCCAGATCCGCAATAATGTAATTGTTTGGATGGTACCCTATTGTGCATAAAAACTGTTGGGGCCTGGGGCGATTTCTTTTCAGATTTAAAAGGAAAATCAATTGAACGTAAATTCAAATGAATTGAAAGTAAATTCATTTCAATTGAACTATTTTCTTATCAATAGATTTCTTTGAGGTTTAAAAGGAAAAGCAATTGAAAGCAGATTGATTTCAATTGAAATCATGTCTTAGCAATACGTAGATCTATAGATTTCTTAAGGTTTAAAAGGAAAAGCAATTGAACGTAAATTGATTTCAATTGAAATCCTTTATTAAGTAGTTGATCATCCTGAGTTCTCTGGACCTGGTCCCCAAGAAATGCCGAGTTATTGAGTAGACTAAAATTCTTTGAGGGGGGGCCCTACACTAATCAGTATCCAACATATATAATATCTATCTTATCTAAATATCTAAATATAGATAAAAACTGTTTAGATAGATTAGATATAATGTATGTTTTAATATCTATATCTAAATATATATATATATATATCTATATCTATCTCTCAAAAAATACCTAGGTCGGCATTTTCCCTCGACCTCCCGTTCCGGCCATTTCCGGCCTCAGGTGGCCTCGCCCCCACCCGTGGGTTTGGCCTTCATTCCGCCCATGCTGGGCAGCTCGCGCCGCGCCGCCAGCCCTCGGGCGGTGTATCAAGTCTCACGGTCGCCTTCGCCGGCTCCTTGGCCGAGAGGCTTTAGTCAAGGGTTGGGAATCCTTCAAGATCGAATAGATAGATAGATAGATAGATAAATAGATAGATAGATAGATAGATGTGTGATGGTGATGATGATGATGATGATGATGATGATGATGATGATGGTGACGATGACGATGACGAGGACGATGACGGGACTAATAATTTTATAAGGGAACTAAGAATTACAATGGATATCAATGGATTATGATGTGTTATGGATGAGAAATGGAACAAAGAATGATAGGGACAAACACATGAATTATCATGGATTCTAGCCATGAATGCCATGATTTTTGGACATGTTTGGGGTGCAGAGGATTACCATAATTGTTTGCAAAATGTTATACAAAGTGCAGAGGAACGGTACCCGACAAAATGATGGTGAATTTACCGTCAACTAGTGCTAAACAAACTGGTGATGAGCAGCTCAATGCAATTGATATCATGATAACTATCTCATAATGATAACTATATGATATTAATGGGTATATAATGGGCATATCTATCTCATAATGTGTTATAATAATTGAATCGTTTGCTCTTTGTATGGGAATATGTCTAGGCAATGGCCATGGTTGGCCATGGAGATTTGACCCAAAAAAAAGTGGCGAATTGTGATGGCTGGACCGTAGAGCAAGCAATGACGGGGGAACGGGGCCAGCGGCTGATGGCAAAAAACCAAGATCTCTTCGTATAGCAATCTATATGGAAACTCCCCCAGTAGAAATTGATGACTTTCCTGTTGCAACTGCTTCTCGCTAATTTTCTTGGTCTCAAGTGAGTGAAATCGGGAGAAATCCGGGACCCATCTGAATCGACCTTGAAAATTCGCTGATTCGTAGATGATGATTCCCCAATGAATGGAAGTCGCATTGAAGACACAATAGAATGATCCATAGATGATGTATAGATCTCCACAGATGCGAGTGGGTCATGCTTTATCAACCAAATTTCTACATGGAACCCAAATTTTTCATGCGATTTGATGGGGTGTGGAAGATTATTCTCCAAACTTGGATGCTGTACAATGTTGCAATATATTAATATGGGGTTCTGTGTTGAATTTAGGGTCAATCCCCTTGGCTCAGGTTTTTTTCCATCCCATGATTGGCTAAGTCAATAAACACCGGGGCCTCAGTTAGGTCTACGCGACCCCCGCATATATTATCTTATATTGCCAATTGATATGTTCAAAATATTTTAGGATCATCAACCAAAGGTCATGTACCAATGGCTGAAAATCATATCCACATGTTTTCGACAGTTCAACCCCTTGTAAATCCACTAGTAATCCTGTAAATGATGGTTGGTTGATTGCAGTTTAAGGCATACATGAGAGTGTATATATATATATATATATTATATATATATGGTACCCCCCCCACCCCAAAACCTATGCAGACTTCAATTTTACTGGTATTTACAGTGAATTTTATATATTTTGGCACCGATTTTGTTCTGATTAAATTTGAGGCACCAACAGAGGGAAAACTGAAAAACTGAAAAACTGAATTCCATAGGAGAAGTCTGGGGTCCATTCTTCTCTTGTGGAATTCAGTTTTTCAGTTTTTCAGTTCTAGGCTTCTCCTGAAAGGTGAAAACCCGAAAAGCTGAAAAAACTGAAAAAATCAAGTGACCCCAAGCTGTGTCAATAATTATTCTGCTACAGAATGCCATATTTCACCGGAACTTGTAGCCATTTACCATCCAGCAGTTCAGTAAACTTCTCTGTGTTTCTGCAATGCGATTGCGTGCACGCAAATGCAAACCTTCTCTTGGCAAAGTGACGAAGAAGCCGGGCCTCCTGAAGGGAACCGGCGGACTCTGTGGATTGCAACCCTTCTGTGCACTACTTGGATGTGGTGAAGAATTACCATTTGGATCCATTTGGACATCACCATTGAAGAGCTGGAGAGAAAGTACAAGGACGCCATCCTCAACAAAGACTTGCAGCTCCTTCCTGCGCCTTTCGGTCTTCGTAGCAAGGTCCAGAGCGATTGCAAGATCCGAATTGTCTTGTCCGAGTTCGCCGAAGGCTCCTACATCATCATCAAGCACATTATCTTCCCTCAAAAGTCCAAGCTCTCTGTCGTGAAAAAGCTTGTGTATGGCACTGTCTACAGACCATTGTTCATGCACGTACCCACCGTGGGCCGCAAAATCTTGCAGTACTGCTTGCAGAACATGGGTGGCACACACCTGCGATGCTTCGATCTTGCAGCCGATGCACCTACAGCAAAGAGCCGCAAAGTCTTTGATGATCTGGAAGATGAGGGCTTAGACCAAGGCTTCGACTTCATCGCCAAACATGCTCCCAGGAGCTAAAGGCCGACATCAAGCAAAGACTTCAAAGCTTTCAAGCCCAGGGTTTGGGTGCATGGGTCATCTAGGAAATCGCCCATGATAACAGTGCCTGCCTCACCCCTCAAAAAGTCAATCTCTGGACTGCACCTGATGCAAGGCTCGCCATCCACCTGGTACTTCTTCTTGTTGAAGCGGCATTGGGCCATCAACACGCTCCGGCCAAGAGGACTTTTCCCACAAGCAGGCTCACCAAGCATCACCAAAGCAGAGAGGTCGAAGTTCCAGATGCCCGCCAAGATCTCCAGAAGCCAGGGCTGAAAGAACATAGGTGTCAATGGCAACGGCCATGCAAATTCTTTCCGGGCCAAAGCACCTTCAGAAGACAATTGTCGAAGAGCCTGCTGGACAAGGTTCTGCGGCCAGCCGAAGATGGGGGAGGTGGACTTGCGAAGCTCCTTTGTTTGCCAACGTAGCTGAGCAAGATCACAAGAATGAAAGTATGTCATGGGCTCGCTGTGGCGCTGTGAAATGGGTTCAGAACCAACCTCGTGCCTTGGCTGCCAATGCATATGAGGCCGGTGTCGACGAAGGCGAGTCTTTCATCCCTGTGCTCAAGTTCGAGACCTTCTGGGAAATGGTGCGCCCTTGCCTTTGCAAAGAAGCCACCAAAGCTGATGTGGATGCCATCTTGAAACGTGCCACTTTTCTTGTCAATACCAAGCAGTTCGTCTACTACTTGTCATTTTGTTTCGGACTGCGACTCATCATCTTGGCCGTGTCATCAACAGCACCTGCCGTCTTCTTTGCTCAAATCATTGCAACATGGCAGTATGCCTTCAAGCAGGGTCGCAGCTTCTGAAACATAGGTTCTGGGGGGGGTAGCATATATATATAAATATATATATATATATAATGTATATATATATATATATATCTATCTACATGATTGTGAACTCCTGGCCCATATTAAATCCTAAGAAAAGATGATGGCTGTATGGAGGTTTCCTAAAATATGGGTACCCCCGTTCATCATCAATTTATTTTTGGGCATTTTCCATGAAATAAACCATCCAGCTATTGGGGTATCCTCATTAAAACCACCACATATGTAACACACATGTTTTCCAAAAATATCTGTTATATATAAATCTTACAACTTATAACCCGCATTTCTACAGGATTTTCCATTATTATAAACCTGTATAAACCCCTACAAATCGTCTAAATCCTGGTGGAAAATCTGGAAAATCTGGCAAGGTGCCCATCGACCCCTCCAGCCCGGTGGGCTTCAGTTGGACTCCAGTGGCGATGTCGCCCCGGGCGACGGCACCTTGGAAGCCTTGGACAGCGGAAGTCTCCAGATTTTCATGGGAAAAAATATTTGTTTTTGGGATAAGTAACTACGATATATATCCTATACTATTGTAGGGATTATTAACTCTAAGATTAAGTAACTATGAAACTGGCGAATTGCAACAAAAGTAGCAATAAGGAACTATTATACTAGTAAGCTGGTTCGTGGTTTGGAACATTTTTGTATTTTCCCAATAGTGGGGATGATGATCCAATCTTTCAGGGGGGTTGAAGCCACCAACCAGTAAGTATAGTGATTACTATTCATGGGATAAGTAACTATCATTGTACGGAAAAAACATAAATATAAGAAATATGGATATATAGATTATGAGCTACAGGATGATATTATATTGCATGAGCTTCATATTTTTATTACATGGATTATATTGATATTATATATTATAGTTCCCATTGCAGGGAATAATTTGATCACAGGGGATAGATAACTATTGTAGGGATAGTTAGCTACTATAGGGACAATTATATAATTTTTGCAGGGACCCTATAGGGAGTTGATTGTATAATTGACTATGAGGTAGGGAACATGATGTAATAGTGTTTTTTTTAGTTTTTTGTTCATATTCACCATTGATGTTAATCCCTATAATCATCTATTTGTTTTTTTGGGATTAAATGGGAAATGATCATCAACAATAGGGACTTAACAGATTTAACTATCAAGAATGGGCTGCTTGATCCTTAAGTCGATGGAATGCGGAATGTTCAATCACATGTCTTATTTTTGTTTGGAACAAGTCTCCGGGATGACTATAATTCTAAGCTTAAATGAATTTAACTTATAACTCAATAACCTACGGTTTACCATTTGACCAGTCAACGGGGGGATTTATATATCCAAAAGGAACTTATCTACTAACCCCAGCGAGGTCCAAGGTTCATTTTGGTTCATAGCTAGGCTCGCTATCCTTCACTTGAGGATTAAAACTGTGTGGTTAGATTGGTAGTAGGCTAGCTAACAAATGTGGCAATCCCAATAATGAACTCCTTGGTTTCTACCAGCTATTTCTTGTCAAACTGGGCAAGCGCAAGAATTAGGATTTAACAAACAAAAAATGGGATTTGGATGTGGGCCAATGATGATAGGACAATTTGATTTACAACTGTAATATCTATAGGATAAATTGTGGTTTATATCTAGTACTGTAATAAAACTGGCATGAATTGGCTATATGCGAACTTGCAACTGGGGCCGCTTGGTCATGATTCAAAAAAAACAGTTACCCTCCGGCAATCAAACGTGGCAATGGGAAAGCCCCTCAAAATGGAGGTTTCAATAGGACCATCATGTGTAAATGGTTGTTTTAATTGGAAAATCAGTTATAATTCGGTGGTTGTAGTGGGAAAATCAATTATAATTGTTCTTAGTGGTAAAGATGGCTAGTATTATTTACTAGCCATACCCCCATTTATATATGGCTAGTAAATAACCACTATAATTAAGTGTTATAGATGGTTAGTAAAATCATTGTTCTTTCCTGTGACATAAAAACAGGGGATTTCTCAGCCAGCCATCTTTGAAATTGAATGAAACCGCATTGAATCCTATTAAATCCCATTATGTTCCTATTATGTTTGGCAAATATTAATAATGTGGGTGAAACCATCAGAAACCACCCACTTTTTTGATGGTTTATACTTTATACCATCCATTTATGGTGATTTTGCGGATGGTTTATTATTGTTTTAACCACATTAATTACCCATGATGTTGATCCCATGTTACACTGGACGGTACTTCTTGGTGAACATCGCACTCCCCAATGAGGCCTCAGTGCGTGCGCCTTCCCCCACCCGCGTAACGCAGACGGGCTTCGTTTCTCGACCGAAGCAGTTGACCGGTGGTTTCATTGGGACACATTGGGACCTTCTAGGGCAATCTTAGATGGGTAGTTTAATCCTTTTTAGTCTTTGGCATCAATGGGATTATCTAACCAGCTAAGTTTTTTTTTTGGGGCGGGGTATCTAAGATTGGCACTGCGTTCATGATTGATAGGATGTATAGAAACCAGAAAATAGATTTAAAAGAACGTGGGAAAACTGGAAATATGAAGTAGATATAATCTTTAAATTCCTGGAAGATCCTGGGAACACATGTCAGCATCTTTTTGGGCATTTCTATCCCAGGATTTAAACCATATGGGTATGTGTATATATATATATGTATTTGATCAATGATGGCTGGTGCAATGATCTTGACCAGTTTATGTGGATGTAATTAATTAATGGGGATACAATTAAGGACTTGATAGGACAACAATCAGGGACATGATAATTGACGTCTTGGTTGATGATGATATAAGAATCATCATAGTCCATTGTGGGGTACGTATTATATTGAAGCGGTCAACACTGGGTTATGGTGATTTATTTGCATACCAGGGGTTGTAAGCCAAAAGTTACCCTCTGGTAAACATACAAACAACTATGGAAAATCACCATTTTTAATGGGTAAATTCACTATCAATGGCCATGTTCAATAGTTTTTTGTTTGTTTGCCAGGCCGGGTATAAGCCACGTTTTTTGCTACAGCATTTTCCCGGGGCGGATTCATCATCCATGGGAATCCGAAGCGACCATGATATATCACTGTCCATCTGAAAATGATGGGCACATAGCCATGGAAAATCACGATGTTTCATAGGTAAACCATCTATTTCGATTAGGGCCATTTCCCATGGCTATGTTAGTCATAACCAGAGGCTATTTCTTCAGGCTTGTGACTATGATTTACCCAGATCACGATCCAGATTTTGCAGCATGATTTACCATGATTTACCTCATTGGGATATGAAACAGCATGATTGGCACCTAAAATTCTTTGGACATGGGCAGGTTTCTGCTGAACACTGGTCCGATTTGCATCACTACTTGAGTTTCGGGCGACCCATTTGAGCAGTGCCCAAGACTATATATATATATCCATTATGCCCCGGTCTACTTGGGTGATACTTGGTCGAGGACGGGTTGTAGAGAACACAATCCAGATTTTGCCAGCATTGCTTGGTATAGCCTCAGGAGCTAGCCTTCATATCTCGATATTTCTGCAGTGTGTTCGCCTTTTTCCACCAACCACCACAGATGAACTGGCTGGAATGGTAGCATCCTACTGGCCCATGTCACCATAGATTGTTTGGGGGAACCTCCCATACTCACTTTTTCCAGCTTGATGGATCATGATATATTTCAGCCCCAACTGGGCACTACTCATTTGGCTCCTGGTTTCAAGCACGTTATGTTTGCGCTTGTTTTTCACATCCCTAAACATGCAAGGATTTCCCACGATGATGTGAAAATATTCTTTCCAGGTGATTTTTCTCAACATGTCTAACGAATCGGAACATCATAAATCAATATAAATCAATATAAATCATAAAACCTCCATAAAAAGTTTGGATGATTTATGGATGGTTTATGGATGGTTTCAGGATTTCAGCTAATTGGTGGTTTAAGTTGTGATTTTCCAGTTGAACTTCTTGAAGCCGAAAACTGGCGGACCAAGGCCTGGCGACCGGAGTTTCCGCGGGCGTGGGGGTGGCCTACTGGTTTTTTGGGTTTCGGGTGATCTTCTGATGGGTTGAAATATGTTGAAATATTTTTGTGGTTCTCCGAATTAACCTGGGTAAATTATAACCACCTCACTACGACCTCACTGGAAATCATGGTTAGTAAGGGAAATCATCCCCAAATGGCCGCACGATTCAGGTTAGTGAAATATTATAATTTACCCAGATTAACCCACAAAACAATACAAAACAGTTATTGTTTTTTTGTTCAAATTAACTGACATAAGTTTGCTTTCGAGCTTCAGTTTGAGAAAGGACGGTGCAACTGCGATGTTTGCAGTTGCTGTGGCAGTACGATAATCATACCATACAATATTACCATACAATATTGCCATTAATATTACCATACCATACTATACCATACCATACCATACCATTGGATGAGATAACTAATACGTTTTTACATATTTTCTTGGGAACATCTTACAACATGTTACAACCTGTTAAAGCCACCCACCTGATTGGGTATGCCCATAAAGCCCGTATACTTCGGATGACTTACCCTCCCGTAAACTGGCAGATGATGGACGTTTTAATGGGCCATGAATTCCACAGGTATTTGATAGGGACTTTTATGGTCGAAGTATGTTGAAGTTGTTGTAAGTGGGAATGCTGTCATTACAGGTCCCAAGTTTTCCGTGATCCCCGTCTTCTGGAAAACCGACCGTATAGAAACGATATCATCCCAAAGATCATCATCGGATGATTCAAAGAGACTTTAAGCTCAACATCCGCTAGGGAAGCCTTCAACCATGGCCGGAGTTCGAACCCGGTCGAGGTGTTATGGGTGTTTTATAAGCCACCGGGTTTCATTGCATGAGGGTAACTTGCCAGAATTTGCCAGATAACTTTCATTCCAATTGTTGACGGTCAAATGCACATAAATGTTCAGTTTTGTCTTGAACATGCACTTCCCGACAGCAAAATCGGCCAAATTCAGGCGTTTGGTTACTTCATGTTTTTTCAATGCTATAATAAAACAACCGTTCGATCTCCAAATCATTTCACATCTCCCTTATTAGCAGTGAACCAGACCCTACCCTCCAGTAATCAAACATAGAAATGGACAATCCCCCATTTATATAGTTCGATGATTCGATGATATTCCCATGGACACCTCAATTTATTAGGCTTTTTCGAGGAAAGATTGATTACCGGAGGGTATTTCCATCAACATCCCTATTTTTTGTTTAAGGCCCCACGAATCACCATGAAATCCCATGAATTTCCGCTACCCCATGGGTTAAATTCACCATGTTGGTTAACCCAGGATCATTCCCAGACGTTCAACGAAAAGATCCCGAGGTTTTCGCCCTCGCCCTCGTCCATCAGCTTTCCGCGGCATGCGCCAACGATTGCTCCATGGAAGATGACCGATTGGTGATGTTTGGATGGGATTCACCAACAAAAAGTGGGCTTGAATTGGAATTTCGATTGATAGATGGGGGGTTCTATAAACCCAACATGGCTGGTTCATGATGGAAAAACAAACCATTTAAATGGATGATTTGGGGGTACCCCCACTTACGGAAACCCTCAGATATCCAAAACACTGATTTATTTGGGGTTTAGATGTGGCGAATTTGCATATTTGCCGGTTAAAACCTAACAAATCCTCATTCTTTTCGGTCTCAAACTGCATTAACACAATATTAAAACATTTTAAAACAATTTGCGACAATTTGTGGCAGTGCCTTCTTTTATATATGTGTGCATTTGTCGCTTGTACTAAGGCACAAGGTTACCATGCGCAGAATGGCAGATGACGCACGGAACTATTGTGATCTGCCGTCAGCAAATCCCAGACCCCTAATGACCACCTCCCCTATGAGAGACCCCAATGGAACAGATCCATGACCTATGATTCATTTTTTCTTCATTTAGGGTTATTAGCCCACAAGAAGGCTTGATAAGGGGCTTGAGCCCCTAGACCCCAGTGGTTGAGAAGTAGTAGGTGTGTGGATCAACATCATTTTGATAATTAATTATCATACGGACCTCACTGTAGATGATGGTATAACAATGGTGAGGGATTAGGAGGGGGATTTGTGTCAGGTTTTTGAGTTATAACAATTTTACCGAAACATGTTTTTGTGGGATGTGAGTTCTTCGGGGGAAGGGCTGACGCTGTTTGCGGCATCTTCTTTAGTCCTTATACAGCGGCAATTGTCGAGTGGGTCTGCAGCATCTTCCGGTTTGTTGAAGGGACAATTTACCTCAATTTAAAGGAATTCTCCGTACTTGGGCAGCCATGGCTTCCTGTACAGTAAACAAATCCCACACATCACTCCATGGAATGGCTGTCAAGATCCTTTTGTATGATTTGTTCCAAGCTGGAGCAGAGGGAGGAAAGTACATCCGTTTGAACTACCCTCTGGTAAACTAACATAGCTATTGAAAATGGCCATTTATAGTGGGTTTACCCATTAATAATTGTGATTTTCCATAGTTATGTTAGTTTACCAGAGGGTACCGGGTTCGCTTCTGGCAGTTGGGCCTACTTTTATGGGCAGACTGGAAGTCAGTTGGACCCCGTTGCTAGCGGCGTTTCAGGATTCTGCCCTGGTGGCAGCTGCGATTGGGTTGGGCTCAAAATGTTGCGCAAGCTGTCAAGCCAAACCAACAATGTACGCAATGTAGCCGCTCATAGATTCAAATTTGATCAAATTTGTACATCATGTAGTGCATATAGTTATAGACTACTATAGGCTTATAGAGGTTCTTTTTGCCACGGATGTTCATAATGTTGTGTGTAGTTATCATTGCAGGCTTTTGTTGTGGTGTTTTTGGATGTTGGGCCTGGCAGTTTTGGTTCAATTTTGAGACCCACTTCTCTTGTGACTCTTAGCGAAATGTGCCAGCGGATGAGTTGGAAGGAGCATGGCTCGGGATGACCCACATTTGTGGCGTAAGAAACAGCAGTGATCACATGGTTTGTGAACGTTGTTCGTCCTGGGTTTCTGAATGTTGCTCGTTATGATCAAAAACTTCCATCATGTGCCCAACATTTGCCTTGAATTACCTCAGTATACTTCCCTCGAATATAGAATAGACATTTAAATTTCACCTGCAGCAACCAGCTGTTTTTGGCAAACCAGCTGCTTTTGCCGTTGTCTCGCTGGTGAATCCGTGGGCTCCCCGTGTGTTCTAAAATCAGCTCTCCGTGCTCGTTGATGCGCCGCTGCCGCAGCTCAGTCACAAGATGTGGCGAAAAAACTTCGTTGTAGCTGTCGGACAGCACCGGTTCGCGCGAGAATTCGACGGTGGACCTCGTGTGGAAACCTCGGTAATTTACCCTGTCGCGTTTCAGGAATCATGGTAAAGCTGGTCTAATAGTGAAACCATGTGAAACCTAAACTGAAGAATGGTGCAGACATTTTTTGGGGGCCTGAAAATTCAGTCATCGTTGATAGTGTGAAGTGCGCTCGGAAGAAGAGCCCCACTTGACAGAGCTTCCCAACCGTGGCGAGTTGCCAATGGATCCGATGTACATGTGTGTGTGTGATATATATATATAATATAATTATGTTTAATAATCCATAACATTTAATCTAATATATAGATATATGATATGTTTGGTAATTTTCAGCGCAATGCAGGCGCAATATAGTCCATACAACAAGCTATGGGTGTTCAGATGTGTTCAGACAGGGGAATGTTGATCCCGGCGATCTCAGCCTGGACCTGGCACTTCCTTCGCCACATGGAGGTTCACACGGAAGTAGATTCGGCGGTGACTCTGATCCCACCTTGCGGGGCTCAGCCTCTTTGGGACGGAAGTGGATTCATTAGAAAAACGACACATGGGCGCTGGGGCCATGGAGTTTATCATGTTTAAATATGTTTAAATATGTTTAAATATGTTTACATATTTAAATGCTTTAGTGGTCAATAAGCGGCTTATAGATGGTTATAGGTCATGAAGTATATACCCAGCTATGGGTGTCGCTGACCAACAAAATCCATGGCCTGTGTAGAATTTGTGTGGGATGGGCCATGTGGACTCCCCAACACCCAAACCATTTACAATTATCAACCTATATCAACCTGAAAGGAAGTGATTCAACTGAACCCCACAAAAATGCACCAATCGGACAAGGGATGGCATTGGTATGGCATTGGTATTTTACATTATATGTATACTGGTATTAACTTTCCAGCTACAGCAGCTATAGAATTCGCGGTTCTGCTGAACTCAATGATTTTCCAAAGAAGGCTCAGCCAGGGTGCAGCATGAGTTCGGTACTTAATCGCCATGAAGTAAGCGGCAATGCCTGTCATCAGAATCTAACCATGTTTGTATATATACGTGTGTGTGTATAATTGTATATTTATATTTAAAATATGTATATTAATATATATGTGTGTGTATATGTACGTATATGTGCGTGTGTATGTGAGTCCGTATTGTATACACTGCATTGTATTAATTAATAATGTATGTATTGTAATGTATTGTAATGTATATGAATGTAATGTAATGTCATGAACGTGCAATGAAATTTGTACTTTATTAGTGCGTATATCATCGAGTTAGTCAGTTCGCCTGCGCCACCCCTGGCTTCCTGTGGCTCTAGTCGCGTCCGGAGTTTTTTTTGACGACCCTTTGACAAGAAACCTGTCCAACACACTCCGTGTCTTGGCTGCGCATGAGATAGGTGGATGAATTACAACAAACTCGTATGACCACACACACACACATCTCATAAATTCATATTAATTTATATTTAATTTATACAGTATATTTATATATATATCACAGCGATATTGGCATTGACGAAAATGAATGAACATGATGATGACTTTGATGGTCTTGAGTTTTGACTCACCTTTGATCTGTGGACACTTTTTGTACCAAAAATCCAGATCCTGCTGGGTGTTCAGGTGTCAGTTCGAGGCCCAGAGCATCCCAGGACTGCATGAGTTTGACCCGTTGGGCCCGTTGGGCCCTGGTTGGATCTGGATTGCGTGGGACAATTCGGCCGGAAAATCTGGAAAACATTGCTGGGAATAGGTTTGTCGTTCGTGTTTTGTGCAATAAGTGGGAAGATATCCTTGCAGCTCATAATGTTTGCCCACCACATTAGAAGGATAGATTAGGACCGATATGTCCTTGCAAACTTAGGATATATTGTGACTATGGGTCAAATCATTGCGTATACCAAACATTGCATGGTGTTCCAATGATGTTTTCACAAGACAAATATAGTGATCATGAGACATAGGAAGTTTAACACGGGCCAACGTGATTTCGACCTATGGCAGGAAGGGCTGCGCATGGCCATGCAACCTGGTGGCAGAGAGTCAGTGGGATGTTGACATGTTGACATGTACCGTCTGCTAACCTAACATAGCTATTGAAAATGGACCATTTATAGGTGATTTACCTATTCAAATAGTGATTTTCCATAGCTTTTTGTATGTTTACCAGAGGGTCTCTATAGCAGCACTCTACCTCCTAAGTCGTGCAGAGCAATGGACTGGCAAGCCATGGGCCAGGTGTTTCATCCCAGTTGGTACCCTCTGGTAAACTCACTATGTTAAATTACCAGAGGGTACATGGTCAAGTACAAGTCCCACATTGCTGCTGCTCTCCCACTGGTAAAGTTGAGGAAAACGTAATGAAACGTACCGATTTTCAGTTATGGGTTTTAGGCCAGTGTAGTAACACTAATTGTTTTCTGTGCGGTAAACAAAGAGACACTAAGAAAGAAAAACAGTTGGGATGCCACATTTCAACAAATCATGTCATAATCCCCTCCTCATAATATCACATACCTCCCAAAGTAAACGAAAGTATTGGATCACATACATGTATCTGGTTGGTGCTTTGGAGCATGTTTTATTTTCTATAATGTATGGGATAATCACCAACCAGGTATCCATGTATCCATGCATCGAAACATCGCCCATACTTCCATATACACAGAGAAAGAATGGACCATGTCGAGTCCATCTGGGGGGCTGTTTAATATTTAGGCTACATCACCTAGCTAGCTATCTACCTATCTACCTACCTACCGTATATGTTTGCCAGTTTGTATACTGTGCATGAATGCATGCCTGTATGTCATGTATGTGTATCATATATCTATCTATCTATCTAATCTAATCTAATCTAATCTAATCTTATCCTATCTATCTATCTATCTATCTATCTATCTCTGTGTGTGTATTTTATTATTTGTCCTTCTTTCAACATATTTGTTCATGGTCAACCTCCGTAGATCGGCTGGGACTACTCACCATTTCTGATTACAGGAGCTGTGTTTTGTTGATACGAGACGTAACAAAAAGAGAAGAACAAGTTTTCGATTATGTCTATATATATATTTAAAAATACTATAATATATATATATGTATTTGTGTGTGTATTAAAGTATGCCAGTTGTTCGTGGTAAAACCATCATTTTTTTACATGGTGCCACCATCGTTTTTTTTTTAATGGTTTTTCAATGTTTTTCACCATTATGGAATGATGATCCGATATAGGCCACATTCAAACACAATCAGCACCAATTCACAATGTTTAACATGTATTTCTTAATATCTCACCTTTTTTTCCCTGTCTGAGATGCACGCCCTGCAGGTTGCGTCGTCGCGTTGCATTGCTGGCCCTGGCATTCAACGCATCGCAGGTGCGATCGAGTTGGCACGCAGACGGACATAGTAATGTGGGTGAAACAAGAATAAACACCATCCATTTGGGAATGGTTTATACCACCTATACACATGGTGATTTGGGGGAAGGTTTATGAAATTGTTTTGCCCACATTAAAGCAATGTCATCAACCACATGAAACCACCCATATGGATTGATGGTTGCAACCATGTATGGTAAAGTTATATAAAATTATGCAAAATTGGGGATGGTTTATGACATTGCTTTGCCAACGTTGCCTGTACATGACATTTCACATTGCATCATTCACACATATACATACAGCCATACATGTATAGACGTGTGCATATTCACCAGCCACTCGTACATTATGCAGTATACACATTGGGCACTGTCCGTCCACTGCCGGTATTCCCCAATCTATCTCGCTCAGAAATATTGTTCCATTCAATAGACCTGAAGTATTGGTGGAAACACGAGTGTTCCATGCCACTATGTTTATTTTTTTTCCTATGGAATGGGCGGGGGGGCAAAGGTCCATGGGGAACACTAACGTAGGATGTTGAGTCTACATTGTTCAAGATTATAGTACATACGTATGTATATATATATAACTATGTCAAGCTATATTGCCCAGCTTAGGGAGTGTCAATCCCCTGTTCAATTTATTTTTATTTTTTGCTGTGGCTAGGATGCCCCATGATATATTTATTCACTTTCCATAATTACCTGGGAACTCCCCTAGGCAGAATAAAGTGCCAAACTTGCCTGTAGGCGTTTATTTCTGCTGACTCCCAGAATAAATGCCTAGGCTCAAAAAAAATGCCTAGGCTGATATTTTTTTGCCGAGAATCGTTTGGATAGATCTCTGCTTGATGTGGCTAACCCTAGGAAAGTTGTCACCACTCTGGCCACAATACCCTCATCCAACTCTCCAATCTTGAAAACTTGATCGAACAAAAAAAAACATGTTGATGACAATTGAGCAAGGGATATATTCTGATATATATATACATTACTGTATATATATATAGATGCACTTTACTGTATATATATATATATATTAAGTCAATATGATACCGTATAACAGTACACTATGGTCTGATGTCATGCTACGGAATACGGTTTCACATTTGCAATTACACATGTACATGCAATCTGGTCGTGCACGCGCAAGCACACATATACATACATAATTACCCCGCATACACACAGAATATGACCATATAATTATAATAATAAACAATGTAAATATGGTTCCAAAGTCATGCAATGAGTTTACATTTTATTACCTTATTCTTATTTGATTATATCATATCATTATACGTGTGGTATGACTATGTACGAATGATATCCACTGCTTTATCCATGGCCAGGCAGCCGAGATGCACGTCACGGCAGATGGCCGCGCCACGCATGCAACGCATGCAAAGGCGGGGTTGACGCGAGCGTTGGTCGACCGGTCGTAGCCATAGAAAAGGACCCATTTGCAGATGATTAACCATGATTTACCATGGTTTACCTATGGTTATCCATGGTTGATGTATGGTTATCCATGGTTGATCTATGGGTATCCATTGGTTATCTATGGTTTAGCTATTCAACATGGCCTGTTGGCATGATTTTCCATGGCGACGTTTGTGAATACCAGGGGAGAACCATCGCGAAATGGATTTCAATTACCGAAAATTGGGATGCAACAGTCAAAACAATGTGATTTGTAGCGTTTCTACACGTTTTGTGCAAAACCGAGGGGCGCATCAAAATAGTGACCTTCATGGGGAAGATGATCAACCATGAGAGTCTCAATTGTCAAGCTATGGGATGGTTGCTGGGCAATTCCTAATGATCAACGGGCAACAAATCGGAGAACAAACAGTGAGCTTACAAGGAACAGCAGCGGATTCACTATGATTTACTGAATTTACTGATCATCAACGGATCGGTTGAATAGGACAGCCTGCAGGAAACCATGGATTCAAACACCATTTTTCTGAAATGTTTGTTTTTGACATTGCTCGACCAAGCAGCAGACATAGTGCTTAGTAATGTAATTGAAGGCCAAAATCCCGAAATGTGGTTATGATCATTTCAGGCTACCAATTAGCCATAGCTGCAGGTCCCAGCATCCTCACCAGCCATATTTAGCCCCTACCCTTGCGCCTTGTTTGGATTGGTGATGTTTGCTGCTCTTTTTGCCATAGATGGAGGAAGTATGGCAAGGTATCGGAGAATCTCCATGCACCAGGCTGCAAGGCCCCCTTAGCCGTCTTGCACTCCAGGAGTCAGTCCAGACACCCTATGGTAGCAGCTTTGGCAACCTGGGTGGCATGGGTGGCATGGGCGGCATGGGTGGGGGCTATGGCTTTGGTGGCGGCGGCATGGGTGGCTTGCCTTATCGGGAATTTCAGGACGTGCAGCATGCGGAATGGGGAACTTGGGGATTTGGAGCCGTTGGGTACCATTTGTGACACTTTGGGTTCTTTGACTGTACCACTTCTATTATACGACGTTCTAAGGCAACTTTTCTCTTGAGTGATTAGCTGGTTCATGAATGATAGCTAGCTGTAGGCCACTTGGGCGTTTGGCAGTGCAAACTCGGACACGAGTCAGTGTGATTCAGGTTTTCACTTCAAATGATTGAAGGCCAAAATAGTTCAAATCTGCATCAAATTGTGACCTTTCTTTGGTTTGCTACTTGGTCATTATTATATACAAGTAGCATCAAGTAGCTAACACTGGCGTCACATATTCATCTGAATGCATATTGATTTCCAACCAAATCAATATTCATTGGTATTCAAAGATTCCCCCACTTCCAAAAAAATGTCATCAGTTTTTCCAGTTTGAACAGAACATATCAGAAAATCTTGGAATTTACTGCCCCATTTTGGGGCAAGCCTTACTCCCTATGATTCTGTGAAGCTGCTTGACTGACTAGCTTCAGGCTCGGGTGGCCCTGCGCCAGTGAGCAGCTATCCATCAGCCCCGGCGTCTCCTTATGGGGCAGCAAGCTATGGCCAGGGCAGCTATGGACAGGGCTCCATGGCTCCGGTGCGGGCATCGCCAGGGGCTCCAGCAGCCCCAGGCTTGCACACGGCATATGCTCCCACAGAGACAGAGACACGGCGGAGAGTTTAACGGTTGTGACGCGCGTGCGGGCCGCGGGGGATTCGTTTTTCTGCTCAGGGAGGTTAAAAAACCCCTGAAATCGACAATTATGCATGGACTGTGCTCTGTGTGACATGTGGCGTGCTATGTCAGATGCCCTCCTCCCACCGGTTTGACATTCGTTCGTTTAGATGCTGCATGGCTCGCGTCTAAAACTGAAAACTGGAAATTGTTGATAATTGTTGTAGGTTCGGCAAAATCACATGATGTGCCAGGTCAAAATGCACCAAGTTGTCGGGATTTTAGGGTGCCTCATGGTGCCTCTTTGATCTTGAAAGTTCTGCGTCGTTGCGCTTGAAAACTGAGAATGGGGATGCGTTGTGATTGTCTTTGGGGCTGATTTTGTGGCCAGGGTCCGGGGGGCTCAACCTCAGCCATCTCAACCATGAAGGAGTTGAGAGTTGATTGATTGAGTCATTGAGTCCCTGTTTATTCCCAGGGTTGTTGTTTGGATCTCTTTTTTCTCCATTTTTTCCGGGACTTGGCTTAAGGGTATCTAAGCGAACATGCACATGCAACCCAGTGGCTCGTGGCCCCCTCGCGGTCCACCGAGGAATTACACATGCCGTTGAATGCCAATGTGGAGTTGCTGGGCGATCAGATGTTTGTTTTCTTGGTCCAGATTCCGTTCCATGGATTAGGTCTGCAATCAATCATATGGAATCAAAACAGTATTTATTGTTTATTCACTGCATTCTAACTTTTAATTTTTTTTTGGAGAGAGAGAGAGAGAGAACGAAAAAAACATAAACATTGTAAAATATGGTAAAGTAATAATAATGGTTCAATATTATTTATCATTTCGCTGGCGCATGAACTATATACTATAAATAATCTATGTTCTTGTTAATTTTTCATGTTGAGTCATGTTTTCAGATTTGCAGGGTTGTTCGAACGCATAGGTAAATTACATGTTTTTTTCCTTCGAAGGTCCTTGTAGTGAGTGACCCTACCATTGTGTGTTGTTCACCAAAAAAGATCAGTCACTCATCCATTGGTTAATCATGATTATCCCTATTTAAATTTGGGGATATACCCCAAGTTCAGACAAACCCAAATAATTATCTTATTTGCGGTTATGCATACAGATATAACAACCATATACCCTCTGGATATTTAACATAGCCATGGAACATGGCCCATGTGTAGATGATTTTCCCATTAAAACTTCCATTTATGAGGGATTTTCCATGGCTATGTTAGATAACCAGAGGGTATATATATATATTATACATTTGGCTATCCATTTTCCCTGTGGGGAGCTAGTTTAGTTGGAGCCACCAAGAGCTTCGCAACCACATGATAGTATCACTTGTTCATATACTTAATTTGATTTGTTTGCTCATCACCCACTATATACTAGTGGTTGATGTTGAATCCATCTTCTTGAGGTAGTTGACGTGGTAAATCATTTGTTGTTGGTTAAAGCCCGATTCATCGCAATAACATCGTATGATTTCCCATTAAAGCATTGGTGAAATTCCTATAGGAGAAGTGTCAGGTTGGAATCTGACGATGGCATCTTTTTCAGCTCCAAGCCACAGTCTCGCCCTGAGGTGCATGGTGTGGGATTTCCCCATGAAAGATGGAAGTTTTAATGGGAAAAGGTATGCAAAAAATCCTGTAAAATTGAGGTTTTAATGGGGTGCGTCTTCATCGAAAAAAAAAACATATTCAGGTTTTCATAGGGGTGTTTTAATTGGAGCGTCATCTTTAGATAGGCATTTTCATGAAAGAATCCTCGAACTAAATGGTGGGTTTCCCATGCTCAAGATGTTAAGCATGGCACTTATGGAACTCAAGATGTTAGGGGAAGGTTGCTGGAAGATTGAGAGCCAGGTTTTTTTTTGATATAACCAGGATCTGGGATATAAGTGATATAAGCCAAAAACCCTCTAGCAGCTAGCAATCAAAGATTGCTGGGAAATCATCGAATCATCGAAGTGCCGGCATCGGCATCCCCTGGACTGCTGGATCACTGGGGAAAATGATGTAAGGTGGGTCATTTGACTTTTCAGGGTCAAATTGAATAATGTACTTAGATGTACTTTGATACTAGGAACGCATGTTCCTTTTCTTAACATGTTGAAAGAAAATGCAGGGCATAATGTAGCTGACTATTCTGGCAGGTAGAATGTTATTTATTTTTTGAGGTTTGGTGTATAGTATGGCCATGTTCTAACTATAACGTATAACAATCAATGATAATTAAATGTTATTTTCGAGGTTTCATTTAGAACTTCAGAGGTGCAAATTGATGATGTTTCTTCATGCTTCTTGGTTGTTAGTTTTAAATATGTTACCTTTCCACCCATCAGACTTGATCATGATCCCTGACTTCGGAGGTGAAGCTGCCAAGCAGATGCAAAAAATGCACATGAGCCACATGTGTAGATGTATTCTTTGTTGTGCCCATTGGTTGAGCTATATACCTATTTATTTTATATATATATATTAATATATATACCCTCCGGTAAATTAACTTGTTGACCCTGAAAATCCCGAGTTTTTAATGGAAACTCATCTGAACCAACCCCTATCTGGCAGGGTCTATGTTAATTTACTGGAGGGTATATAGAGAGAGAGAGAGGCGGTAAACATACGGTTTTTAGTTGTATAGTTGTGTATAATTTATATATATATATTTAATTATATATATATTTAATTATATATATATACAATATCTATTTATTTGTTTTTAGACGTCATATCACGAGTTACAGTATACCCATTATGGTGTCACGTCATGTTTCTATGGCTATTCTTTTAGTCCTAGGTCCAAGGGGGATGTTGAATCTGAAATCCCAGCTGTCGCGCGAGTCCTGGGTCGAGCCAAAAAGTTCATGATGAGGCTAAGAATGTTGAATGTGTATCAGGCTAGTAAAGCAATGTCATAAACCACCCATATTTTAATGGTTTATACCCATTTAATCCCATTATATCCCATTTAACTTTGGGGATGGTTGACATCACAATCCTTAAAACTCGTGGAAACACGCTGGAAATTGGAGTGGTCCCTGCACTCCCGGCAACCTTTGGCTTGTTTCGTGCCAGAACTACGACTATGATGACAACACCGTCCTGGGAACGGCCAATTACATCTACAAGGGCAGCGCCAGAAGAACTGGAGGCACAGTTGTGCCTCTTGCAGCATCGGCAGGGGCTCAATTGGGAAAAAACATTGGACCCAGATCAGAATGGATAAATGGATGATACCCGTTACCCTCTGATAAACTAACATAGCTATTGAAAACGGCCATTAGAGTGGATTTACCCATTAAAAATGGTGATGTTCCATAGTTATGTTAGTTTACCAGAGGGTAAATTATATATATATATACCAAAAATCGATAGTGATGGATAATCAATATCAATGCCCTAGCCTTCCTCGACTATTGTTCAAATAGCCTTCCCGGAAATGCTATTTTTTGCAAAACAACGACTATTTGTTTTTATTCTATAGCCTATAGCCATTCCTTGCCTGAGGCCTAGCCCAAGACCTGTAGACAAACCGTAGACAAACCGTAGACAAACCGTGGCCAAACCGTGGACAAACCGTGGATAAACCGTAGACGGACTGTAGACAAACCGTAGACAAACCGTAGACAAATCGTAGAATGGATATTTTTGGCCTAGAAAGTACAGTTTTTGGCCGTTGAACGTATTTTTTTTTGCCGTGGAACTTTGCCGAAAACAATATTAAAGAGCCATCCCAATCAAGGGACCAAGACAGAGCCCTCTTTTTTCCGACAAAAAATAGGCTTTCCGCCAAAAACCGTTCTTGCAAAAACAACTATTTAAACAATAGTCTTTGGAAGTATGAACGCCAAAGTTGCTGCAAATTTCCTGCGACTTTTCTAAAACCTGTCACTTTAGGTAAAACCGCACTTTTTCATGCAACTTTCACCAGTACTATGCGACTTGTGGGTTTCGGATTCCATGCGCGCAGTATATTTACTGTATGCGCAAGAAGTGCGCAACATGTTTAAAGGGAAACAAAACGCAGTTGTTCATTTTTCCACATTTGTTTCACGCCTTTTTCAGATTTTGTTCGTGCCTTTTTCACTCTTGTTTGTCGCAAAGAAACAAAACACGTGAAAACTGTGACGGATTTCTCCAGCGTGGAATTGCGCCACTTTTCCTAGACTTGCGACTTTCGGACAAGACATGCGACTTGTCACTTGTCAGTCACCCTTTTTTCCCTGCGACTTGGCTTTCCAGTATTTTTAATTTTTAAAGAACCACCACCAAGAAAGGATCTGAAGTGAGAACTGGTTGGATGGTGGTTGCAACTGAACATGTCAATCCAAACTGGTAGTATCCCCAATGACTAGACTTTTGTGAGGATGGTTTGAAACCACCCAGCAGTTACAGTAGAGGGAATGGGGATTGGAAGGCGCTTAATGTTTCGGATGTTTTCAAGCCTTGTCAGCCTGAAGTGATAGAGAAGCGGGTTCTTCTATTAAGGTGCTGTCAAGTGAATGTGTTGCAGGGTCAGGTTTCAACTGGCTTCTGGACATGAAGATCTAGGGTCCGTCAAGAGTATGTTATCAGGAGGGGTTAGTGTCAGCCCCGTATTATATAATTACTGTAACTCCGGGGTGACGCCAAAAAGTGAGAAGATGGTGCTATTCCAATGGGAGCCCGCCCGAGTAGTAAACTGGGGTTGGGGTCTCCCATTTGCTAGTTTAATGAAGAGCCTGGTTCGAGCAAGTGCCCCTTTTGATGAGTTATCTCATCTCCCAATTGAAAATCTAACCTGGCAGGTGAAAGTTCATGAGTTTATATATATATATATGTATAAATATTTATATATATATAATATATATATATATATGTGTAGATAGACATGTATTACTCTTTTGAAATGGAAACATGGCTCATGGCTGGGAATTCCACTTGGGATGGAGGTGTGGGAAAATCAGCCCAGCTGAATGCCAGGTTGCCTGATGAACCTGGTTCGGCAGCCCAGTGGTTTCCCCCATCAGGGGGGCTAGTGGTCGAATGTCGTAGCTACCACCGTATGGCTCATGTGTGGAACATTTGCCAAGTCGATGATATATTAATAATAATCATCATAATGATAATAATATTGATAAACATATTTACACATGTCTATGCCGTTCATATATACAAAACCAAAACTTAGAGAGGCAGGGGGACAGGCATGTAATGACACATATCAGAAGTAGTGACAGGCTAAGTTTGTGGCAGCCCGATCGGCCAAATCTTCAGGATGTACCTTGCCACGTCAGGCGCTCCTCATGTGGCTGGCGCTCCTTTAGCGGTAGTTCCAGTCGACCAAGGCAGTGGACGCTTTCTTGCTACATGTGTATCTATGACTATCTATGATTATCTATGGATGTTTTTACGGTATACCTATATGTGTTCATGCGATATATGTCTACAGTATTGATATGTAGATCTGCCATTCAGATAGAAGAAATACATTTCGGACATGTACTGGATGAAGGTTTGTAGCACACTGTGTGTGTTTTGCACCTTGATGAAAGATGTTTCGCACTGGTTTGCTGCAGTGGTGGCAGTGGCTCAGGAACCGCAACCTTTGTGCTTTCCACAGCCGGACCAGCGCAGCCGAGAAAAATCCATGGACCAAAAAAGACCGGACCGCTGGACCAGCATTCCCATGGGGAGCTGCCCAACCCGTGCCATTATTATACTGTGTTAGTATATATATATGTTAGTGTATATATATATATATACATGTTAGTATACATATATGTGTTAGTATATATGTTAGTATATGTTAGTATATGTATCAGTCTAATGAGTGAATTCTGAGTGGATGGGGGTGAATCCAAAAGGTTCACCGTGGATGAGCGTGATGCCAAACAGGGGTCCATGTGCTCGGCTATGTTGGTTCGAATTTGTTCACATGAAAGATGTGGAAGAAGAGACGAGCCCTGAAAGATGTGGAAACCTTGGCGCTTGGATACTCAGATCATAACAAAGTTGGCTTACAACAGACCATGGCCATGACGCACTCCTATGACACTACCATCCATGTGGCTTCAAATTTAGAACACACTACTGATGATTTTTTTGCATGGGTTCAACGGTTCAACTGACTATTTTTTCAGGGGGGCTAAAGCCACCGACCTGACTATGTGCACAAGGTACACCATATGGTTTGTTGCCAAATATTTCGGGATATGAACCCGATCAAGGAGCCTGGACGGAAGTGCAACACCATAGTTGTAATCCGGAGGAATCCTTTTCTGGAATTTCTGGTGAATCTCAGCTGCTAACTACCCTCCAGACATTCTAAAGCTATGTCGAATCATTTGATGTGTTCAAGATGTTGCCAAGGTTGGTGAATTGATATTATTGATATGGCATCTTGATCTATATGTGTTCAAGGTTAGAGGATATGTAGCTATTGATACGATTCACCCATCTGTTGCAACTTTACTCTACTTGGCATCCTGCATATGCCATGGCAACTGCTTGAGAGCTTTCACCTGTTCACTGTTCTGACCCTGTGCTGCCTGTTGGGCTATTGGTTGCTCTTAAGAAGCGCCCCAGGCAGGACGGAGCAGTATCCCTGGTGTCCTCAAAGGTAAATCCACTAAAAATGGAGGTTTTAATGAAAAAAAACAAGTATAAATGGAGGTTTCTAGCTGGGAAAGCAGCTATGAATGGGGTATTTTCCAGCCACGTTTGATGAGAGGGTACACAGGGATATGGACTCGCTAGCTATAAGCCAATCATTTTCTTGCAGGGCATCCAAGATTGGCAATGATAGATAAGTTCAACTATGTTCAAATCAGATTGGACTGGAGCAGATTCAAGAGATCTCTTGTTTGTGATACTCTGTGCGTCAAAATTAGATATTATAACATCATATGAATCATATAACATCTATAGTTCAGTTTTTTCCCCATGTTTTTACTATGGTTTTCCAATTTTCTCCATGATGTTGCCATGTTTTGTTCCATGATTTTTACCATGTGTTTCCATGATTTGTCCATGATTCCACCGCGTGTTTCCATGATTCTACCAGGTGAGACCCAGGCGCGTGCCATGGCGCTGCCAGCGGGGAAGGTTCACTTCAAGGCGTCTGAGGAGTGGCGCGAGGTCCTGCCACACCACGTGCTGCCCAACGGCCTGGAGGTGCTTCCAGCACCGATGGCTGCTGACCCCGCTGTTGATGAATGGTACCCTCTGGTAAACGTTTACATAACTATTCAATGGGAATTTCAGGATCCTAAAATGAAGGTACTGTACAATTTAGGGGGTATATCCCCTTACATAGGCCTTACATAGGCCTTAAATATAGTAGGTACCTCTAATTTAGGTTCATGAAATGGCCATTGAACTATGGAAAATCACCATTTTTCATGGGAAAACTCACTATTTCTATGGCAATGTTCAATAGCTTTGTTAAATTACCGGAGGGTAGTTTTTTTTTTGGGATTCACCCAAGGATGGGGACAATTATCTATAGAAATGGAGGTTTTGAATGCATTTTTTTTTTGGATTTGCCTAATGATAAAAGGACCAAGCATCTATAAGATGGAGGTTTAATGGGAAAATCACCTTATAAATATGATGAAATATCGGAACATTATCTAGAAATGGTAAACCCAATGCCATAAACCTACCATGACTGGGCATGGTTTATACATGTTTACATAGCTTCCATAAAGATATGCTGATAACTTGGGGATTGTTTACGGCATTGGGTTTACAACATTAGATGATATATGGGGAGAATGGGAGAATGAGACGACAATAGGGGATGATTTATATAGAACAGTGTTCACAAGCATATGGTGATGAGTTCAGAACCGGGCAGGTCACCAGCCCTTTTGAAAAGGTATCATTTGACTAGTTTGACAGCATCGTCTTTACGACTATTATATACTTTGAACCTTGAACATCTTTAAACGTTTATCCCATTACTGTATCAGCTGATGCACCCCTATTACAAGCCATTCCAGATTAAACCCATGATTGGCTTTTAAATCCTATCCTGAATCCCGCTGTTTTTGGCCGTACTATTCTAGGCTGATGAATCGTATCTTTCAAAAAATCGTTGCAATGTGGCCCCCAGTTTTAAGTTGGTTTATTGTAACCCCCATGAACCATAGTTTATCCCATTCTATCTCCCAGAAACCCTAGTTAACCAAGTTATAAACCAAATAAACCAACTTAGCAATCATCAACCAGCTATAACTTCCATTAAATCCCCAAAATCAATCCAACTCCATCCAAATCCCCATAGTTTGTTGGTGAAATTCTGCTTCAATCACCATTTTCCCCTGGTTTTCTCCTGGTTTTCCCGGTGAGATCCGCTTCGACCTGGCCTCGGGACGGAACTTCGCTCGGCTGGGTGGATCCCAATCCACGGGATCTCGCTCGGATGGCTCGGATGAGCTGCTCGGTCAAAATTCCATCGGGAAATTACCATCTGGTTATGACTAACAGTTTGCCATGGAAAATCACCATTTTTAATAGGTAAACCATCTATAAAATAACCAGAAGGTACCTCTGAGAAATCTAGGCCCAGGATCTGGTTATGACTAACATAGCCATGGAATATGGAAAGCTCCACCATTTTTGAGAACGGTAAACCATCTATTTCTATGGGCCATTGTGATGGTTGCTGTTGTTGTTGTTGTTGTTGATGGTTACTATATGTTACTGTTACTATTGTTTATATAATTAGTGAATTGATGATACTATTGTTTAATTTTAGTGATGGTTTCTGTTGTTTAATTTTAGTCAGTGATGGTTACTATTGTTTAATGTTTAATTTTATTACTGCATGATGATGGTAATAAATGCAATGATTAATAATAGTATTCAACTATAATGCGAATAATTTTCCAAATAATTCGGATATTAGTGATGGTTACTATTGTTATTATTACTGATGATGATGGTGACAATAAATTATTCCAAATTCATCTATAATAGTATCATTTATCATCATCATCATCATCATCATCAAAATAGTAACCATCGGATGAGCTCCTCCTGATCATTATCAATACTATTATTGCTATTTTTTTTATTAATGGTGAATGATGGATGATGATGATGATGATGGTGGTGATGATGATGATGATGGTGATGTTGATGGTGATGGTGATGGTGATGGTGGTTACTATTTTGATGGTGATGATGATGATGATGAGGAGGAGGAGGAGGATAATGATGATGAATATTACCCTATGATTTTGATGATCATTACCATTGTTATTAATATTGTCCATCAACATGATGATCATTACAACATGATGATGATGATGATGATGAGGGGGAGGAAAATGATGATTATTATTACATTATTTGATGATTCTTACTATTGTTATGATCATCGTTCATCAACATGATGATTATTACAACATGATGGTGATGACGGGGAGGATGACTATTATAAACAATGATAATACATGATAAAACATGATACGCATGGATTTTGGATGATGGACGATGGATGATTATTACACCATTTTTTTATGATTAATTTTGATTGTGATGTTTATTATTACTAAGGTTTTTATCATTGTCAATCATGATGATGATGATTATTATTATTACGATGACTATTAGTATTATGATTAATTATGATTATGGTGATAATTAAGATTATATTTGTTTTTTATTGTTGGTAATGGTGATGATGATTATGATGACTATTGGTATTTTGAACTATTACATTAACAATAGTATATATTTAGTAATAAAAATGGGAATTATTATTATTACTATTATTATTTTTTTTGTTAATTATGATGGCAATTATAAACAATGATAACGCATGATGAAACATGATAAACATGGATTTTTGATGATGGACAATGTATGATTATTATTATTTTGATTATTACCCGTTTGATTATTATTAATTATGTTTATTATGATGAATAATTATGTTTATGATGATGATGATGATGATGGTGATGATGATGATGATGATGATGGTGCAGGTGCTGGTGATGGTGATGATGATGGTGATGATTAGTACAGTATTAGTACCTATTTTTATTACTATTATTATTATTGTGATTATGATTATGATGATAAACAATGATAAACAATGATAAACAATGATAAACAATGATAAACAATGATAAACCATTGGGTTTTTGGATTTCGCAGGGTTTCGTCCGTATTGTTTTCAGACAAAACCGGATCCAAAATATGCAAAACATCATTCTGAACATGTCCCAGTTTGCTGGGTCAATTGACTGGATGGACAGTGAAGTACTTTAAATAAATACGATAATATAACATTTTGCCATGAATGGATCAACATTAACATGATCATTTTTTCCCCTTCAGACTGGCATTTTGGTTTGAAACAAGTTCACATTTTGACATCCAACGCCTGGGTCAAACTCCCATAGGAGGAGCTTGGGCGGATCCCATCACCACACACTACATGGTTTCTATGAGTGGTTTCTAGTGGGGTGGCATCAATTGGAGATCGCTCGCTTCCTACTTGGTGTGTGGGTGGCACGAAAAATCACGAAAAGTGGTGTGGAATTGTGTGGTATGCAGCAATTGGAAGGAATGACTTGACTTGGGATTGCCATGGATTGCCTGATGCTACAAAATCCTCAGAAAAATCAACCAGGTGCAACAAACCTGATGGGTTGCGCGAGTTGATACTGCGTATCAACTCCCAGATCAACAGCCAAGTGGGAACCCATGGGAACGCGTTTCAGAAGTGAACATCATTTCGGCTGCCCACAGCTCGCAGGGCGAGCGTTGTGAAGCTCCTGTGTGATGCGGCCACATGGGGAAAACAGGACTGTGTGTGCCAGAAAATCAAAGTGGCTCAGCACACCTAGACCTAGTCTAAGCTACGTCGATGTACATGGTACTTTGTCCTAGACTCCTAGACTTTCTATTTACCTTTTGAATTTGATGGAATCTATACATGGATCGTTATGAATCTATTCTGATTTAGTTGATCTTGATCTTGACTATTGAATTTGACACCTTGGGATACTTTTTAGCCATTTAAGGTGCTGCCAGGGTCCTTCCTCCAACCCCCAGGAGCGAGTGGAGCAGGTGCCGATGAAGTTTGGAGCATGACTGGACGATCTTGGATGCACATCTCAGGTTATAATAGTTATGCAGTTCTGCAGCAATAACTATTGAACATGGTCATAGAAATAGGTGATTTACCCATGAAAAATGGTGATTTTCAATAGTTATGTCAAATTACCGAAGGGTGTATCTTGGTGACGTATATACATACATACATACATACATACATACATACATACATATATATATATAATTATATATATATATTGTCTACATATGTGATATTGCGATCTAAAATGTATGTTTTATGGTGTTATTTTGTTAGCATTCTATCTGCAAATTATTTGGGAAACAAGTCTGCATCCAAGTACCGCCACTGGGCTCATGGCATTAGTCATGCCATGATTTTTCTTGATTCCACTCGATATGTGCCACCAATGACGAACATGCTCGTGTCCCTGCAAACTGCGGAACCCCTAAAACCTCTTTTTGGAGGCAAACTGTGATTACGAAACGCCCATGTCAAAGTGCAACTCTGCAATTTTCGTGAATCATTTTGAGAAATTTTGCAAGAGGTATGAGTGATGATAATTTAGGAGTGGGTTGATCGAATTATTCCAATGTTCTGACCATTTCCAGCCCTTCTTGGTAGTTCACCCCAGTTAGTAAGCGGGTTATAATTTATAAAGTTATGACCCCTGTTATAGGATTCTATAAGTAGGGTATATAAGTAGATGGAAGTCGGTTGGTCTAGTTGAAACAGGAGGGTTCCAAGTTATTATAGGTACATGATAGCAACAAGAGAGATTGTTTTTTTTCATTTACCTCTTTATTTGCCCCTACAATCCGCATTGTACATACATACGTACCATACATTCCATTTCATTGCATTACATTGCGTAACATTGCATTGCGTTACATACATACATATATAATAATTACATAGTATATGTATATATATATAGTAACAGCAGTACAAAGGTATGGTTTTTTTTGGGTGAGACCTCTTCACATATATATTTACATACATACATATACATACATCATGTACATACACACACATATATATATATAAGTATATATATATAAGTATATATATGTATATATAAGTATATATATATATATAGATACCAAGAGATTTCAACCGACGATTCCAGGCCCTGCAGAGCTGTCACTTCCGGCCCGAGCTGCTCTCGGCGCCCCTGGCCGAAGCTGCAGGACGCGGACACCTGGAGGTGTCGCAGGCGCCCATGGCCCCTTGGGGGATGCAATGGCCCCTTGGGGGATGCAATGGCCCCTTGGGGGATGATGAGATTCAATGGACATCCTGATTCAATAGTGATTAATGTTATTAAAGGTTATTCATGCTAAACATTATGATATTTATGACTTAATGGTTATTTAATAGTGATTAATGATGATTTATTCATGAAGCTAGTGAAGAAATAGCCAATGGGGATTGTAACTGAGGGGATTTGGAGGCGTATGGAGGCAATAATGAAATGAAGAAGCAATGGGAGTATCAAACTAATGATGAGAATACATCATAGCAATGGAGCTGTAATTGATAAAAAAAAAATAATTATGGCTAGGAGTTATTCATTGCGAATTTCATGATCGTCCAGATGTTGTTCTATTTGGTTTCAACTGGCATTCATCACACTTTTGTGGACATACTTCATAATATTGATAACACACCGTTGATTTTTTTGGACAGTCGTCACAGGGTGAAGGACAATGGTAGACTGGTAGACTGAGATAACCTTTTCAACATCCAGTCCAACATGAGAATTCTTTGTTTGGTGATGTTGGTCGGTTTGAGAAATGACAGGGATCATCAAAATCCAATGGCGCGAACATATTACATATTGAAAACGAAAAAAAAACTTATACTACATAGGCTTATGATTTATGATGATTGATGGTTGATTAAGGGGGGACATGCTTCCCAATACAATGGGATTTGTCATCATTAGGTTCCGGCACGGCTCAGATGTTGACGGATACTTTTGTGTGGCCTTTGGTCATGCTTGGATCTTGAAACCATAAATTCTGTAGTTTGTTCTTTTACTGTTTCATCTCGTAAAACGGAATGATGGTCCAAAATTGACTTCACCAAGCATTTCCGGACAATGAGCAGCAAAACATGGTTTCTCTTGCTGGGGTTTGGAAAATAAACACATGAGAAATATTGAGAAATCAATAGAACTGAAGCAAAGCCACAGACTTTTCATCATGATATATATATATATATTTATATTTATATTTATACATATATATATATATGTATATGATTATATTCATAGAGTCGATGATGTGTTTCACTTTCCCAGTGGGAACATCTCCATCCACCCGTGGCCAGGCCCTGGTGACGGCGCGCGCGGATCCCCTGGGCAAAGGCCCCAAGGGCGTCACGGCCTTACACCGCGCCGTCATGGAAGGACACGAGGAGGTGGGACCGGGACCAGTCGGCCAGTCGAGGATGGTTGAAAGCCTATAGATATCTATAGATCATGGGAATTTTATATATTGATACATTGATATGAATGATATGAAATATTGATATATTGATATCCTATCTATAGATATGAATTGATATATTGATAAATATTCCATAGATATAGTGGGATTTTCCCCACGTATCAACTGGTGGAGTTCTTCTGCAGAACATACGTATATTATATATATACACATTCGCAGCTATTCTTGTCGAGGATTTGTCAACATCGGCCATGCTGATCCCCAACATCCCCAACCTAAAGGGTAGTTTGATCCTTTAGTTCTTCTAGTTCGTCTTCTGCAATAATTGAAAATCAACATAACCAGCAGAAGATTTTATTTTTGAGTGGGCTCTGAAAGATTGACCATGTAGATATGAACCCAAAACGTGTCGAACACTTTCAGAACAGGAACCCATGTTATTTTGGACATCTACTGTCACCGTACTCCACCTCAAATTATTGGATGATAAATATGTTTACTCTGAGAGGGCTAGACTAGCTGGTTATGTTGATTTTCAATTATTGGATGATAAATTATTGGATGAAAATACGTGAGTCCTTTTTCAAAACTGGTCTTTTTATGTCTGTGTCAGTCCACAGAAATCCACATGCTATGCCAGTGCCCCATGGATGATCCGGGATGATCTGCAGTGTGCACCGAGTTACTGTTTTTGTTGGTTTACAACCCCATAAAAAAAACTTTCAACTGTAGCTATATATCATTATATATATATAACTACCCATGATTATGCCACCATTTTTGTCCACAACTTCAACATCCCATACCCAACTATGAGGTATCACCTGCTGGATACTTGGAGTAACAGGTTTGTAACCCTGGTGGTCGTAATTCCCCCAACTAGATCAAGTTTCCAAGTGGGGAAACTAATCCCACTTAGGCCACACTCACTAACCAGTTATTGGGAGTATATTGGGGTCAATATCTACCAATATCAATCACAAGCAACGTACACCACTAGTATTAGCAAGTGGTTTTTGCATAGCCAAACATGTCACTAGTGATTACTACTAATCCCATCCCCTTGTTAACCCGCCCCCAGAAAACCATGGATTAGTAGGGGATTTATGGATAGTCAGGACTCATGTGGGGCGTGTTTATATTATATCAGGGGAGGAAGATTACTAGGATATAAGATATACATAGATATACATAGATACATTATATCCTAATAATCAATAATCTATAATATACATATCCTAATATATTATAATCCGGAAGTTACTGGGATATAAGATATACATAGATATACCCTCCAGTAATCACACATGGCCAGCCGGGAAATCCCCCACTTAAATGGTGGTTTCAGCCAGAGAAACCGGAAACATCCGGAAACCCTTGAAGTAGTGAAAAAACACACATAAAAGCAGTGGTTTCCTGTAAATTCTCCCTTAATCAATTTATCCCATTTATATCCCATTTATTCCATTACATCCCATCATGTCCCATTGTATCCCATTTGATTCCGTTTAATCCCTATAGCCTATACCCCATATATGGCTATAGTTGATGGGTTCATAAGCAATCAATCATTCGGAAATCCATTGAGCCGAAGGGTACAATTGCCTCACTATATCCCATTTGATACCCTATAAATGTCCAACATGTTTGATGAATCATCCAAATTTAGTGCATTGAGTAATACATTGAGTAATAATTGAGTAATACATTGATAGAAATTCCCATGATCAATTGACATACCCTCTGGTAATTTAACGTAGCTATTGAAAATGACCATAGACATAGTGGATTTTCCCATTCAAAATTGTGATTTATTTTCAATAGCTATTTTGACATAACCAGAGGGTATGTGTTTTATCTTCCCACGAGAATCTCCATTAAAACTCCAACGGTCCAACGCTCCAATCCGCGGTCCCACCGGTCCACGTCTCAGGTGGCCCAGGTTCTGCTGCGGCAGTGCCACGCACTGGGCGTGGAGAACCCCCTGGCCGTGGAGGATGACCTCGGGCGGACCTGCGGCTCGGCAGCGATTTTTAGGGCCGGGCCGTTGTTGAAAATTCCACGGGGTAAAAATGTGGAGGATTCACCAGCCAGGGATTTTACAGAAAGTTAGGGGCAGTTTATATCATTTTATGGTCAATGATGGAGATTTGACATGACTTTAAAACTTTTTAAGATCAAATATTACTGTAATATGGAGGATTCATCAGCTAAAATGATCTAAAATGTTGGTGTAAATGTGTTTAACAATGGGGTTATTCAACGATCAAACATGGAGGATATACAGAGCAAACCTTTTAATGGATATATTTTATATAGGTAACAGGTATTTGATGGTAAATAGAGGGATTATAGCCGTACACTTTTACAATACCCAGGAGTGGCTTAGCAAAGAGGTTCCACCATGTTAGACTAGACCGCAAGCAGACCCGTCCCCAATAAAACATGGGAAAATCTCTTTAAAAGTAAAAACTAAAACGCTCTCGCTGGGTTCCTTTGGAGTTTCCTGCTATTTTTTCTCCCTCAAACATGAAACCACCTGAAATCCGTGTTGCAAGGCTTGGATTGCGCCATCGAACAGGACCTCCATGGCGTGGCACGGCGTTTGAAGGCGCTCGAAGCAGCGACAGAGGTCGAGTCAGAGGTGCCACCGACTCAGCTGCGGAGTATCAGCGTGGACTGAGATGCACGCAATGTGGGGGCCCCCACAGTTGTGTTTGTTGGTTTATAATGGCCATGAACTATAGTTCGATATTGTATGTATATTGTATGTAATTGTATATGTATATATATATGTATATATATACCATAAAGCCTAGTATAGCCTGGTTATACTAGTGAACTCAACCAACTTTGCTTTATCCAGGGGGCCCACGTCGGAGAGCTGAATCTCGCCAGAAATATGTGGTGATTTTGCAAAAAGGCGACCGTGCCTGCAGGCCATCGGCCACCAAACGCCAACATGAGACCTGTTGGAGATGGCCAATGTGATGCAATGTGTGGTGGTTTCCACTTGTCAGATTTTGGGTTATGGATGTAACGCACCATTTGGATCCATTTGGGCTCAAGGCACCACGCTAATGTCACCCCGATATCTTGGTATTTTGCTGCGCGACCATTCAATGTAGGGTGTAATAACACTATTTTCGCTGACATCATGCCATCAAGAAGAAGGCCAGAATTGGGACCACTATCCACTGCTGAAACATGCATAACCATGCTGAAATCAAGGATGCCGCAGACTGCAACACCATGAGCACCACTCTGATGTTTCTTTCTTTCCCTCAGTTGCTCGCCACCCAGCGGCTATGAAATTGTCATTGTTAAACGCCACTGAAAACTCAAAGAATCTCAGAGATGGACTGACACGAAAAGGGCCCCTTTCGCCATGGCGGTGCGAGGCTCAGTGGCGTTGTCGCCAGGGTAAACAAACTTCTGCATCCCAGAAAGTGGGAATCACTTGCCTGATACTTGTATGATATGCAGATATATATGCATGTAAAATAACAGTTTACTCACATGCAGAAATGCACATCCAAGTAATGTTCGATTCTTGTGCTGATCACAATTCCAGCAATCATTTTTGATAATGGAGTCAATGTCCTGGTTTTGAGTCTTTTACATCGCCTTCCCTTTCTTACTGGAACTCTTGTTTTCTTCCTCAAAAAGCCTTGGGGCCATCTAAAGCAAACATGTCAATGACTTGCTACTGTATGGATCAGATTTCAATGGTGCAGCTTTACATATGGAACCCTGCCCGAGTGTCTATAGCCCTGCCATTTCTGCACCCAGGCGCAGGTGGGCCTCCTTCGCCAGGACCCCAGCGTTTTCGCGGCGACTTGGGACGTTGGTTGCACGTTGCATTTGCCATATTTTGCCCGGTTGCCATGATAGTAGGGAACATGACTTATCATACTTTTCGGTCCAGAAGTGGGGAATCCTGTATACCATCGTATACCCGTTGGCTATGAGATAATGGGCTCAGTGCATTTCTGTGAGTTTGATAATATGTTATCAATGTTGTTTGGTTAAGACCCCAAGACTCAAGACACATTATAGTTGATATGGGCAGGGGTCAGAAGGATTTAACATATTTGAAGGGATGTTCACTTAGCCCGCCGTGACTATGTGATTTACTTTGGCGAGCGATAGGGCCGATAGGGTGCCTTGAAGAGTGAATCACCCCCCTCACAAGCAGTATCATCATCATCATCATCATCATCATCATCATCATCATCTCATGTCCTGTTGGCGAAAGCTGAGCAATTTCCATTGCAAGCAGGCTTGAAGACAGGGTGCCTTCAGGAGCTCCGTTGCAACCGAGGCTCAACGCGAGAGCAACTGCTCCTGCGGGACGAGTGTTCCACTTTGGAGAAGGACCGTGGGGGTTAAAGTTCATCCCACTTTCTGAATGGGGACTTACCCTCTGGTAATGACTAACATAGCTATTGAAAATGGCCATTTATGGTGGATTTTCCCATGAAAAATGGTGATTTTCCATAGTTATGTAAACGTTTACCAGAGGGTATCAACCAGGTTATTAAGCACTTAATGGGAGGATCCTTTAAAGTATAACCATGGCTATACCCATGGGATTTTCAGGACCCCAAAATAGAGGTACTGCACCATATAAAGCCGTATTTTGGGGGCATATCCCCTTACACAGGCCTTATATATGGTATTATATGGTAGGTACCTCCAATAAATCGGTGCCTGAAATGGCCATGATGATATCATGACAAACCCCAACCTGCTTCGAACCTCACGACCTCTTCACAGCCTTTGAAGACAGGCGCTTCTCGCTCAACGCCTCGGCCACTATGGGGTGCAACGCAAGGCGGAGGGCCGTCTTGCATGGCGGCCAGGGGGGGGGTTCCATAGTCATGGGGGATCCCCAAAATGGATGGTCTTTATATGTTTTCAAGGAACATCTTATTAAAATGAATGATTTAGGGATACCTCTATTTTGGGACACCTCCATATGTGGGTGGATGTCAGTTTATCAGCTCTTTGCGGGTTCACGAGGGGTTTCGACATGTTTTGACCAGCCATAGATTTTATTGCGAAACATTGTGAATGATTGTGAACCATTGTGCAACTGACATGAATTTACTATGACATGTGTGAAGGGTTGTGATTTACCTCGAGCTGGTGTATACAAGAATCCAGGTTTTGAATCTGTTCGCTGCCAAATGCGGTGCAGAGTCTAGCCAAGCCATTCTGGGTAAATTATAACGACCTCACTGCGACCTCACTGGAAATCATGGTTAGTAAGGAACATCATCCCCAAATGGCCTTAATTCATTCAGGTTCGCCCTTGGCGTCAGCGGGGGGTGGGCAGGGACCGCAAGAAGTTGGTGGCCTTAATTCAGGTTAGTGAAATACTATAATTTACCTAGATTCATGTTGATGGAGCTCCAGAAACGAGTGTTTTTTCTTTTGCATGGAATCCCCAAATCTCAGTGTTGGGTGATGGTTTTCCGATTGGACTTTGACATTTCACCCGAAAATGTCACTGAGTATACTGCATAATTACATATACCCTCTGGTTATGACTAACATAGCCATGGGAAATCACCATTTTAAATAGGTAAACCATCTATTTCTATGGGCCATTTCCAATGGCTATGTTAAATAAACAGATGGCAATATACATGGAAGGGATGGTCATTGCAGATTGATCCGCACGGTTCATACTGTAGAAATCAATAGTTACTTTTTCCACCAGTAACCCCAAAACAAGTAGGGTCTCGTGCACAGGGGTTACTTATCCCCATCAACCCTGAATTTAGGAGTTTTTTCAACTCCCATGATCTACACGAACCAGTTATAAGACGTTATAAGTTGGTTTACGCTGTTTGTAACATTATACACTTATAATGTATATATAGATAGATAGAAATTATACATATATATATAGCTATATATAATTTACAATCTCACCCAACCTTAGATATAACCAACATAAAGCCAACATATATTTTTACTTATCGACCAACTTGATCATTGATTGAAAATCCATTCGAATCCCTTTTTTCGTTGGTGAAGCCCCTATTCTAGGCAGATGATGTTACCATTCTTGTTGGGCCCAAATGGGGGGGAACCTTTCGTGCAGGTCCTGCAATTGACATCCTTGGCCACAGAGTGGCAACAGAAGGAGTGGCAGCTGTCTTTCCAACTGCCGGGAGCTTAGAATTTGGATGTGCATCATAGTCAACTTTCACGTGCTTGGGAAACTCCTGGTAGCTCATTGGCTCTCCATTTAACAAGACATTTAGATATTATCCATGATACCTCCAGCTCCTTTGCTCCTTCTTTTCCAATGGATAACAAGAGCATGACATCTCCCAATACGATATAATTATAAGGTGAATCTGTGGGCTACGGTACAATGAACTATTGCAGCCAGACGAGTGATCCAGGGAGGTGAAGCTTCCAAGAAGCTGTCCTCGGCTCACCAAGCTGGACACAAATCAAGCGCTTCAAGTGTCGCCCCAGCGAATTACACGACGACACGTTGCATGGTCACAGTTTTTCTTCCGACCATAATAAGCTATATACCCTGAAGGTTTCCTAAAATGAGGGTACCCCCAAATCATCCACTTCAATGCTGGTTTTCACATTTTTCATCATAAACCATCCAACTATTGCGGTACCATTTATGGGAATCTCCATTCAAACAAATCCACTATATTCACATATATTTACTAAGTATTTAAAGATCATTTCTGGTCACCTGGCAGCTCTCTTTAGGCAGACGCAGCAGCGAGAGCAAGAAAGCCTGGCTGACCTAAGGCGGGAGCCGTGGGAATATCATTGGAACACAGCCAAGACACATCAAGACACCAAGAGTTACTGCAAACTGGGTGGTTTTGTGAGGTTCAATGAATTGGTTTTAAGGATTTTTCAGGAACATCTAGAGGAAAGCAGTTTTTTCCCGCACAACAAACACCAAACGCTGGCAATGCGAAATCCCTCAACTAAATGGGCATCACATCATCGAGCATCATCGAGCTGAATGCGGGACTTTCCAGCAAACCCATGGTCGGTTCCCAAAGGATCCCAAAGGTATATTCCGTTCATATACTGATGTAGTAGTTTTATAATGTTTTATCATTCTTCAGCTATGATGATTTAGATGTTCTCTATTGATCCTGGCATATATTGATGTTGTTCTATCATGTTTTATCATTCTTCAGCTAATGATGATGATTTAGATGTTCTATATTGATCCCGGCAAAGAATTGAAACATGGGATTTCCCATCGCCATGTGCTGGGATGTTCAGAAACTGAGAAAGACCAGAAACTGGTCATCCCGCTACCAGACGTGGTTGGGAAAGGGAACCTCTTGAAAATCGCTGTGAGTTTGGTGAATAATAATATTGTATACTTCAGCCAGAGGAATAGCATTGATAATATCCGGTAATTGGACTGCGCCGCGGAGAATTCTTGGTTTGTAGATGTTTCACCTACTGAAAATTGAAAATGAGGAGTTTCCATGTGCCAGTCGTTTGTGGAGAGAGTTGGACATGTGGTCCTGGGAATACCTCCGCACAAACAGGCTGCAGGTGTTCAAATTGATGCCATATTTGAGAATGGCAAGTTGAGGCAGCGATTAAACCCACCCAACCCCAAATTCGCTAAAGTCGTCGACTGCAATACCGTTGCGGAAGCTGAATCTGCAGTCACCGGTGGCCTCTCCTACTTTCTGCTGGGTACTTCACATGTTCCTTCTATCTAAATGAAGCCATCCAGCATCCGATGGTTGATCCTGGGCACCATTTAGTGCGATGAATTTCCCATTAAAACTGATCATCTTAAATCCCTAGGAATCACCATGAAATTCCATTCAAATCCCATGAGTTCCCTCCACCCCATGGGATCCCATGGGTATCCATTCCCCAAATTTTGATAATTTTGCTGGATGCATCCCAGTGGACTTCTTGGCTCGACCTTTCAGCGCGCATTCCGTTGCGGCGTGAACCGGGCACCGGGGGAATCCCCAGGGGATCCCAGGGGGGCATGAAGCTGCTGTGTGCGGAACCTAAGAGGATCGATGGCAGTGGAACCCAACTTGGGTACTAACAATACGTGGGGCCGTGGGGCTAGTTCAATCCCTATGGCCAGTTACTCACCACCTATAGCCTGGCAATGTGGCAGACCCAACGCCTTAAGGAATTTGACGCCACTACCATTTCGTTTTTTTTTTTTTTTTCCCACCCATTTATGGTCACCTCACAGACAAACCTCACCAACCAAGCATTGAAACTACACCATATATCACTTAATTATATTATCACCATTTTATGACAATGTTTGATGCTTAGTATCCCAATCTATTCCAAGGACGATGTTTACCACCTACTACCCTGGACTTTTTGGTAATCAAACATGGCTTGCCGGAAAAACCACCATTTAGCTTGATGATTTCCCAAACACATGCCCATTTGAGCAACGTTTTAAACTTTAAACCTTTGTGTTCATGTTAAGTAAGGGGCCCCTTGTAAGGCCGTGGCATAAGCAAAACTGCGGTACGCGTAAGCCAGCGTAAGCTCCGCATAAGGCAAGATATGCGCGTAAGCAAAACCTGTGCGCGCGTAAGCAATGGCGTAAGCATTTCCTTATTTGGTGCCAGGATGTAAGACATTTAGAACATGCCCAAATTTCTTAAAGTGCTTTTCCCAGCCATGTTTCTAGCGAAGGGTATAGCAACAGCCATGTCAGGTGTCCATTTCGGTATTTCTGCATCTTGGTGCATCTTGGGGCCAGAAGTGAAGGTATTGTATATATACCCTCTGGTTATTTAACATAGCCATGGCAAATCCCTCATAAATGGAGGTTTTAATGGGAAACTCATCTATAAATGGGCAATTTTCCATGGCTATGTTAAATAACCGGAGGGTATTTTTATATACCCAATAGGTCATGAATATCATCCTAAGAACATCCCAAAAAAATATCCCATTCAGCCAAAAAATGCCATTAATATCCCCATTACGATATACTGTATGTCGCCCCTCCCAAAAAAATAAAAAAAAACATCCTGATGTCTAACCGTATTCTGTCCAGGGTGAACTAATAGTTTGCTATATTTTGCTATGGAAAATCAATGTAAGTCATCCTTGTTGAAGATGTCAAACGTCAATCAGCTCAATCAACTATAATTTATACAATCATGGTCCTTTTCCATGGCAAACTATTACCAAAGGCCCAAGTTCATTGGGTTGGTTAAAGGGAAACAAAAATACAGGAAACCTCTATATTTAGTGGAATTTTAGTGGTAAAGACCATGGTATCCCGTAAATTTTCCCGTAAATCCAATGACAAGTGGACTGTTCCTCGATCTCCTCAACGGCTCGGCTCAGCGCCTCCGCGCCTCCGGCCCCGCCATCGCAACGCACCATGGCCGAGCCAACGGCGCCGCTGGCGCCGGTGGCGACGACGGCCTTCGCGGCGCAAAGGTTGCCGCGGAACACCATCCAAACGGCAGCTCAGATGATCTCAGATGGCTGGAAGATGGCTGGAATACACGGGGGAAAATGGATGAAACTTGAAGATGGGTGATTTTTCCATGATTTTTCCATGATTTTAAGGACAATTCAAGCATCTAACGTGATGTTGAAAATATTTGAACATTTTTGTGTTTACTTGGGTGGTTTTTGGACATTTTAAGGATCTTTCTCGATTGTTTATCGTTTCATTAAATGATAACGGGACAGGAATGCCATCAGAGAATTTGTTGAATGGAACATTCCCCATTGTCCTTGCTGAATGTGAGCGCCGTGAAGGCAAGTGTTAGTGATTTGGGGGTGGATCACACGGATTTGCGAATGGGTCACACCTTTACATCTGTTTAGGCCGTCCAAGTCCACATAAGATCCCTCACAGGCAGGTGATCTGTAGACACTGTTTGTTTTTCCTAACTTTTTGGATGCCCAAAAATCGCACAATCATCATTTCCCATCGGTGATTAATTAGTGAATTTTCTTATAGACTTTTCTGGAGTGAATAGCCATATGCATCCATATGCCATGATGGTATACTACGGTTAGTTTTACCATTTTCCTAAATATAAATCGATCCTCAGAAATCTCGGATTTTTACAGCGGGCCCAGGTGGTGGCGCCCACGGTGCGGCAAACGAGTCCATTTACACCGCGCGATGGGAACGTTGCGAACATCTGGGCCGCGCCCTTGCGGAGTTCGTCGGTGCCAAGTCGCTTGGTCTTTGGGTGGGACCAACGATGCCAAGTGGTGAGGAGTTTAAGACATCCCATGACATTCCCAACATACCCCAACCTTCTGGGTATGTTCTGGGTATTTAATGGGATTTAACCATCTATGGTGTATTTTATGGATGAAATATGATGAAATGGGATATGATCATCCCCAACCTACTGGACTAGTTTGATCCCTGTTTTGGGGGGGGCTATACCCTCTGGTAATTTAACATAGCTATTGAAAATGGCCATTTGTAGTGGATTTTCCCATTAAAAATTGCCATTTTCAATAGCTATGTTAAATTACCAGAGGGTAAATGGAAAAACAATGTAAAAACCAGCAAAATATCGTTGTTTTTTTTGGTTTTGGTGGACTATCAAAGATTGAATACGCCTGCATATTGTTGTTTATATATACATATGTATATATGTATATATTATATATAATTTACTTGTACGTTTTTTTTTGGGCGAAGGGAATTAGGTGTCGGCCATAGGCTAGCCAGCTAACACAAACAATGTAGGATCTAAGGTTGGGTACGGACTAGATGGTCTATATGTGAATATCATATACCCCTACAATATGGGCCCTCCAGTTATAAGTTGTTTTATAAACCCCATTAATTATAGTTATAAGTTATAAGTATCATAAACCACAGTTATTGGAGTTGTAAACCAACTTAGCTATCGATCGGGGGCCCACATTGTAAGTTCCATGCCACATTCATCAGATGGTTTTCCTCTTAGAGACGGCCGGAGAAGATCCCACTAAGAAGAACAATGGAGGGGAAACACATGAAACACCATGATGGGTCTAAATCCTGCACTGGTGCAGTTCCAGTGAGAAAGTTGGATATTGTATTTCTGCATAGAAAAAAGGGGGCCCGAGATTCCAACTTAGGGGGGTAAACATCCAATTGTTATATTATGTCTATGTTACATTATCTATACGAATAACCCCCAACTGCAGCCTAAGTACTCTCTGATAATCTAACGCAGCTATATAATGCGATATATATATATATCATATCTCATAATATCCATATGGAAAATGACCATAAATTGCCCATTTAGTTGGATGACTTACTTATCAAGAGCCATCTACATAGGGGGTCATTTTAAATAAATCATCCCGTTTGGGAACGGTTTGTTGGTGATGCACTGTTATAGAATTAATATGCATTAACTACCACCTGAAAATGTTGATAGTTAACTATTGACATTTATTATCATTAGTATGGATGATGAAGTTCTTTCTAATGGTTAATTAACATTATATAGTCATCTTAATATTAATCACTATTACTCATAATAGACATGACCATCGATACCAAATGTTGATAGTTAAGTATTGATGACTATGTTCATATCCATGATGTTTACCCTCTGGTAAACTAACATAGCTATGGAAAATCACCATTTATAGTGGATTTTCCCATTACAAATTGTGATTTTCCATAGCTGTGTTAATTTACCAGAGGGTACCTATGAATAGAGATTTTCAGGTGTGGTATGATCGCAGCTTACACTGAGGAGTCGCGTCGGCACAAGGCCTAGCCGCAGGACCCACCTTGTTCTTGGCTAGCGCCTTGGGGCTGAAACGCGGCGTCCGTTTTTTGGGGGGCAAAAGAGGTGTTGGAAGTGGTGAGGATTTAACCCATATTCATCCATTTTCCATGAATCTAACTGTGGATATTCCATATATATATATATATATAATATGTGTTGTGTTACTGGGGTAAATCAAGTGGTGTTCAGGCACCCACTTCGGGAATCGATCTTCCGCTATGCCCCAGTCGTCGGATTCGTCCGTGCAGTTTTCCCAGGTGGCGCCACCACTCCCGGACGCCCAGTGCCAGTGCCCTACACGCGGCACGCGCCCGTGGCCGTGGCCAACGTGGCGCCGCGCGCGCAGTTCGTGCGTCTGGATGAAGGCCTCAGCGGGGTCAACGGCATCAACGGCGTCAACGGCGTCAACGTCAGCGGCGTCAGCGGCGTCAGCAGCAACGCCGGTGCGGCCACCGGCGATGTGCAAAAGGTGAGGGAAGAACTGGAGGCACAGAAGCTCTTGGGATGGCTTGGTCATTGTAAGTTACTGGAATTTATATGCTGATGGGATGATTGTTGGGATGGTCATTTGATCTTATTTGAATGACTACTTAGAATGATTGTGGGGTGATGATTCGGATTAGTTCTTTGACGTCGTTTTATCTAGGTGTTTCAGATGTTTATATTAGGGCAAACCATGGCAAACCTCATTTGTAGAAACACGAAATTAGGGAACAGTGCAACCCAGATTGCGGAGGATTTGTTGGTGGCCCGGGTCACCAGAATCCACTCAAAAGATAGCAATGGATCACGACCCACAACATGGAGATGTCCAAGACATGTGGATTTGATACGATTTGATTAAATAATTCCATCCCTCGTTCATATGAACCACCCCCCATTCTATGGCCCCAATTATGTGGACTTTCCCTACATCCACCATCATCCACCATCCTCCACCATGGTTTCCTGGGGTCCAGGCTCGGATGGCTGAGATGCAAAGTCGCTGGGAGGAGCGTTTCTGTGAAGCCGTAGATTTCTGGCATCAAGCATGGTCCACCACCACTTCAGTGGCTCCAATGGCATCCTGGGGATCTGGTGGGAATATGGTGCGTATTACACCATCAGTTGATGATCTGTTTCCCGGGGCTTTACCAAATGGTACCAACAGAATCTGATCATTTGCTATTAAAATATTGCCCCATAACATCCATCATAACGCAGGTTTACAGCTTACTCACGTTTACTCTCATCCAGGGCTGACACTGACACCATCCTGAAAATCTATCTCGCTGGGTTGGTCAAGACGATATTGTTCCTTGGAATTTCGTTGTGGCGCCATTGCGCCCTTATGTGGGTTATCAAATTATATAGTCATGATATGTCATGATTATATAGTCATGATCAATTAGCCAAACATTCTTACTGTAATTTTCAATTGGCCCAAACGGATTCAGGGCAAGAAAGCTGCATTGGAAAGATCTCCCCACCGCAAAAGACTGTACTGAAACCACCGAAAAGGCAACAAAAAACATGAAAGGATGCCTCTTTTTCGAGAAACAAAAACGCAGGTTTGTGGATGTTTGTGGTTTCTTTTGCTACGCAACAAGTGTAGCAGCCATGGTCTCGTTGATACTATATATAAGTATATAAGCATTGATGAATGTGATGCGAGTTTGACACAATTACTGTATGCCATTATTCTGGGGGCTGGCAGCTGGCATTCGTATGACTGAGGGAAGTTTATCACAGCACAGTTTGCGCAACAAAAAGAAAAGTACAGTACCTTTGGCCAACATAGAATTAACATAGGTTTGCGCAACATTGCGCAAGCCACTCAGCTGGTTTGGAAGCTAAATGGGCCAGCCATTGGAAGCCAAGGTTGTCAAAGACTGCAACACCCACTGTGTCACTTACCTTGAAGATGACCAGCTCAACTCTTGGATTTGGCCGTTAACAGCTGAAGCGATAGGATGGGATAGGATGGGATAGGTAAGGCATGGCAACGATGGCAACGGGAAGGGATAACAAAAATTCAACGTTCGGAACAAAATGAACAAACAGATCAACTCTAAATGTGGTTCAGCAGAAGCTATGCTGATTATACCTGATTATGCTGGGAACTCTGCAAGATTGGATCCTTAAACAGTTTGAAGAAAAAACGGGCTTTAAAACGTACACATTTTACGCAGATCTTCGTGATCTCCTCAATGGTCTGAGGTGAAGCTGAGTGAGGTTTTGGAGGTTTGGAGCGTCCATTCTTCTAACGCTTATGGCAAGCGGACCGCACTGTGTCTGGTTGCCGGATGTTGATGTTGGCTTGGAATATGTAGTCATTGCATGTCATTGCATGTCATTTCATGTCATTGCATGTCATCGCTGGCCGAGTTGTGATGGCCTGATGTTTGTTGATGTTTGTTGATCTTGCCGCATGGTGTCATGTTGGTGATGATGTTCACATTGATAGCCCTTGGCACCAGGCGTCATTGGATCAACTTGGCCAAAAGAGCCTGGTCACTTGGCGTGCGACAGCAGAGAGGCATACCGGATCTATCCGGACTTGACGCATGGATTTGGCCAGCTATAGCACATCATACATACCCTCCGGTTATTTAACAAAGCTATTGAAAATCACCATTTTTAATTGGAAAACTCACTATAAATGGGGTATTTTCAATAGCTATGTTAGTTTTACCGGAGGTATGTTCCAAAATATCCATTTTGATGAGTTTTAATGTTTAAAATCCTGGTAAACCATTTGATTTGATTGTCCTTGGACTAACCCACATGTTTGAGCCCTCTAAACTAGGGGATATCTCACCAGTGAAATATTGTAAAAACATTTTTATAAATTATCAACATATAATATATATAATATATTTGAATCCAACAAATATGCAGTCGGAGTCCTTCGCCGACTTGTCCTTCCAAGGAGGTGGTGAACCTTCAAAATCGCGTGCAACTACTGGAGGCGACTCTTCGCGAAGCCGTAGCTCCGAGATGGTCCGAGCATATCTGTAGTAACTCTCCCCAAAACGACAGAAAAGACTATCTATCTATCTATCTATCTTTCTATCTTTCTATCTTTCTTATCTATCTATCTCTCTCTCTCGCAACATTTTAATGCCAGGATTTTACTTCTCTATCTTTTAGAGGGTCACGATCGTAATTATTGCGGTAGCCAGATTCTTTGCCTACACAGTAGAGGCTGGTCGAAACAATCACCATGGGTTTGAGCTTCAAAGAGGGGGCATCTAATGAGTCAGGAATAATCCCAGTAATAATCCGATTAACAATCCCAGAAATCCATAGAAATCCTCATATCATGAAAATCATCAATCACTTCTTGTACGCAACCTGATTCAACAGTGTATTCCAATGTATTCCATGGATTTGGGCATATTTGGACATTTTTTCGACCTTGGGGGATATTTGGCAAGATAGCCGTCCTCTCAATGCCCATAGCGCCCTCATGGTTTTTGCCCGGTAGAGGCAGCGTGTGGTCAAGCAAATTCGCCTGTGAACAAGGATGCCAGCTCACCTCAAACCCTGTGGCTGGGACCAATGGGACCAATGGGGGACCAATGGGATGGCTTTTTCCCCAGGTGAAAAGCACTTGGAAGATCTTCAAGATGCAGAAGTGCAAACTCAAAATGTAGCCATGCTCATGGAAAACATAGTGCAACTGGATATGTCAGGGGATCGAAAAACCATCAGAAACCACCACCAAGACAAATTTTATGATGAATGCTGGGCACTTGGCAGTGGAAGATGGCTGTATTTTAGGAAGTTCATTTGGCCGGTGGCTAGATTAAAGGGAAAACGCTAGTGTCCCAAGTGTATCATTAAAATTGAGGCTTGAGCTGTTTTTATTTAAGCAGCCTTTTGTGACAGATTTGGGTTTGCCTTCACCACACTGGTGGGTTAAAATCGACGAGCCAGTGTGAGTAGATATGCCAATAGAGAACTGCTTTGGGATAGCGCAACACTCTATCAATATAGCACCTCAAAAATAGAAAGATAAAATCCTACTGGTATCTACAGTACTGGTAATTTACTGTTATTTCTTTGGTGGGGGTGATGTGCAGAGCTTGGGATGGAAGCCATCCCTCATGTCGAAGTGTCGCTGCTAGAGACGGGAACTGTTTGTGCTCCTAGAAGCTCTTGTCGCCTCATGTTAAATAATCATCAAAGATCTATACAGTATGTAAATATATGCAGGTGTTGGCTCAATTACGTTTCTTTGGGTTGACATTTAGATGCTGTACTGGTTGTACCGTGTCTTACGCCCTGCATTCAAATCATGCAATGGGTTTCAGGCCCCATCTGTCGTTGCGGCTTGTTGTAACCCAGGCTGAGCGGCTGCTCCGGAACCAGCCACTGAGAGGAAATGATGGTGGTTTGCTGGGGTATATACACAAACAACCTTTCCTGAGGATTTGCATTCTGAGTTGGAGGGTATGGAAGGTAGTTGTCAGCTTATCTGAACTCTTGATTTAATCCTTTCCGGCTCCCTGAGCTTGATCAACTATCAGTGGTGCTGGTGGTGTGAATTGACCATTAGACTATCTACTTTTTCAGGAGACTTCTAACACCACTAAAAAAATATTTATTTTTTACCAACAAGTCATGTTTTTAATACCTGTTTATATCATGTTATGTTTTCTTTGTTTCTGTGTTAAATGATTTATTTATGAGGCAACTGAAACACCAGCCATGAGTTGTGCATTTTTTGTTCCATCAGACTTCAGCAGAAGCCCTGGATGGCCATGGTGAAACTCCCAAGGCGACAGTTTCAAGAAGCTCTCCGAGGAGCACTCGAGCCATGGATGCCATGGCAGCCTTCTGGATCTTTTCAGCTCCATGATGATGGGCTAATTTGCTTTATGACTTTATGCTAATTTCATAAGTCGCTTTTTGGTGTACATATATATATATATATTTACTTACACTTTACATATATCGAAATGTATAATGATCATGAATCATGTACAATCAAAATAAAGCTAAATGAACCTAATTCCTACCATTTATCGCCATACATGGCTAATGAGTATCATAAGATCATGGTAAATATTACATCATTAGTCAACCAGCATGCTATCTCCATACCAAGCAGATAGCAAATCGCCAAAAATACATAAACATCCATTAACTATATCATGGAGAAGGGTTGATAGTATTTGGAATTTGGTACACGAATAACTTGTAATTGTTGTGAGTAGAACTTTTAAAACTTGTGATATGGTCAAAGTGCAGTCCTTTTTACCTTTTTTGGGGCTACCCTCTGGTACTCATTGCCCTTGCGGGAAAATCCCTCATTGGATGTTCGACATGTTAATGCTGGAGGATGTAGCGAATGCCATGAACAATGCCATTCAATCACCATTGTTCAATCATTGTTCTTGGCCAAAAGCCTATATAAATCTAGAAAATCCCATGAACATCTAGCATCCCATCTTTGATCTTTTTTGTATCTTTTTGTTTGTTCGCGTCATCCCAGTCCCGAAACAGATCACCATCTCAAAAAAACCCAATGGAATTCCCAATAAAAAGCGGATCCAACCTGCGACTCGCCAGGAGTTGGCCTCCTTCGCGGACTACGTCTCCGAGCAGAGCTGGCGCATGCGCTCCGACCTGGGCCGGGACAACTCGAAGCCACAGCCCAGCAGTGCCGGGGCCTTGCCCAGGCCGCCAGTGGAGGCCACGGCCATGAGTGGCTTGGTGGAAGGGGGATTTTCAGGGTCAATTTTTTCGATTATAACTTCTAGGGCCATACGGATTAGAGTCACTAGAGGATTATATTATATATATATATAATTAATTATATATAATATTATATAATTTTATATATTTAATTATATATATATAAATAACCTCTGGTAATTGAGTTTGTCCTGAACAGGCCCGCCATGTTCGGAAACGATTCGGAAGCAAGCCCGATGACATGTCGGTGTCGCCATGTGAATTTACAGTACGACGTCCAGCAAGCTGCTGGTTTGAACTTAGGGCTAATAATAAGCAACCATTAAAAAAAATGATGGTCATCTTGGAGCGGGTTGAGCCCCCATGATCTGGAGGTTATGGTAGCGGAGGGTTATGCTTGGAGAATTAGCCAACTTATTCATCTTTCAAGCGTGCGTATTATGCATAAGGTTTTGGAGATTTAATGGGATATTCATGGGGCTTACAATGGGATTTGGGGTTTGGTATCTAAAAATGGAGGATGGACCTAGGACCTAGCAACTTATGACAATGTTGCTGGGGACAATGAGGTTCTAATTGTTCTATATATAATCCATTGGAATGTTGGCGTTCTATTTTTAGACAAACCCGTGTGGGAATCAACTGGCTACTAAGTGGGCTTAGTTTACTCAGATGTTGGGTTAAGATAGTTACGGATATGTTTTTTGTTTGTTTAAGGATTCTTAACCATCAACGGGCAGGCATCAATATCAAACGGTTGATGAGCTATGATTCTAAGGTTGGATGGTGGGGTTAATTACCTTAAGCCAACATGGAACCCCCAAACTCTGGGGGTTGGATCGGTGCTTTTCCAAAGTTTATATGATCATAAATGTGGTGTCAATTTCAATTTTAGTGGGTATACCTGACTGGTGAGACTTGGATAGATTAGGATAGGACACTTTTTTATATATTCGGTATCGTAGAACTTAGATCCACAGCTGTTGTGTGAAGGTAAGAAAAAACTGTATGATGTTGCAGTTCTGACCCTGTGATTCAACCCATGGTGTGTACCGCTACACCAATTGGCCCCAATTGGCACTGCTGGTGACCGCTGGTGACAACACAAATTGGTTTCATGTCCAGTGTGATCACAGGGGAAGTCAATGACATGTTGCAATCAACCACATGCTCTTACATGCCATGTGTACATACCTATATGATTGGATGATTGGATGGGGTGTTTCTAGTTTCATTGTTTTTCCGTTTGGTTGGGCCAGATTCGCAGTTTTCTATCCAATTCTTTGCTGTATATTGACAGGAGCCATGACTCCAAATGCTCTATCATGCTCTAGCTACCTAGCTACCTAGCTACCTAGCTACCTAGCTAACGCTACATATATAATATATAATGATATATATATATATATAAATATATATAGTTATATCTAGCTTATCTATATTTTCTATATTCTATCTCATTCTCATGTGAGTTTTATCTAGCCCTGTCTTATTCATCCCATTTTATCCTACCTGTTCCTCTCCTAGGTCCTACCCTATCTACACCGATCGTAGCCCTGTCAGCCAAGGTCATTCATGGAGATAACGCTCTGGAGGATGTGGATGTTCTTGTGCATATTGCATGATTTTTCGGGAATGATTATCCGATTATCCCATGCTTGGGATAAATTAGGACCCATGACCCATTGCTCATTCATCTTTTGAGTTTTACACATTTTTTGACTATATAAAATGTCAATTTTTAGACGTTATTAGATATGTTTAGTCTGCCTTTTTTAGAGCATGCCAATTTTTAGATTTTTTGGACATTTTTGATGTCAAGGCTGGTTTCAGAAGTAAATGACCCGGCAAGTCACCACGCTTTGGATTGATTTTTGATCTCGGGCAGCCGGTGATGCCAATCCAAAATAGTCCAAACATCTTTGCGATTGGTGGTGTTTTTTTTAGTAGTTCCAGAATGTTCCAGAAACGGAGCCGGATAGAGTCGGATTGTATTCAGTTTGTATGGCCCAAAAACTGCTGAAATGCATCTGTTGTCCTCCAAAATGATTGGTTGCTCCAGGACCAAGCGGCTTCGCGTCTGACCGGCAAATGCACGTGGAAAAAGAGGCTGGGAGAGGAAAGCTGTGGAGATCCTTGGCCTTGGACCGTGTATAAAATCCTGGTTGGTGGTTTCAAATATTTTTTATTGTCCACAATATATGGGATAATCCTTCCCATTGACTAATTTTTTCAAGATGGTTAAAACCACCAACCGGAATCTATCTTCTGATCTGATCTGATCTGATCTCTCTCTTTCTCGGCGTCTTTGTTCGTATTGTGAGCCTGGGCATCCTGCTATATCCCAATTACCGTGCAGACCCTGAAGCACCAGGATCCACCGGGGTCGCCCGACGAATTTTCCCAGTTTTTTTTTGGTTTTTCAGAGATGGACTTGATTGACATACCCTCTGGTAAACTAACATAACTATGGAAAATCACAATTTTCAATGGGTAAATCCACTATAAATGGTCATTTTCAATAGCTATGTTAAATGACCAGGGGGTATCATGACATATCCCAATTGCTGGTCATTTTAGCAACACCAATTGGAACTAGCTAGCCAGACTCACTGGAACATCGCATTTTGGAGAGTGGCTTCACGACCATGCTGGCAGATGGTTTGCATTTGTGCCGATTTCCATGCTATGCCACTCCACCTGCCATGTCTTGCTGATCTCTCGAGATATTTCATGAGAGATGTGAATTTCCCATCCAAGAATCTGGATGACCCCAAAAGAACAGACAAAATCTTCAAGAAAAAAGGGCCTAGGTGCACAGAAAACCGCATATAAAAGCACATATAGAACCACATCATAGAAACCACATCAAAACAAACATTAAAACAATCCATGGAAAAAGCATGAAAAACTGAAAAACCATAGAAAATCATGTGTTTATCAGCATCAAACTCCTCCATTGCTGGCTCCTGATGGCCGCCTTGGACGACGTCACCTCCGCAGCGCCGGCCTCCGCCACGTCGTCGCCGCAGAGGCCGGCGCGGAAGCACGTCACGGTGATCTCGGCGGGGTCCATCCTGGGGCGCAGCGAAGATCCGGAGGGGGAACATGTGAGACTTGGATGTGAAACATATATGGGTATGGATCAATACCTATTAATACCATTTTTAATGGGATGAACATCCATTTACCAGCTATTTTGATGTTCACCAGGGGTACAAGGTTTTGACACACTGCCATATAAACATATCAAATTATAGGATGCTATATGTCCTTTTCTATTCTTTTGTATCATACATAATAGTAATGTATTTGTTCTTATATAGATAGATGGATATAACTATTTTCTAATTATAGGGACTTACTATAGGGATAGTATTAATTATAGTAGTCATTTTTTGGAGTTTTATCCAGTATGGTGGTATTATAGTACATTTTTGTAGGCTTGAAATTTGGGTATAATGTAGATATAGCACTGTATAGCTAATAATTCATAATCATGGAGTTATCATTAATACTTAATAAATAATGATATGATATTATTACTTGAAATTATGAAAATTAGGCACATATGTAATTATTAATGTATATAATGTAACTATAATCATGGGGGCCCGGCCTGGCACTTGGATAGACTTGCGATGTGAGATCGGCGACTTGGCACTTCAAGGATTTCATGAGATATGGTATTGTAAGACAACTTAGATGTTCTATCTATATCTATATATTTATATATATATACACATGTCTATACCTATCTACATCTATTTGTTTATGTATGTATATATATGCATGTATTTATGTGTGTATATGTATATGGATGTGCATATGCATATTCATTATGTATATGTATATGCAGATGCAAATGTGTGAATATGCATATGTTCTTATTACGAACAGGCACAGCTCTGGACTTCGATGCGTGATGTGTGGTATAGATCCATTTGCGGATGCATACTGTTCATTTTCAGCGGATGTTACTGATATAAACTTGTTGGTACACAGATTTATTATATACCTTCTGGTTATGAAAAACGGTTTGCTATGGAGAATCACCATTCTGAATAGCTAAATCATGATTTATCATCTATGAACGTGCCATGGCTTCCAGAGCAATGTTAAACAGCCAAAGCGTATTTCAATCTACCGGTCCACATGGCTTTGTGGTCAACAGGGTCAACAAGTTACTTTTGGGGGGTCAAGAGCATCACCCCGACTGTCATAAACCCCTTCGAGGAACGGACAACTTACAGAGCATAGGAAGAAAAGCGAAAAGGAAAAGAGACAGGCAAAGGACAACCCAAGCGGATAATGAATAGGAGAAGGAACATACCATCTGGTTATTTAACATAGCTATGGAAAATCACCATTTTTAATAGGTAAACCATCTATAAGTGGGCTGTTTTCCGTGGCTATGTTAAATCACCAGAGGGTAGAAAGGAACATGGCAATAGTGAACAACAAACGCATGGGGTTGAGATGGGTCTTATCAATTTGGGGGACAGGGAAAGGTCAGTAAGTAACCCTGAAAATAGTCACCCCAATTAAAATTAAAAGGGGATCATACTAAATTAGTACCACAAAAAATCTGGGGATCAGAGATGGGCTTTAACTTCTGACCTGAGCATAGAGCTCGCCGGCAGACCCAGTGCAAAAAAAGAGGATCAGAGATGGGCTTTACTAATTGAGGGGGTCGCGCCACTATGGGGGGGAAACCCACCTAATTCAGGGGCTGATGTAGGGGGATGCAAGTCTGGATGGATTCCGGGGGGGCTTCTTCGAAGCTGAAAAGATGAATTTTGCCACTTAGAAGCTCTTAGAAGCAGAAGGGTTCTAAGAAGCTAAACATACAATTTAAATCAAAAAGAAAACTTATCTTCTAAGAAGGCCTCTACTTCTAAGAGGCTGCTTCTAAGAAGCAAAACCCTTCTAAGAAGCCCATGCAGCTTCTAAGTGCTTCCGCGAAGCAAAAAACGCATCCATCCCGCGTTCCCACCAGAACTGCGTCCCCTTAGATTGGGTCCTCACTAATTGACTTTGGTGTTACCCTCTGGCAAACAAACATAACTATAGAAAATCACAATTTTTAATGGGTAAATCCACAAAAAATGGCCATTTTCAATAGCTATGTTAGTTTACCAGAGGGTACCCCAACATCCAGGGACAAGGTCAAATTTACCTAACAGGCTAACAGGCTAACGGGGGCTCTGGCTGCTTCCAACATGGGGAAATCAATGGATTGGTTTTAAATCTACAGAAAACCCATGAAAACCTTCGGTTTTACCCATAAAATGCAGGGGGTTCCCGTAAATTGTCCTTTAAAAACCAATCCAATGATTCTATATTCAACATTTTTTGAGCCATAGTTGGGGTGACTTTCCCACCGACGAATTCGTCTTGTTCAGGCGGTTGAAGCTACCAGCCAGCAATGAACCAATGTTTCGCTAGAGGTGCTGGGGTAAATTCTAAACACCTGACAACGACCTCACCACAAGGGTTGGTGGGGGTGTCATCCCCAAAATTGTTTATCTCATGTGTGTGTGTGTGTGCGTGCGTGTGTGTGTGTGTCAATTGTATATATATATATATACATACATATATATATATACATAATTATATCTTATCCAGATGCCATATACATATCATACTACTGCCATGTTTCTCCTGTAATTAATGTGGCAAACCCAATCACAAATCATCCCATTAACCATCCATAAAAGGGGTCCTTTTCAATGATCCCATTTCTAGGGGTATACCCAATTTCATAAACCTCAAACTTGGGCCTGGTTTACTCTATATATGACAGTAAGCCCATATATAATTGTATATAATTGTCCATGATTACCCCACTATTATCCAATATTAATCCATCTCATGAATATGCTACTATATCCCGTTATCATTGGCTTTACCCCATTATATAGTGGTGAACTAGTAATGATGATAGTTGACTATTGATGGTTTATTATTTGGTTTGCCTCAGTATTTTCTTTTACCACTGCCATGCTCACCATAGCACCGCCACGTTCTCAAGGAGCACTGCCGGGGTTTCTGTTGACTTCACAACGAGCGCTGGACAAGTGGATTGGGTTACCAGTCAGGACTGGTTTGGTTTCGTGGCTTTGGATCACACAGGGCTTGGTGAATGCATGTCAATTCGTCCAATTTCCGGCGGATTTGATGCACATCACTGTATATATATATATATATATATATATATTTTTTTTCCCTAATTTGATCAGATATGTGTACAGTATAGATCATGTTACATGTAGTACATATGTTTGTATATGTGCTGCAGCCATTTTAGCCATTTTAGTGCTTTTAGCTACCTTCGAGCTAACCGAGTGAAAAGGTGCTGAACAGTGCTCAGGAGTGTTCATCAGATTTAAGAGCCCAATTTCTCTGTTCATGGTAGGCGGAGCTTAGGTTCTGATACCCAGCTGTGAATGTGTAGGTGTCGACGCCGAGCTGTCTCTGCTCTGGCGCGCTCACCTCGTGCCAACTGGACAAGGTTGACACTCAAGCTCCTGAAAATCAGGAAAATCCAAAGGTACTTCCATAATCTGGGAGTGCATCTCCAACAGTATCCAAGGGTTCTCTTGAATCAGGTCTCAAAGCACCTGAAGAACGACTAAGGATGGCTCAGCAACAGCAGCCACCTCAGCAACCAGGCACTCCACCAGCACCCCAACAAGCACAAGGCAACGGTCCCAACATGTCCCAGATGGTTATGCAGATGATGGCCCAATTGACTCAGGGTCAGGCGCAGTTGAATCAGGCAATGACCGAGGCTATGAACCAGCAGCTTCAGATCAACAGAAATGTTGAGAGATCTGTTGAGTACAAAGACAGATCAGAGTTGAAAGGCATACCAAAACCTGATAAGTTCACTGGAGCATCAGGCACTTGGGATAGTTGGTGGTACAAGTTTAAGACTTGGGTTGAAAGTTGCCACAAGAATGCTGTGAAGATTGTGGCGCAAGTTGAATCTCAGTGTGACAAAGAGATCACTGAGTCAGGTCTAGAAGTAGACTTTGATGAAGGCGCCGAGCTTGTTTCAGCTCAGGCTAGACAAGCCCTCATATCATTGACTGAGGGAGAAGCGTTGGAGATTGTCAAGAACACATCTCGTGGTAGCCACTTTGGCCTAGAGGCCATGAGACGACTGTTGTGCAAATATGATCCTCAAAATCTTCAAGCTAATTCAGCCTTGTTGAAAAAGGTTCTGCATCCAAGTCAATGCAGTCTTGATAAGCTTCGAGAAGGGCTTGAGAGTTGGGAGAACTTGAAAAGAAAGTATGAAGACAGGAGGAAGAAACCACTTGAAGACGACATCTGCAGGAGTTGTCTGCAGCAAATGTGTCCCAACAAGCTGCAAGATCATTTGGACTTGCAGGCTGCGAGATTGACCACGTATGACCAGGTGAAAGCTGAAGTTTTGGCCTATCTCGAGAATGCCGAGACCAGGAAAGAAGCAAAATCAGGAGCCGTTCCCATGGATGTGGATTCCCTTGCTAAGGGTAAGGGAAAAGGAAAACATGACAAAGGGAAAGGCAAAGGTAAGTCCAAAGGTAAAGACAAAGGAAAGAGTCAGTCTTCGTCTTGGTCAAACAATTCATACCACAAGGGTTCTTGGAACAATCAGTCTTGGAATCAGCAGTCTTGGTATAAACAAAACACCAATGACTCCAAGAGCAAAGGGAAAGGCAAGAAAGGTCAAGACAAAGGTAAAGGTAAAGGTGATCAAGGTAAAGGTCGCAAAGTTGCCAATGTTGAGTCTGACACTTGGGCTCAAGAGCAACCTGCAGCAACTGCCACTGGTGATCAACCTGAACCTGAACTCACAGCGCTGTTCACCTTGGAAGACGCTATGCCGCCTAAGTCCGAAGCTCAAGAGGAATCACCTCGTCGTGGTAGAAGTCCAAGGAGAGCTACACTCCAAGCACCCTCAAGGAGCACTGTGACCAGGAGCGCTATGGTTATGGCTCAAAGCGCTTTGGCATCAGCTTCTGGGTCCAACAAGGAGCTTTTCAGTAAGATGATTGCTCAGGCTGAGAGCGCTGTCAAAGATGCTCAGGACAAAGGGCTCCAAGCAAATCAGGCCCTTAAGGAACGCCAAGAAACCTTGGACAAGTTGAAGAAAGAGGCAGCCCAGCATCAGAAAGAGGCCAAAGAGGCAATGGCCAAAGTGAGGGCAGAAGGCCGTGCCGCTTCAGCACCGGCTGCACCCTCTCGTCGGTTGCAAGCCGACCTAGATGCTGGAGTACATGCAAGAGCTGCCAAGAAAGCAGAAAAGAGTAGGAAGAGAGCTGCTAGTCATCGAGCAGCCACTGCACAAGAGAGAACAGCTAGCTTCAAGAACTATGAGCTGGCAACCCATGGACAAGCCAACCCTGACAAGTGGGACAGGGAGGATATTGGAGATCTTCCTGAACCTCCCAAGGCAAGAAAGTTGGAACCCAAGCGCCATAGAGGAGGACATCACGGGTCTGAAAGACGAAGGGCAGATGAAGCTAGAAAGAAGGCCAACGAGGACAAGATGAAGGAGATGAGCAAAGAAGGAATCCCACAATGGATTCATGACAAGTTCGAGATTTCCTCTGAGGAAACCACTGATGAGTGTGAATTTGCCAACAGACTTGAGAAGCTGAAGACCGATCCTGAAGTTCTCAGCAGGTTGGACAACGTCTTGAAGGAGGCCTATGAGAAGGTTTATGGTGAAATTCCAACATCTGAAGAGGCTGAATCAGATGAATTACCATACAATCAGGAACCTGCACCAGGCATGGAAGACGTAGTTCATCATTGGGAGACTTCCTCTCGAGAGCTCATGTCATTCAAGGAGTTGCACGAGAAGTCCAAAACTGTTTCCAACAAAGGACATCCCTATGTGAAGTGCCAGGCATGTGGAAAGGCACTGAACTCCATGAGTCTTGCAAGCTTTTGGCAACATGTGGAGAGCAAGAATTGCTATCCTCAACACGCCCTGGAGTTTTGGAAGAAAGAACACTTTCAAGCAAAGGCTGAAAGAGAAGCAAAGGCTGAAGGAGAGGCATCCAAGAAGCGCCCCATGGATGATGCAGAGGCCAAAGATGAGAAAAAGCGCCAAGAGATCGCCAAGGATGAAGAGAAGAAGAAGCGCAAGCAGCATCTTGAGGAGCACTATGAGCGCTTCAGGCACCAGGGTAAAGATGATTTGAAGCTTGAAGTGAAGAAGATCCCCAAGAGGCCAGAGGAGAAAGAGAAGGAGAGATCAGAGAAGGAGGACGACAAGTCATCCAGCAGGGCACCCATTGAGCTGAAGTCCATATCCCCATCGAGAGCGCCTCAGGACAGCCGGGCTGATTCAGCCCAGGCGTCCAAGGGCAAGGGGATGCTCAGCACAGGTGCCAAGAGATTCTTGGAAAAGGCAGTGCGTGAAGCTGCCAACTTTGTGGAAAGAAAGGCCAGGAAGAAGAAGGAGAAGTCACCTTCTCCCAAGCTCAGGGAGCACTCACCAGGAGGAGGAGTTCGATCAGACTCCAACCTTGACTTCCTGGGAAGTTTGGCATCTCCGGTGGATACCATTGTTTGGGCCACCGTTGACTCAGGGGCAGCAACCAGTTGCCTACCCAAGGAGATGGCACAGTCTTTGGAGTTGGCTATGACGCCTGTGGATGAGAAGCCGTTTACCAATGCATCAGGACAACCAGTCCAGGTGCACGGCATATGCAACCCCATGGTGACAATGGGTGAGAAAGGAGGCCCACAAGTCAAAGGTGTGGGACAGTTCCGGGCAATGGATGTGGCAAAGCCATTGCTATCTGTGTCCAAGCTGGTTGAGAAAGGCTGGACAGTGACCTTCGGCCCCAAAGGATCGTTCCTGCAAAGGGGAGCCAAGAAGGTACCAATCACAATGACTGGAGGAGTCTTCAAAGTAGCCATGGATTTTCATGGGCAGCCCATAGAAGGGTTGAAGGCGTAAGTCCTGTGAAAACCACAGAGAGCGCAGGTAGTGGAGATGATGAACCGGGCAGTAGTAAGCTAGGTTCTCAAGCATTACCAACTGCAGCAGCGCCGACGCAGAGAGAAAAAGAAGAACATTTTGTCAGCCATTATCCTTTTAGGAGTTGGTGTGAACATTGCATTCGAGGTAAAGCAAAGGCAATGAGACATGTCAAAGTAGATCATTCAGATGAAACAGTTCCTGTGATCTCAGCTGACTATTGTTTCATGAATTCGGTGGATGACACTGTCATCACAGAGGAAGTGCAGAAAAAGCATGCACCAGTTTTGATAGTACATGATCGATGGTCCAAGTTGACCTACGCACACGTTTTGCCATACAAGGGAGTTACCCAAGGTTCTATTGGGTCTAAGTGTCTTTTGAATGACCTTAAGAAGTTTGGGTACCCCAAGATGGTCATGAGGTATGGCCCAGAGCCGGCACTCAACTCCGTAGTTGAGGCAGCCAAGAATGGTTTTGACAAACAGTTGGTTTTGGAAAAAGTTCCCAAAGGAGTCTCAGAATCCAAAGGGGAAATTGGAAGAGCAGTTCAAGCTATTGAATCTCAATCCAGGACACTCAGAAGTGCCTTGGAGACAAGCTATGGAAGAAAGGTGCCAGACGACCATCCAGTTTTGACATGTTTGGTAGAACATGCTAGCACCACTTACAATTTGTTTCACAGATCATTAGAAGTCAAAGATGGGAAGACACCGTACTCGAGACACCGCGGTCGTGAGTGGAGAGTGTCATTACCACCATTTGGGGAAACAATTGAATTCCTCAAAAGAGGTCACAAGTTTGAACAAAGATGGCACCAAGGAGTTTTCTTGGGAGTCAAAGACAATACCACTGAAAAGATAGTGGGGAATGCATCAGGTGTTTTCACTGTGCAAAGCATTCGACGCAAGAGTGCTGACGACAGATATGATGTCGAAACGTTGATGTCAGTCACTGGGGTTCCTTGGGATCCCCAGGCATCAAAAAGAGATGACATTTTGCTTCCTCAGATTGTTGAGGGAGATCAGCAGCCACTGGCGCCATCAGTGCCAGTTGAGCCACCAAAGAAGTCGACAAGACGACTTTACATCACCAAACGTGATTTGGACAAGTATGGCTACACCGCTGGTTGTGTCGCCTGTGATGCCACTAGAATTGGCAAGAGAGGCACTGGAGTTCATCACACTCCTGCCTGCAGAGAAAGGATGGAACGTCTGCTTCAAGCAGAAGAGGGCAACCTGAGAGTAGCCCAACATACAGCCAAGGTTGATTCTGAAATCACTGGTCAGAAACAGGAAGTGTCCGAAGAAGGCACCCAGATCCTTTATGGATATTCAAGTGAGAGACCACAAGGAGTCCCTCAAGGTTTCAAGGTGTTTGCACGCCTTGACAAGAATGCAAGGTATCTCAAGGGTACTATGCCAGAAGGTCCCAACTGGGACAACGTCTGGTGGAGAGTCACCAGAGATTTTAAGACAGGAGACATCATCAAGTCTGAACCAATGGATCCTAACTTAGGAGAAGACGTCATCAACGCACCGTTGATTGATGACACAGACATTGTCACTGAGCTGTGGTATTCTGCCACAGGGGAATCAGCGCCAAGTTTGCCAACTGCTGGAACATCAGGTCCAGTAGTACAAGCTTCTACAGCCGGTCCAATGCAGAGACCAGCTGTACAAGATCCTACTGCAACTGGAGTAGGAGCTAGTGTAAGCTCAGCCTCAGCCAAGAGGGCAGGAGGCGAACAAGAAGAAAGGTCACGCAAGAGGTTGGAAATGTCACCAACCAAAGGTCAGAAAAGACTTGCAGACTCAGGAGGCGAAACGTCAAAACCCAAAGACAGCCGAGCTGCTTCAGCTCAGGCGTCTAAGGGCACCAAACGGCCACCTGAGACTGAGAGACCAGATGACATGGATGATATAGACCAATGTCTTATGAACCTGATCATGGAAGATCGGGAGAGGTATCTTCAGTCCATTGAAGGTGAAGAAGAGCCAGTTTGCGAAGAAACAATTCCTCTTCCACCGGAGTTGGAAGATGAAGCAGCTACATGGTATTATTATGATGATATCAGTGGAAAGATTTTAGACAGCAAAGGTGTAGAACAAGCCAGAAAAGATGAGGTCGAAATCATTGAAAGTTTTCCGGTTTGGGAAAAGATTCCCAGACACAAGATGCCCAAAGGGGTACGCACCATTGGAACACGATGGGTAGATGTCAACAAGCAGGATGAGGAGAATCCACTTTATAGAAGTAGGTTAGTAGCGCAAGAAGTCAAGAAGGGCTCAGGTTTTGATGAGTTCTTCGCAGCCATGCCCAGTTTGTCTGCTTTGAAGATGCTAGTTACAATAGCCGTCACGTTTCAGTTGCCAGACGCTGGACAAGCTGTCAAGGAAGCCTATCGCAAGCGTAGACTTCTAGGATTCCTGGATGTGAAACGCGCTCACTTTTATTCAGATGCGACGCGCGAGATTTACGTGGAGCTTCCTGCAGAAGCAAAGAAGCCTGGAGAAGATGTGGTAGGAAGATTGCGCAAGTCATTGTATGGAACAAGAGATGCACCTCTCAACTGGGAGTTGCAGATACAGAAGGTCATGTTGGCCTTAGGTTTCAAGCAAGGAAAAAGCAATCCATGCATATACTACCATGCAGGCCGAGACCTCAGAACTGTTGTACATGGAGATGATTTTACAACAGCAGGAACATTTGACAACATCAAATGGCTTCATGAAGAGCTGTCAAAGAAGTGGAAATGTGTGGAACGTGGTATTTTAGGACCACCAGGAACACCAAACACCATCCAGGACATCAGAGTCCTGAACAGAATCATCACGTGGAAGGAGAATGGAATTTGGTGGGAACCAGATGCACGTCAAGCAGAGTTGGTGATTGATTTACTCGGAGATGGTCCCCGAGGAGCCAAAGTCAAGACACCACTTACCAAAGGATCAGTGGAAGATCTTAAGGATGCCGCTGTTTTTCTCAACGATGAAGAAGCAACCCAGTATAGATCAGTTGCAATGCGAGCAGCTTATTTGGCACAAGACCGACCAGATCTGCAAGTAGCAACAAGATCTTTAGCACAAGGGCTACAACGACCAACTACCAGCCACATGCTTATGCTCAAAAGAGTTGCACGATACCTTAGGTATCGACCACGCATGGCACAATTCTTTCCTCATCAGAACAAACTCAGTCCATTTGTGATGTGGTCTGATGCTGACCACGCTGGATGCGTGAAGACGAGGAAGAGCGTGTCAGGAGGCGTCTTGATGGCCGGTGGTTGTTGTATCAAGATTTATTCTAAAGGACAAGGAGTTGTTAGTCTTTCGTCTGGAGAGAGTGAGTATTACGCTCTTGTGAGCGGTGCCAGCAATTTGCTGGGAGAAGTTTCAACCGCCAAAGACTGGGGTTTGCAACCTGAGAGTGAAGTTTTCATGGATGCAAGTGCAGGAATAGCAATGGGTTCACGTAGAGGATTAGGCAAGGCCAAGCACGTGGATACTCAATACCATTGGGTACAAGACCGCGTTGCCAAGCGCTACTTTCGGCTGAAGAAGGTCGACACTGGCGATATGCTTGCCGACGTCTTGACGAAACCCGTCATAGAGGAGAAGATGAATAAGGCACTGCGGAATATGAACTTTCACTTTCTGGAAGGTGAACATCACCTGACACTGAAGGCATAGATGGCTTGAGTCGTGGCTATGCTCCGCTGTACATATCAAAACTCGCCTAGTTCAAAACACTTGGACTCACCGTGCCTCCGAACAGGCTCGGGAGGCGTGATCAGATATGTGTACAGTATAGACCATGTTACATGTAGTACATATGTTTGTATATGTGCTGCAAGCCATTTTAGCCATTTTAGTGCTTTTAGCTACCTTCGAGCTAACCGAGTGAAAAGGTGCTGAACAGTGCTCAGGAGTGTTCATCAGATTTAAGAGCCCAATTTCTCTGTTCATAATTGAGTGATGTTTAACTAAGACATTTGTTTATCAAACCTCTGTCACATGTTTGGAAGCCCTGGCGAACAAAACAGCTGTAAGTAGTTACGTTAGTGACGCTTTTTGGTTAGTTCTAGTATGCTACAGTTGTAGTATGTTATAGTTATAGTACCCATAAACCATAGTTAATCAACTTGCAAGTCAACTTATAGCGAACTATGGGTCACCACCTTTTTGCATTTCGACATACGTGGCAGCAAGAAGCGATGCAGCAAAAAGCGCTGCATGCTTCGTAATATTGTAGTATATCTCAATCTATCCCATTTTCGGGGGCTGACACATGCCGAAATCACCCACTTACTTGGATATGGCTCAAAATGATTGAGTTTATTTTGGGATTGGTATCCTCTTCTTTGGCCACACTGATATTTAATGTCCACCTCTGATTTATAAATAGGCCCCCCCCCACTTCCTCTCTGACCCTAAATAAACTTAAAACCACCATAAAACTTGTTTGTATGTAAAGGTTTTAAAGTACCACAATTGAACGAATACATAAAATGCAATTTCAAAAAAAAAGGAATCCAGCAATTGTTTTATTGATTTAGTATTCATGTCATGGATTTAGTATTGATCTAGTACTCATGTCATGGATTTAGTATTGATTTAGTTTTCATGTCATGGATCTGGGCAAATCTGGGTTTAGGGCCAAAAACAACTAGCTTTATTCAGGGTCAAACTCTAATTAGTGCCAAGGCACCTCATGGGGGGTACCCTTGACGAGTTGATTTGGGATTGATTTTGGATAATTTTGAATAAAGGTTTTGAATAGAAAAGAGCAACCATTATTTTTGAAAATTTGAAGTTATCAAGGTAAGATCTAATGAGCTGGCAAATGCTGGCAATATGAATTAGTACATGAAAGCCACCTCAAATAAAGCATGGAAAAAACAAAATCAGCCCCATCTGGGCAAATCTGGGTTTAGGGCCAAAAAAAATTAGCACTATTTAGGGTAGTTTTATTATTTAGTTTGGGAAAAAATAGCACAATTCAGGGTAATTTTATAAATCGTAGGTCAACATTATTTCCCAATATCATAGCCTTTTTGTTCATTTTTGTTGTGGAGGGGCAACCAGGAGTTTCTGCGAGCCAGCTTCGCGTCAAGTGTCCTGCAGTGCTTTGGTAGATCTCTATGGCAGGCTGATTCGTTCAAGTGCCTTGGGCTGCAGCCAGGGGTGTTTGTTTCTAGCAGGAAAGGATCATATCTCGGCCGTTTTCGGGAGGCTAAGCCTTACCCTCCGGTAAACTAAAAAAACTATGGAAAATCACTATTTTTTATTGGTAAATCAACTATAAATGGTCCATGTTCAATAGTTATGTTTGTTTACCAGAGGGTAACCATGACCTATAATTACATGACCTATTTGGGTGGTGATATTTTGATCGGACCTGTAGGTAACTCGGTGCCCGCTGCGCCCGCTCCATGCTTTAGATATCTGGAGAGCGGCAGTTCCATTGGGTTTGAGATAGCAATGGGAAATGGCCCATTTGTTGATTATTTTCACCTGAAATTCCTGAAATGGTGAAATTCCATCGCTATGTTAAATTGCGGGAGAGTATTACCAGATTTAATCGGCCAGGCTTGTTTAATTCAGGGTTGAGACTTATACCCCCTTTATCTCTCCTGTATGGAAACAACCAATCAGTTTCCACTGGGATTGGTTATTCTGCAGCCGTTCATCTCTGGAGGTAGTTCTAACTCTGACCTATACCCACGGTTATCCACGGTTGGTGATATAAAATCACAATGAATCACCGGATATGATGTTTCACTGATGCTTAAGCCCTCAGGTATCAACAGGTGATATTGAAAAAATCCGCCGAATCATTCGCTGGGAACCTCCCAGATCCCTTGGGGAATACTTGTGGGAAACCTAGGAAACCTGGTGTCAAATGCCATGGTTTCCAGTAGATTTTGCGATGATTGCCATTTTATCGACAAATTGAGGAAGCCAATGTAGCATATATACTATATATATATAATATTATATATATATATATTATGTGTATATTATTATTATATGCTCAAGCAAGAATATAGGCCATATCTAACTGGTGTAGTCTTTCCTTTTCCTTCATTCGTAACCTGGATTTGCTGAGCCGATTTGATATTTCTCGCTGTTTAGCATGGGATCCATCCTCCATTCCATGAAGGAACCATTACCCTCTGGTTATGACTAACATAGCCATGGTATAGATGGCCCATAGAAATAGATGGTTTACCGGGTTTACCGTTCTTAATAGCATGGTGATGGCTTCCATGGCGAACTGTGAATGTCATAACCAGATGGTAAATATGGTATAAATTCATATAAATCCCAGCCTTGTAAACTAGCTTAGAACTTAGCTATGGGGCAGTACCTTGTTTTCATCTCTTGCAGGTACAGTTTCAAGAGCTCCAGCATCGACCAATACTGGTCGCATAGCTGGGCCGAAAGATCATGGAAGAAGCTTCTGCTGCTCTTGTGGCTGAACAATGGCACAGCGCCTCAGTGCGACGTCATTGAAGGGGTATATTAATTTACATGGCTCTAACAGTTAACAATTATAGTATTGGGGGGGGTGTTATAATATACTGATTCAACCAACAAAAATGATTACAAAATTGTGGTATAATTATGGGGATGTTAATGATATATGAATGGAATATTGATTAAATTTAGGGAATCAAACATGGCTGGCTGGGAAATCTCCGAACAAGCCACTGAGGTTTATAGTTGGGAAAATCATGGAACTAGATGGGTTGAAAGAAACAGTAATGTTTATATAGTTACGAGAGGGTATGAGCAGGCAAAATGTGGATTTCATGAACCCAAATGCGGGAAAACAAACATGTTATGGGATCCCCCTTACCATTTCCACTACTAAAAGGGTGAACACGTGCTTGGTACCATCCTCTGATTCGTGGATAATTCAAGCAAAAAAAATGGACCCGTGCACCAGTTTTTGTAGTAAAAGGGTGTGCACTGTATCTTGTAGCGGCGTTCCATTTGGCACTCATAAATCGGAAACGCATTTTGTAGTGATTTATTTTGGGATGCGTTGTGCCGTACCGGAAACCCTATAGCCCTCTTCTGCCAGTCATGCTCAGCCCGCGCGCATAATCAAACGTCGAAATGTGGGAAAGAACCTCGCTCTAGCAACAGGAGGCTTTATTTTCTAAGCCATCCAATGGCGCCATCAAAACCTCCCAAAAACAACATCAACAAGTTGCACCCCATAAAACACCATTCCACATCCTTCTTGCCATTCCATGTGTGGGTTAGTTATGATTAAATGGTGTTTTTGTCTATTATACCGCCAATATATGCCAATATACCATTTATTTATCCAAGATACTGTGGAATATGTCACTGAAATAATTTTATCCGAGGTCTTCCCATTATAACTATCCCACCTATAAACCTCATATCTGGCTAAAGTGTCCCTTGCTACAAAAAGATGCAATCCATTTTTTACTACAAAAAGAGGTGTTCCCGTAAAAGTTGTTGATAAAATTGGGATTACTTTCCATTAATAGGTCGCTATGACCTGGGCCCCGGAAAGTAAACCAAAGATTTAGAGTGAAATTTCCAGAAACGATTTAGTAGAGAATCAGGATTTTTCACTGCAACCCGTTCGCGTAATGCCATTTTGTAGTGACCCACATTGGTTTTTGATCCACCATCAAACACCCCAAAAACATTTTGTAGCAGGGGGGGTTGGTTCAGATTCAAGCAGCATTTTGTATCATTTTGTAGTATAAGGCTGTGTTTGTAAACAGTTGAGTAGGCACAACTACCCTGCAGAATGCACACAGGGATCTAGTTTCTGGATGACTTTTGTCATGCACTGCATTTTGTAGTGACACACGCGCGCACAACCTTTTGTAGAACTTACTGCGTTTCCCTCCAGATAAGCCCCAAAAAGTTCGAAAAACATGTTTTTTTTATGTAGAGACTTTCAGAAGGAAAAATGGGACAGATTTGGTTTAAACCCATCAATTGAATTTGAAGTTGCGCGCTTAGAATCGTAGCAGAAAACCTCTTGGAAGGTCAATTCTTGGAATCCGATGGAAATCCCAAGGTTGTATTTACTTGTGCTCGGCAAATGCTATGACCTTGGCGCGGAAAGTGAACCAAAGTGAAACCATTTAGTAGCGAATCATGATTCTTCATTGCAACCCGTTTTCACTACAAAATGGTTACGTAAAGTCATTTTGTAGTGACAGACATTGGCTTTTGATCCATCATAAAAACCACCAAACCATTTTGTAGCAAGGGGGGTTGGTTCAGATTCAAGCATCATTTTGTAGTATAAGGCTGTGTTTGTAAACGGTTTAGTGGGCACAACTTCTCTGCAGAATGCACACAGGGATGTTATGGGTCTTTATGTGTGTATGGTGCTTTATGAGCAGCAACATGAGATTTGGTCCATCACCAGCCCCTCAAGGTTTTTTCATCGTGGGTCCATCACCAATACCAAAAACCACTGGTTGAAGGGAAAGTCTGCAGCAAAACATACATGGTTTTGGCTTGACCACTTGAAATCTGGGTTCCCTGCAAATCTTCTGTCAACCGATTCTGGAAAACCCTCGGTTGATAGTCTATCCTAAGGTATGTATGATCATATATGATCATAGATAATTATTTATCCTATAAGTGGCTGGATATTTTTACTGGCCACTGGTTGGGTCCAAAAAGTGTAGATTGCAATTTCCTAGTGAATACCAAGCCTTTACAACAATTGGTTCAGATATGCAATCTGCGGGTTTTTTCAGTCTTCAGAGGGTTGTCAAAACCACCGTGCTGGTGAAAGACTTGTTGTAGATTGTTGTGGATTGTTGGCCCTCCCCCCACAAGGTCAGATGGACCTTGTGGGATCTTTCCTAGTGTTCCCCCCGAAAAAAAACCGCCCCCTTGGAAGGGGTTGATTAATAAGGGGAACCCTCTGGTTATTTTCATGGGGGACATGGGCTGCCGGGCTGAGGGATACCCGGTATGGGAGCTATCCAAGATTTTTATCAAGATTTTAATTAGAAATCGATCATTTGGGGAATACAGTAGTTGTTTTTTTTTCAAATGTTCAATGATCAGCAGTGATGGGTTCTGGTGTTCATGAGGTTTCAACTTAAGTATAGCATAAGGAAACCATTTGAAAATAAAGAGAGTTGGAAAATAAAACAAAATGGGATTTCAGCGCTGGAGGTTGATGAATTAGGTCCAGGCAAAAAAGTTTATTAATCCAGGGGGGCCACCTGTTTTTAAATGACATTTTTTTGGGGGGCAGTCGAGGTTGTTTAATCGTGGGGGTTTGATTAATCCTGACTTGACATTAAGTAGAATCAAACCTTCAGAGTAGAAACACTATAGTTAAGACAGACATGTTAAATGCGCAACTTGAGGGGATAGGTATTCGCTGGGTGATTTCCACCCTTATCCGAAGACCATGACTTGACACCCAAAACGAACCCACAAAACGGGTCCTGCTCACAAAATGTTTATTAAAGTTGGTCTTCAAACTCCCATGCTGCTGCAACATTCAATATAATCCAACATCATCCAACTCCCTACCATCCACTGATCCACCTTCAAAGCATATTATTTTAGATCACCATTTTTAGAGGGCTCCCAATCCAACACGTTCCGGGCGCCCAGATGGCGGTGATTTTCAGTACATTTACGGCGTTGGGCGTCATCCCGCTCTACACCTTGGGTTTTCTGCCCAGCCTCTCCGGTCTCGCAGCCAGCGCAGCCAGTGCCGAAGTGTCCATCTGGTGCGTCGCTGCGGGGCTGCTGGGTTTGCTCCTGGGGATGCTACTGTGGCGCCCGGGGAAGATGGTCTTCATAGACAAGGTCTGTTTGAATGAAGTACCTGAAGTACCTGAAGTACCTGAAGGACTGAGGATGACGGACATGATGTGAACGCGATGAACATGCGAAGGGGGTCCGGATGGCCGACAATTAAACTTTGCGGGGGAAGTATTATAATATTTGATTATGTCCAACAGTGAAATAAATGAAACATAATGAAACTATATTGATATATTGGAAGATTAAAGACAAACATCTCCCAGTGTCCCAATGTTTTGAGTTTCAAAGACCTTCAGCATGCTGTTTGCAGGAGATGGTCAGCTGAAGCAGGAAGGGATGCGGAATATCGGCGCATGTCTGAAGCACTCCAAGTCCATGTTGGTGCTGTGGGACCCGACCCCTGGATCTGCCGAATTCAGCACTTTTTTTTCTTTAACACTGCTACACACACATAATATACAGTATGTATATATATATATATATATTGTACATATAACTACAGTTAATTACACGAGAAATGATTCTCGAATCCAATGATGACATCTGCTACTACACGTGAGGAAATCGTTCTGTGAAGATGCTTCTTCTTGATAGAATTTCCCCCCTTCAATCTCAGAATGGAAGGGCATATTTGCAAGGAAACCCTATTTCTTAATGGTACAACCCATGGTTGCCCTCAGGTTTTCCCTTGAATTTTCCATCCTGGACCCATGAAACACACGAAAAGCCGTCACGTTTTTCAGGAGCCATGCGCAGCAGCTCCAAGCCATCTTCGAGCTCGCCACCTTTCTGAAATGCCATGAAGGAGAGAAGGTGCATCTGGACATTCGGCCCACCATGCTGGCACCCTTCCTCTTAGTCAACCTGGCAGGTGGGGCATCGTTGATTCAGACTCCCAAGTCACCGTGAGGGATCGCGAAATGACCAGTTGACCTGAAAAACCTGCCAGGCAATGTCTTCATTGCGGTGGCTCAGATCTTAGTGCCATTTGATCACAATTGGAGCATCTTTCTGGTGGCCGCCTGCTTTGCGCCCTACTTCCTGGCATGTGGCTGCCTTCTGCGCTCTTATTTTGCCTCAATTCAGGGCCTCAAGGACACATGCGAGACATCCTAAACCTTATGCATGCCTGAACCAGACATGTTTGGCAGTTACTGGTGCCAGCCATACCTAGGACCTAGGTATGGAAATTCCGCCCTTGATAGGTCATTGTCCTGGGAAAACCATGGTGAAATCATGTGTTAAAACACATATCTATGCTGACTCACTGATCCCCCATTCACAGATGGTGAAATCTATGAATCTATGGTGAAATCACATCAAGATAGATATAGTACGATCACATTAATATCCCCACAGAAATCATGGTTTTTCATCAGATAGTAGGATAAAAAAGCACAAGCACCAGGAAAACTCCACAGCCCAGTGATATCCTTCCCAGGATCAGTTGGGTTTCTTCAGTATTGACGACACGGTGTGCCTGCAATGTGACAGGAAGAGTCTGGGACCTCATTAGGGGCCTCATCATGGGATGGATCAAACACCGAAAACCTGACTGCTGATTTAACATAAATGATGGACAATACATGAAGATGTCTACTCAGTCTACTCCATTTATGTCTATTTAATTTGGTTTAAAAGATTGTGTTCCTACCCTAGATATGGTGATGTTGCAGTTAAATTGTGAGAGGGTTTTGTGCAGATCTTGGCGGGGCGAAAACCATTTGCTAGCAATGTTTGTCTGCCACAGCCATATCCGCCTCAAAATGATCTCAACGTTATACCGTATACAATGAGAATCAACAATTGTCATTACTATCTGGGGAACCATCTGAAATGGCTTTCAATCGTCTTGGTCCGGATCTGTTCATTAAAAAGGTAAACATAAGACAAATGTGCCAAATTCCCAGTTGGTTGGGTGGTGCATACAAGGATGGTCAATTGGATTTCAAGCCGACTCCTGTGCAACAGACCGGCCAGATTTGAATCATTCAAGAGTTGGATGTCAACCGTTCACCGTTCACCGTTTTGATGCTGAAAGATTCTAGAGATTTGATATTTGATTTACTTTGATGAATGGCATGAAGCACGTTGAATATGGGAGGCACTTCCAAGAAAATGCGGGAAACGTCAAGGATCCACACTTGGCCAGCGGCAATGTGAAAAGGTTGGTCTTCAGTTTGCCTCCTGCTGTCAGTGAAGGGCTTCCTTAATTGTATTGTACCCTTGCCACCACCCGAACACAAAACAATAGTTCAATGATGGAATGATGGAACCATAGAATTTACAAATTTATCTGGTTGGTGCTTTGGAACATGTTTTATCCTTCCATATATTGGGAATAATAATCCCAACTCACTAATATTTTTCCCAGGGCTTGAAACCACCAACCAGTTACAGTAATTATTACTATCTGGTTATTTAACATAGCCATGGAAAATCACCATTTTTAATAGGTAAACCATCTATAAAGGGGCCATTTTCCATGGCTATGTTAAATAACCAGAGGGTATCCCTGATTGTATGACATGCTTTAAACCAACCAGATTTCGGGGTCCTCGAGCAATGCTCGTTTTTTTTTTTTGCTCGGTGGTGCAGATTGAAGATCTTCGAGATCTCAGCTCTTGAGTAATCCCTTACCCCTGATATCATCATTTTAAATACCCAAAATATGGGACCCCAAATGAATAGATTCACTACTCAACCAGGATTTCGAGATATTTCTAGGTACATGGAGGTATTTTATAATATTTTATAATAGGCGTTTTTCATAGGACAACACTGACACTGACATACACCGACCTCAAAGCGCTGAGGATCCTTTTGGAATGCATTCACGTGTGGTTTGGTTCCATCGAGGACTTCGAACGTGGCCCGGCCAAAAAAAAGGGCGCCGTTATTGTCATAGCAACAGAAAGGGGGACGTTATCTAATGCCAAATGGGAAAAAAAGGGATGTTAGATAGGTATCTATTTGGTATGCCAAGGGGGAGTTATCTATACCTATCTAATGGGATATAAACTATGAACCGTATAGATGTGTCATGTTACTTCACTCTATACCGTTTATACATGTTTATGCCGTCTATACCTCTGAAATCGCCGTGAATCTACGCCAGTGTCCATCAGTGTCCACAAGAAACGCCAGAATCGGCACCAAAACATACCGTCACCGGTCACAGATGGCCACAGGCTATGTCTGTATCAAAGTGGCACGAGTTTTTTCACAAAGACTCGGAAATTTCCTGTGCCAATACTGGATGGTCATCATTCTCTCCGCTCCGATACTCTGATTGCAAAGAGGGCTGCTGGAGTGTGTTTCTGTGGTGTTGTTTTATTTCCTGAAGAGGGCATTAAAGGCATTAAGAGTGGTGATTTCTGAACCAACTCCGTTGAGGGATAGGCAAAGTCTATCAGATTCTATGGAGCGCATAGCCAAGTGAACACATGCTGCAGACAGCAGCTTTGTCGAGTCAGCAGCCAACACAAGCAGAAATCCAGAGAAGTTACCGTATCAAATCGTTACCATGTTTCACTCCGCTGAAGTCTAGCATTGAACTAATTATGTGGACCCCTGAAAATTGTCATTTCCAGCCAGAAAGGGTGAAACCTTTGCCAGCAATACAACGGAGAAGCAGAGCAAGACAACACCCTCATGTTTGCACAAGGAACCGGCGAATTTTCTTTCATATTTCTTTGGTTTCTTGCGCTCATGATGGACTAAGAAAACTAGAGTGAATATGCATGTTTTGCTTCTTGGTTTTTCCTCTTCAACCCCCAGTTCAACTCATAATGTAAGCCAATAAGGTAGAATAAGAATAAGATCTCTTTTGGGAACCGATCCTGCCAGTTGTCTATTTTGAAAGTTGGGGCATGGTCCTCAGCCCTTCGTTGTGCACGGAGCGTCTGGGAACTGAGGATCTTCTGGGCGCATTTGGACATGATCGCGAAAGCAGTGGTCAGCGAGGACTATGGGACAGCCAGCTTACTAGCGGTCACGGCGTTTACCTGGTGCCTTGCAAAATCATTTCACGCCATTTTTTTGGGGGGGGTTTACCCCAAGATATCGAGGATGATCATCATCCATTGAGGGAATCCCGTTCTGAAGCAACCAGTACAATGGACTGACGTTGCGGGTAAAATGAACGCTGCTCAGGTGGTTTTTCGGAGTCAGACCTGGGAAGTATGGCAGCAAACTGCCAGATGTTAGTCATAAAGTGTGTGTGTGTGTTATGGATGGCAGCACATAATCCACTCCAACTTTGCCGACTCAGGGGATCAACATGGATCAACAAACCAGTTGCATAGGATGGGATCTGAGTTTACAGGGCGTCAAAGTTTGTTCGCTCCAGAGTGGTTTGCACGGGTGCCCTGCCAAGTTGTCGGGCTCCTCTGTAAAAGTGCGAGATGTTTCAAGCACTGTTGTCAAGCTGCAACTGTCGGCACCTTTTGCTGTTGCACGCACTCAATCTGTATGTTGTCAACAGGAGTTGACTCAAGGCCTTGAACCACAGGCCAGTGTTGATATGACATGTTGAATATGTACATTGACACGACCCCTCAGATGTTGGCTATGTTAGCCAGCAGATGTTGACTATATATTCTACATGGGTCTGTGTTCACTAAATGTTGCAACTAATGTTGAAACTATAAACATGTTGAAACTGAAACAGCATTATGTTGACTACTCATGCATGAGTGTTGGTTCATCCTCTGTACAAATGCCGATGGCTTGGTTTATCTTTATACACCTGTTGCAGCCGCAGGTGTTGGACGAAAAAACACTTGCTTAATTATGCGCACTTCAAGCTCTCATGTGCTGAGCGCCATGTCGCGCAGGGCTCTGTTGTTTTGGTGCTTCTGCACCGGGATGTTGTCTGAGCTCCATCCCTGTTGTGATCATTGTTGATCACTCTGCGTCGTTCTCTTCCATGTTGTCTTCCATGCCGGTTGGCGCACGATACTTGTTCACTTCATCGAAGTGCTGTTGGAGGTGCTCATCTGTTGATTGCTCCATCAGCCATGTTGCCAGTGTTGAAGATCCCCTCAACCTCTCTGGTGTCTTCACACCAAAGTATTGGAATTGTTGTCCTCCTTCAAGGAGAGGATGCCACTTGTTGAGGACCATCCTGATTTTGGTCCTTGCTGCCTCTGGCAAGAGTTCCAGTTGTTGAGTGCCACCGTACTGAATGGCTTGTTGAAGCATGTAGATGAGATGTTGTGGGATCTCATCTCCAACTGTTGCCAAAATCACAGGAGTGTTGTAACTCCAAATGAAGTTGCTTGACCAGCTGAGCATGTTGAAGATGTCAAGGAACCCTTGTTCCCTGTTGAGTGCCCACAACTGTTGAGTGAGCAGTTCTGTTGACACAGAAATGGCTGCACAAAAAAAAGGTTGAATACACGACTGTTGTCAACAAACGGCGTTGACATCATCATGCGTCACAGGACATGTTGACCTTCACGTTGGGAAGGATCTTGTTGAAATAAGTCATCCTGCAAAAAAGGAAATCATGTTGACTAAGTCAATGATGTTGATGCTGATAGTCGAAATAAATCACCATGTTGGGATTCCAAAAAAGGTCTTGTTGAAATACTGGATGAAACGAAACAAGGGAGATGTTCATCAACGTTTGTTGATGACATCGGTCATGGCTCAAACGCGTCCGTGTGTGTGTGTGTCTGTGTGTGCATTGTTTGCTCACGCAGTTGTGCACGCGTGCGCATAGTGCATTAGCTGCCCGGGTGTTGTGAAACTGCTGTTGCTGTATCCACTCTCTAGTGGATGTGGTGCTGGGTGTTGAGCCCAGCTGCTTGCAGGTGTCTGTGGAGTGTTTCTGTTGAGATGTATTTGGTGAAAATGTCTGCTGGGTTTTCGTTTGCGTGAATCTTATTGAGTCTCACGATGTCATGTGAGATCAGTTGTTGTATGAAGAGATGTTTCAGGTCAATGTGTTTTGCTTTTCTTGACGATCCTATCCTTGTTGCCATGCTCTTGCCGCTTGACGAGTCTGTGTGGATCTTGATGTTGACCTTCTGGACGTTGAAGAGCTCCATGAGGAGGTTGCGCAAATGAAGTGCTTCTGTTGCTCCTGTGTTGATGGCGTATAGCTCTGCTTCAGCACTTGACAGTGCTATTGTTGCCTGTGTTCGGCTGCCGTAGTTGATTGTAGCTCCAAGTAGTGTGATGAGAAAACCTGTTGTTGATCTCCTCGTTTCTGGGCAACCTGCCCAGTCGCTGTCCACATAGATGTTGAGGTCTGGAATCTGTGTTGGAGGTATCTTTGCTGTTGGTCTAATGACCTGCCGGTAGTGTTGTGTTCCTTTGAGATACCTAAGAAGGTGCTTCAGCTTTTGTTGGTCTGCCGTCGTTGGTGCTTGTAATGCTCTGGCCAGCTCCTTTGTTGCGTAGCTGATATCGGGACGAGTGTATGTCATCCATTGTAGTTTACCTACTGTTCTCCTGTAGGCTGCATGTTCGTCTGTTGAAAGAGGCTGTTCATGATCAGCTGTTGGTGCCTTCAAGGCTGATGTTCCTGGTGCCGGTGCTGGGTTGCAGTTCAGCATGTTGTTCTCCTCCAAGATGTTGGCCACGTAGTCCTGCGATAGTGAAATATCGTAGCTATCACCATTGTTGGTGATGCTGCGTCCAAGGAAGGAGACTGTCTTCCCTGGTTCAAGTGTACCTGTTGGTCGAAGAAGAAGGTGTTGCTGAATTGCTGTGAAGAGCTTGTCCACCACTTGTTGTTCTCCTAGGAAGAGAAGGTCATCGACGTAGACGAGGATATAGCAATCTCTTGTTGGTGTCATAAAGATGTTGGGCTCTGCTGTGCTGCGTTGAAGTCCAAGTTGTTGTAGGACTTCTGCAAGGTGGTTTTGCCAAGCTTTTGGACTGCTTCTCAGTCCATAGATTGCTTTGAGGAGTTTCCAGATGATGTTGTCCTCTGGTCTGTAAAACTCCTTTGGTGGATACATGTACAAGTCTGCTGTAGCTGCTGCGGCATGTAGGAAAGCTGTTGAGATGTCTCCTGTTCTGGCGATCCAACCTCTGTTGAGGCAGATAGTGAGAAGTGTTCTCAGGACGCAAAAGATAGGTGTTGAGGCATAGATGTCATCAAGGTCGTTGACTGCCTCTGTGTAGCCCTTTGCTACAATTCTTGCACGAACGTTGTTGCCTTTGTCTCTGAGAACCCATCTTGACTGTATGATGTTCTTCTTTTGTTCTGGGGTCAGAGTGTTGATGTCGACTTCCATGTATACCTGTTGTTTCTTCATGGAATCGATCTCATTCTTCATTCCTTCAATGGTCTTCTGTTTGTCGAATCCTTCTGTGTTGTTGACCATTGGTTCCAAAAGGATCTTCTCTGTTTGTTCTTCTGTGATGTCGTCACAAGTGTATGCTGTGATTTCGACCCCTTTCTTTGTTTGAATTGTGACCTTTGTGATTCTTAGTTTGCTTGTTGGTGGCTCTTGTGCTGTGTCAGGCCTTGCTGGACCTGTTGCTGCTTCTGCTGTTCGATGTTGCTTTGGCAGACTGCCTTCTGCCACTTCGTCTGAAACTGTTCGTTTTGGTGATGGAAGTGATGGTCTGGTGTGACAGCTTGTTGGTGCTGTTGCCATTGGTGAGTCTGCAATGGCACATCGTGTTGGTGTACCTGCCGGTGCTGCTGGTTGCTGTGCTTGAAGTTGTGGCTGTTGTGTTGTGTCTGCTCCAAAAGCTTGTGTGCCTGTTTCTGCAGTTGCTGGTCTCCTCATTGGCTTGTAGACCAGTGGTGGTTTTGAAACGTATGGTCCACCGGTGGTGTATGGGAGTGTTGGTGATCTGTTGATCACGTCCATCAGTTGCTTGTTGTACTTTTCTGGTGCTGGAAGCCTTCTGATTGTTCGTGCTCGAACAACCTTGTTGGAAATTCCAATGAGGTTCTCATTGGATGTTGTGTCTTTACCAAGCCATATGCCTGGCATGAAGCGCTGTTCCATCTTTGGAATGACTGCTGAGTTTGGCAACGTGTAAAGAACTGTTTCACCAAACTCACAGAGTGGTGCTTTGTGTTCTTTATGCCATCTCCTGAAGAAGCTTGTGTTGCCATCTGAGTGTATGGCATACCTGTTGAGCAGGTAAGCTGTGTGTCTCACCATCCATGCTACGATGGGATGTTTGCTTGTAAGTCTGATGTCGTAGTTGTTCTGCAGTTGGGACTTCAGTGTTCTGACTTGTCCCATGAGTGTTCTGTGAAAGCGTTCGACGCTGCCTTGTGCTTGTGATGTGTATGTTGGTGCTTGTCGAACTGTGATGTTTCCTCCCATCTTAGCTGCTGTTGCTCTGAGAAGTGCTATGAGGTGATCCTCCTGATCTGACTGTAGGATTGTGCTGTTGAGTACAGCTTGTACTCTGCCACACTCCATGAGGAATGTTTGTATGCATTGGACGTGATATTGAAAGTCTGCTGTCTTGCTGTTGACAAGAACTGCCATGCTCATGCCTGTTTCCACGTCAATGCCTGTGAGGATTGGTGTTGTTTCCTTTTCTCCAAGTGTTTTGAAGAAACAAAAGTCGAATTGTACGACTGGTTGTTTGCTGTGTTGTCGTGGGTGGTTGTCTGCTCGTCCTTTGTTTTGAACACATGTTGGACACCAACTCCTGTAGGGAAGGTGTGTGAGTTCATGTTCAGCACGCTCTTGTGCTGTTGGCTGCTCTGGTGCTTTGATGCCTTTTGCTGTTCTGGCATCTAAATGTTCTTCCTCATCGATGTTGTAGTACTCCTCTTTGAACGCCGTGCTCTCCTCAAAGTTTGTTGAACCTGTCCATGTGAAGTTCATTGTTGCTGAGGTCTTTGTTGTCCAGTCATCATCAATCCTGTATCCTCTGGCTCCTGATGTTGGCTTAACTATTGTTTGTCTTTGTGGCAATAGCTTTGTGACATCTGGACCATCCATTGTTTGTTGTGGGATGTAAAGCTGAGTCCGTTGTTGTGCATGGACTCTCTTCCAGTACTGTCCTTCTTTGATCCAGTAGTCTGCTGTTGCTGGTGTGTCCTTTGGTCCTGGAACTGCTGTTCCTGGATATGCTTGTTGCTTCATGGGCTGCTGTTGCTGTGGTACCAAAGGTTGTTCCACTGGCTTCTTCTCTCTGTGTCGAACTGCTGATCCTGTAGGCTGCTGAGCTTGTTGCTGCTGTTGCTGTGGCGTTGGCTTGGCTGCCGATGCCTTTGGTGTTGCTGATGCTGGCGCTGAAGCTGCTGTTGATGCCTTGGGCAACGGTGGTGCTGGAGGCTTTGTTGTCTCTTTGACTCTGAACCATGTTTCTCCTGACCATGCTGGTCCTGGAAGTCTTCTGTTCTGTCGTTGTTGTGGAAGGTCTTTGTATTTGTCCTCAAAGTCCTCAAGTGTTCCATCTGGCTTGTATGCTATTGTTCTTCTGTAGTTGTCCAGCTGTTCTTCTGGAACTGGACATTGTGCATCTGGTGTGAAGAGGGCCTTCCTTGTTCTCTTGTGTACCCTCACCAGATATCCTGTGCTGTTGTATATCCAAATGTCGTTGTTGTGTGTGACCCATTCAGGTCCTGTTGGTGTAATTGTCACTGGGGACACTGTTGCTCGAATGCCATGTGACGTCTCACATATGTCGAGCTTCATGTTGCTTGGCATTGGGCTGATGTTGACTGTAAGAAAATACAGTCCTTGTTGTTGCTTCAGTGTTGCTTCAAAGCCGTTGGTGTTGGTGATTGTTGGGCGATCGCTAAGCTGGATGTTGAAACCCTGTGATGCCAGTCTTGTTACTGACAAAGTGGGTTGTGACACGTCACACACATAAAAGGGTATGACGATCGGTTGTTGCTTGCTGTTCTTCATGTACACCCATTTGTAGCCATAGACTGTGATGTCTTCCTCTGTTGCTGTTGTAAGTCTTGGGCCTTGTTCTGGGTGAAGTTCATATGTTTTGTATGTTGGAGCAAACCATGGTGGGCAAACATGTGTTGCTGCTCCACTGTCAATCATCAAATCTTCTGTGGTGTTTGCCGGTTGCTCAGTTGCTGGCTGCTGCTTGTTGGACTGCTGTATTGAAATGGCTGCTATGTGGAGTTGTGGAACTTGCTGTTCCTGCGCGCTTGTTGGTGGGAGTGCCAGTTGTTGCTGTGGCAGTGGGCTGACCTGTGTTTGGTCATCATTCCACCATTGGCCGTCATAGTACTGTTGTTGTTGATACCATTGGGTTGTTGCATCATCTTGCCAATGGCCAGTGTATGTGTTGGTTGTAACCTCGTTGAGGTTGTGTACTGCCACACGGCAGTCTCTTGCTATGTGACCTGGTTGGCCACATCTGTAGCATCCTTGTGTTGGGACCCCTTTTCCTTTTCCTGTTGGCTTGCCTTTGCCTTTGCCTATGTACCCTCCTTTGTTGTTGGATCCTTTGGGCTGCATTCCTTGCCCAATCTTTCCTTTGCCTTTGTTGTATCCGTAGCCATATCCTTTGCCTTTGTTGCTCTTGTTCTTTCCTTTTCCTTTGTTGGGCTTCTTTCCTTTTCCTTTGTTGTACTTTCCTTTGTATCCTTTGTTGACAGCTCCAATGTCCATAGGTGCCGGTCCTCCTTGGGCGTGTGTTGAGACGCTGGATGTCCCAGGTTGCTGGTGTAGCCTGCTGAGGGCTGTGGTGGCTCTGTAATATTCCATGATTGTTTCACGTACCTCTACGTATGTTGGTGTTGCTCCTGCATTCAAGTGCAGGTGTTGTTGCAGTGGGCCTGATGTCTCGTTCATCAGGACTGCAATTTTGATTTGGTCTGGTAGTGTTGTGTTGTTGTCTCTCTCATACCTTGAGAGCTCGAATTCCCAGTTGGAGAATGACTCCTCGAAGTTGTTGCTGTCAAATGTTGGCTTGAGCAGCTTTGTTAGGTACCCTATGCTTCTTGTTCCTAATGGTATGGCAAACCTGTTGCTGAGCTGCCTGTAGGTCTCAAGTCCCATCTCATGTTGATACTGTCTGCACACTGTTGCTGCAGCTCCTGTTGTTACGTTCACAAGTATGTACTTCAAGTTGTTGTCTAGTTGTACCCATCTGTCGGCTTCCTCCATGTTCTGTGCTGCTCCTCTCAAGTCTGCTTCTGTAAGTCGTTGTGTGGATGTTGCTGCACGTCGTAGGATGTTGGGGTAGAATGGGTCCATGAGGCCCATGTATGCTGTGAATTTGTATTTCCACTCCTCAAATGTGGAATAGTTGCCATCATATGTTGGGGGCTTGAGTTTGAGTCGGTGTGTTGCTGCCAACGCTTCTGTCTGATCCTCTAGTGGTGCTGTTGGTGATGCCGCCATTGTTGCTTTGTAAAGTTTTGTTGAAGCTCCTCCAATGTCTTGGGATCAAGGCTTCTCCCTGTTGTCAGAGTGTTGTTGTTCAGCTGCTGCTTCCTCTGTTGTCTGGTGTGTTGTTTGTTGGATGTTGTGCACAGTAATTGTTGAGAGTCCCCCAGTGTTCTGGGATCAAGCCCTCTGCCTGTTGTTTACTGCTGTTGCTTGGAGATGCCCCTGGTAAGGCAGAGCTCCGCTACCATGTAAAAGTGCGAGATGTTTCAAGCACTGTTGTCAAGCTGCAACTGTCGGCACCTTTTGCTGTTGCACGCACTCAATCTGTATGTTGTCAACAGGAGTTGACTCAAGGCCTTGAACCACAGGCCAGTGTTGATATGACATGTTGAATATGTACATTGACATCCTCAACCATCCTCAACCTTCAGTGCGAATCCGCCTGTTTTTGCCATGGATTGACTCCGGGTGATCAGCGCCTAGCATTTATGATTGAGAAAATCTCAGCTGCACAGCTCCATACAGCTCCATTTTGAATGATTTTCCAGCCATGTTGGAGTACACCGGAGGGTATATCGGTATATCCATGGTCTGAGGTGGCTGGGGATTCTCCCTGCGGCCTACGTGCTTTTCATTGCTTTGATGGCTAAGAGCCAAAGGAGGTGTGAAACCGGTGCCGGTGGTAAACCACCGCTGGGTTTTCAGCTGAATTTGGTGGAAGATCCCAGCTGACTCAGATAAAGTTGGGATATGTTGGGATGGTTTTTTCAGCTGCTCAGTGGATGGATGCACTGCAGGATGATCATGGATGCACATCATTTGTTCATTTAGATTTCATTTAGTACATATTTCAAAACACCCGACTATGCGCTGGGTCTGCTCAAGTCAACCGGACTTTTACGACTGGGCTGATTGGTGTTGATTGTTATTTGACACTCTGCCCGACGACTGTTTGCTTCATGTTGTTTAAGCACTCAAATGAGCAATGTTGAAGATCCCTTTTAGTTGATGGTAGGGCGTAACAATCTGGTATAATTATTGTGGATTCTAATCATCCGCCATGGGACCTTGGAATTCCTGTTTTAAGCGGCCAGTGCGGCCAGTATAGAATAGAATGATGGAGGATTTTGAACACTGTTCATTTCTTTATGGTCAATTGCAGAGCCCCTTTTTGTGCAACAAGTGTATACAATGACAATGACGCAGCTGGTTTTGGCCACCCCTCATGTGGGAGTATTTCAATGAGGGGTTGACTTAGACATTGAAACTCATACGACACCTAACTATACCAAACTGATCTAACAAGGAAAGATGTGGAGGTTGTTTCACGCCAGGTCGCTCTTTTTTGTTGTGGACCGTGCCCCACGGTTGGAAAGTCAAGGGGGATGACCAGAATTGGGGAGAACATCTCAGCCCTAAAGGTGACACCCTCAACGAAGAATTTTTAAGACCCGCCCTGAACAAATCATCGTTCTTTGTGCTTAATAAAGCCAACACATATAGAAACATATAGAAACCCAAGCCACATATTGTATAACATTGTTGGGGTCACCCCTCAGGGAGGCTGAATCTCATGAATTTTGTCGCGGGGAAACCTGGAGGCAATTGAGAAGAACTAGCAATGCCTTGAAGCTTTGCTGGCGTGCGGTACCACCTTGTGCCCTCGTTCTGCTGCTTCTGGTTGCGGGGATGTACCAAACTTTTTGCATCCGCTACATGAACGATGCACCTCGTTTGGGGATTCACTGAGGATCGAAGCTGAAGGTACTCAGCAGATTGCTGGTTGGTGGTTTCAAACATCTTTTATATTCCATAATATATGGGATAATCCTTCCCATTGACTATTTTCCATAATATGGGATAGTCCTTCCCATTGACGAACTCATATGTTTCAAGATGGTTAAAACATGTTAAAACCACCAAGCAGATAGATTCAAAAGTGGATCCTTCAGGTTTTCCAAGTTTTCAACCGAAGTGGTTATCGAGAACAATCTCCGGGAGGCGGGAGGGGCAACAATACTCAAGTTCCTTTCGTCATTGCCAAACTGCCAAACACTGTCCATGACCTTTTATATATTTTTTATATCCCATAATTTATGGACAAGTGACATAGGTTGCCTCCCTGAGGGGATTGAGGGATGATTGACCCCATCAGGGTGCCTTGCAAGAGGTTTTGTCCTTAGATTTCTATGACTAATCTAAGTGTGAAGCGGCATTGCTACGTTGTCATTGTTCTCAGATCGATATGATCACTCCCAAACAGTTTTTATTTGTTCCATGTGTTTTCCACATTGCGTCCCTACTTTTCAAGACAAATGAGGAAAGGTGTTTTCCGATACCTCCATCTCTCCCTTTCTACATGTAGCATATGTATTTACAATATTCTATAATATTACATATGTATACATATATATATATATATACAATATTATAATATAATTATATAGTATTATTTATGTATATAACATTATATATATATATACACATGCACGTGTATGATATTGGAGAAGGGGGGGAAGCAGAAAGATCAGAAAGCATGGCAAGACATGGCAAGACATTCGCACGCCTCCCCTGGCCTTTCACCAGGCCTTTCTGGGCATTTGCATTTTCGCTGGCACTATGATCATCCCCTGCTATTTGGTTTGGCGTGCCTCTACCAAGAATCTTTGATTTGATTAAGAATTTGCTGGAGTTTGCGTTGATTTTTTAAACATGATTTGATTAAGAAATATTAAGAATATAGTTTAAGTTGTTTTCTTTACATCATATTTTGCAATTGGTCCAGCGTGGAGAGTTCATTCGGAATATAGTCATCCTCGAGTAGATAAAATATGGATATGTCAAAAAACATCAGTAAAACGGGAATATCTCTCAAAATCCCCAAAAAAAAACTCCAGGATGCTTATGATTACGCCACGTCAGACGTGTTAGAAATTCTGGTCTCAGTCAACTCCAAGGAACACCAGCATGTTCACCCCCCGCACCAATGCATGCGATCCAGTCGATCGCGCGTGAAAGAAATTCGTGGCCGTTGAGATCTGCGGATTTCCATGGGACGGTCGTTGTGTGACGATGACTCGAATGTTATCATCGAATGTTCTTGGTTGAAACCCACAAGCCGAAATCTATATATATATATAATACAACTATATATATAATATATATATATATAATGTACACTGTACGTAAAGGTAGTATGGATTAGAGAGAAAGATAGATCGTGACAGATGCAGATAGATTTGACTGGACTTGACTGGATTAGATGGGTCAAATTCTAAAACTTTCAACTAGTTGAAATTTTGACAAAACAATGACCGTATTGTTTACAATCAATAATGATGTGATTCATCATGTCAACTTTTATTAGTGACTTTGAAGATGGATTATTGATCATCATCATGCCGTCATGCCAGGGTATTGTCATGTTTTGACTGGCACAGAGAATGGTTGAATTGGGGACCTCCTTGCGCCAAGATCCAAGTTGGTTGCGACCCGAATGGGCCCAGGAGTCCCCACTTCTTGCAACCGGTTTTTTCTTAGATGCGTTTGCCGTTTCACCGCGTGTTTTTTCTGTTGGCCGCGGGCGTGTTGTGGTCCACACCAAGAAATCATCCTGGCCCTACAGGCAGCCCCAAATGTGGAAGAGTTTGCGACCCTCGGCCAATGAGGCGTTGAATGTTTACAGCTTGGCTGGTGCTTAAGTTTGGGCATCACCAAAAATGATGATGCCTGCAATGCTTTCAGGCTGTCAATGCGCAGCCAAAGTTTCTTGGATGCCAGCCACACTAACATGACCACTGTCTCTTGTTGTATGCCTGCTCCTTTGGAGGGGCCTTGTCTTGTTGTGAAGTGGTGTTGTATTGTTGTGGACTAGAATGATTGCTGATCCTTGATTGAAAAACTGGGGCATTTTGGTCACGGCGCTTGGAAAAAAGTGCAGCTGCCCTTCCAAGGAACCTTAGGAGTACGCAATGCCATCATCTGAGTCGGCTCACTATAGTAGCCATGTATCAGGAGTGAACCCCACCCAGCGTTGCAAAGCTGTTAATCCATGTTGATCCTGGAATGATGCCCTAAACTTTGAGAATCTGTGATTTGGGAATGGTTTATACCACCTATTTATGGTATTTTAATGTATTTTATGGTATTTTATGGTGATTTGGGGGGGTGGTTTGTTACTGTTTTACCCATGTGAATTCTTTTCGGCTTTTACCGAGGTTTGCTTGGACTCTGGTGCTCATTCCAGGCGGGGTGCAAGGTGGCAAGGTGCTGCCCCAATAACATCCATCGATACTATACTTCATATAATATATACCCTCTGGTAAACTAACATAGCTATGGAAAATCACAATTTTCAATGGGAAAATCCACTATAAATCACCATTTTCAATAGCTATGTTAAATTACCAGAGGGTAGACACTAAATATATCTGAATATATAAACTATAGATCAATCAATATTAATCATGATTAGTTCATATGATTCATATACGAATATTTTAACCCAATGAACTATACTTATATCCCCATATATCTCCAAAAAAAAAAATGACGATAGTTGTTTGCACTGCCCCATCGGCTACAAAAAAGGGGTACCTCTATTGGGCTACTGAGTTGGTGCGCGGAAAGAACCAGGCAGCTAAGGGCGATGGAGTGACGAGCACCAACATCAAGTGCCCAGCTGCATTTACCCGCAGGGGGATGTGCCGAAGATGGGAAGATCCTCGGAGGGCTTCGTGGAACAGTAAGGGTTGCCACTAATTATTTTAGTAGGATTTCCCTGTTCGACCCTTTCTGGTTGCTAATTCGAATGCCAAAACGAGATTTTCGATGTTGAGAGGGAGAAGCACGAGCAGAAGCTCCAGAGCCTTGCTGGAAATCAAGCTGGCTCTGCAGGTTCCATGAAGGCATCTCAAGAGATGCAAAGTGGAAGAACAACGGCTTGGATCCTCAGATGTTCTTTCCAATTACCCTCTGGTAATTTAACATAGCTATTGAAAATGACCATTTATAGTGGATTTTCCCATTGAAAATGGTGATTTTCCATAGTTACCGTAAATTACCAGAGGGTAAAATCCATTGCTGTTTCAATGGGACAATTCAGAACATATCCTGACTAGGGGCTGGAAGAATGGGGGTTCAGATGCCACTGCTAATGGGCAGCTTTCCGTGCAGCTTGAGGTCATATGGGCATCACCTTGTGGATGCTGCTGGGCTTAAGATGGCGTGATGATCCTAGTTTCCATGTAGTTCCAGGTGCTGAAAGTTGGTTTACTTGACCAGTGCTGGATAGTTTAGTACCTTGATTAATCTTGGCCAATGTTGACTTTGCATGACCAGCTATGTTTGTGTGGGTGCAGGGTATCTAAGTTTGGCCATGTTGGGGAATTCGACTCTCCAACAGCCACCCGGCCACCCCAAAGGTTGAAATTCTTGCAATGATTTGGCGGCATCGGTGAAAGGCTCCAGGTCTCCAATAGTATAAGAACATGCTGGTACATGCCATGGTTTTGTTGATCCGTTTGCCCAGGGTCCCTAGGGTTCCACAGAATCAACAAACACTGATCACATTATATAGATCGGCCTCCATCATCACAAGTTGTAGCTTGAATCTTCCTTGTTGTTGATAGAGGTTCTTACTGGTTAAATTACATGAAAACACTTTATATCATCGGAAACATGTGTATGTAGAGGGAGAGACGGAAAGAATAACATGAATGGCATAACATCACAGCAAAGTTCAAAGTGCATAACACCATTTGGGCGAAAAAATATAACACACACACAGAAAAAACACATGCATGGATTATGACAACCTCGTTGCAGCGTCATTGGAGTGAAGGTTAAAGTTCGGGTAGCTATCCCAAAATGTCCAAAACTTTCAGGTTGGTGAACATCTATTAGTTCCCTACCATTCCCTTATATAATGACTTCACCATCATGTCCCCTTAGTTATTTTAGTTCTCTATTATTTCCCTATTCTGTCCGTATCAATTCCCTATTTTCACAATTACATTACTTCCCGCTCTGTTATTCACTATTTTGTCCCTATGATTTCTCATTACGTCCCCATTATTCACTATTATTTCTCCCTTCTTTGTTGCCCCTATGATTTTCCTATGTTCACAGCTATTTCCGATGATCCCCCTATGATTTCCCCATGACCAATGGCATCATTGCAGGACTGGTCTGTCGGGCAGCGGCAAGAGCACCATAAGCGCCGCTAGATGGGAGACTTAGCGCCCGCCCAACTGATCCAAATTTGGGATACCCTCTGGTAAACTAACAAAAAGCTATTGAAAATCACCATTTTTCATCATGGGAAAACTCACTATAAATGGCCATTTTCAATAGCTACGTTAAATTACCAGAGGGCAATCGTTGAAGCAGAAATGGGACTCAACATATCTTAGTCTTATTATGATTCAATTGATTCAATCATGAATATATCGGGATGGCAGTAGAACTGGGTAAATCAATTGGTGAAGGATGGAAGAGCATGAGCCAGAAACGGGAGATTTTCTGGCATTTTTCTCGAACTCTTGATTTTATAAAGTTGCGCAGGTATCAGTCGCCAGGTATCGCCAGGTGTAGGGTAGGATCAATCCCGTAATGCTGCCCATAGGGCCTGGCCATAAGTTCAAGTACCAATCAACTTCCAGTCCAGGTGACATGTGCATAGCCACGAAGTGATGCCCCCGAGGTATAAGGTGACTTATACATGCCATTAAGCTCTTGATGAAATATATCTATCATAAATCCTAGTCAGCCTAGTTCTGAATCAACTTAGCTAAGTATTACAGTAACAACCATGGTGATGGCATCTACCAACAAACCACCGAAGACATGGAAACATCACCGGTGGTACCAAGAGCCAATACTGTGCTGACGAATCGAACCAGACATTGGGCAGTATTGGGACAAACAAAAGTCGAATAATTAACCAAATCAGAACATTGTTACCCCCAAAATTATTTAATTATTCAATACTCAACCATTGTTGGCCAATAATTGGTTAATTATTTGGTAGTTACCCCAATAATTGGCCAATAATTTTTCAGGGCCAAAAAAAAGCCAGATCTTCGGACCATTCTTCGTATTGGCCATCCCAGGCTTGTGATCAAAACTCTGGCTTGGAATGTGAAATGGTGGATCTATGGGGTCCATTCGTGGGGTTTTAATATTGAAAAGACGGGACTGCTAAAAGTGGGGTATGTCTGGTATTCCAATGTGCTATACGGGTTTCGCTAATCGTTTCGCATATTTTCTCAGAATGGCAAGTTTGGCGTGCGTAGGTCCATTTTTGTGAAAAAAACGAACACATCCGAATCCTTTTTTGACGCTCTGTAAGGTTTTGCATGGTTTTGCGTTGCATAATGACTCAATCAACGCGTACCTCTCCCTAAAGACATGTATTTACGAAGGCGCACCCTAAAACTCTCAATAGCCCTGAATGGTCAAACGTGCTCCAGGGCACTTTTTTCTGCTCTGTTTGCCAAAAACGTGTTTTCTGGGAAACAGCTCACTTTCTCCAGTCTCGAGCAAGTACTGTACTAAGTATGGTGAGTTTATCGTGTTCCTATTTTTTTGGGGGTGACATGGTGACTATTTGACCTGAAGTGAATAGAATGTGGATTTTAAAAGATACAATTGAGATGCTGGGTGACGACTTTTGACATGTCCATATTCAGTCAGGATGACTAGCTTTACCATTTTTATAGTATATATATATATATTAAATATTTATAGTTACATATTAAATATTTATAGTTATATATATTTTTCAATGTAGCTAGCTAGCTTATGAATCCAGCATGGAGGATTTAAAACTTAACTAGTTCGACTTTGACTAGGAATGACGGTGAATGTATAGGGGAATCATCCCCATAGGCCGCAAGTTTCATACATATTACCCAGCTCTGATGTATCTACTTATATCTATTATCATCTATTATCTATAATGATAAACATACATATAATTATATATATACATATGAATATGGTATATAATATATATATATATATTATCTATACATATCTATCTCCCTCTCTCTCTCTCTATATGTATATATATATATATATACATATATATATATATGGTGTATATTCCCATGTTCTGGTTGGTGTACATCCCCCCTGGGTGAAACAGGTGGCCTTAGAACGCGCCTTGGCAGAGAATCAGGCGAAGAGTTACTTTGTGCCGGGAATCTCAGGAAGGGCGTTCTTTTTATTGATGGTTATTGTTATAGATTATGGTCACCCAATTATTTAATATCTATGTTTTTTGATGTTAAAACATAATGATTGGCTTGTTATAGATTGTGTTTCTTCTTGGTTTATTTTGATTAATGGTTTTTGCTGTAGATTAACCATTTATTAATGGCTTGTTGTTGTTTTATAAATATGTGTTTATATTCGATGGCCATAAATGTATTAATATCAATAACAAAAACCATTAAACAAACATAAGCTGTTTTGTTAAGACATGGTTTTAATATGTTTTCTAATATTCAATGGCCATTTCAGGAACCGATTGATTGGAGGTACCTACCATAAACAAGGCCGGGCCTATGGGCATTTTGTTCAAGGTGTCGGTGAGGCCGTTTGGGTCGTTTGGCTTGGCCCATAGATGGTTAGGAAAAGGGCAATCGCGCCAAATTCATGGGATGTCATGGGAATTGACCATCTAAAAAAATGGATCATATTTCAGATTCCCATTGCAGAATCCAACTTTGAGCCTGCAAGTTTCAGACTACATGTATTTCAAACATATTCCCAACTACAAAAACCATTGGGAGCGTAAGATGGTTATACAATGCATATAAAGATCGTCTATCTACCTATCTGTATCTTTTTGTAAATACATATAGTCTATATGTTTGACATCACCAATCCATGGCCTTTCACCAGCTTGGGGTTACCTCATAGGTACAGGCTGGATGGCGATAACCTGCGTTTCGGCCTGAACAGGTGGAACTGGCTGGTTGTTGTTGGCAATGCCCAAAGGTTCCTATGAAAACGACGACCAGAACATCGTTGTAACTGTTCACACACATATTTATTTACATTGAGCATTTCCCCAATGTTCAAAGACATCCAAAGATCAAAGACATCCAAAGACATCCAAGTGTTTTGGTTAAGTTTGATTTCAATCAAGTCGGGTTTGGTTTCCTGTTTGTTTTTGGCCATGGGAAGGTTGGACATGATATGAGGATGTTCAACTATCAGTGGGATAATCATGGGAAGAGAACGAGCAACAACCCAATCAATCCTGTCCACCGAATATTAAACACCCCTTGGAAACCTTGGTTTCGTATTGACAGTATTGGATCTATTATATAATAACATTTTTTGGCTCCCATATGATAATATGGGGGTTTAGTTTATTTGGAGAGCGTGCTCAATTGGGGGCCCCATTGTTGCACGTAGTTGACTGAGATTCTCGAGGACAAACGTTTCAAACTTTTGGGGCGTGTGCTCAGACGGCCAAGTTCGGTTTATGAGATTTTAGTATTGATATCAACCTGATATTCTACCATTTTGTCCGTTTTTCCTGCGGCTTGTTGTGTTGTGATGGCTTCTCTGGGCGCATCTCAGCCGCCAGGGATTTGGGCTTCAGCCCGCAGGACCGGAAGGAAAATGTCCGACGAGTGTCGGAGGTGCCATGTGGTTGGGATGTTGCCCAAAAAGATTGGATTCTAAAGTGGGCAATGTGGATGCACCATGATTTACCCTCTGGTTATGACTAACATAGCCATGGTATAGATGGCCCATAGAAATAGATGGTTTACCGTTCTTGAAGATGGTGGATCTTTCCATGGCTACTGGGTCAAAGTGGTAACTTATGCCGCGGTCATCTTCTTGTGCCGCAAACGGTGTGCCGTTGGGAAGTCCATGATATACATGTCATTCTTGCTGGATGAATCAATTGTTTGTGGCATTGATTTTTCTAACACTTTACAGGGGCACACATGTTTTTGAGACATATTCTTCTTGAGATAGAAACTCATGGGGATGGCTTCTCAATAACTTGACTCGCACAGAAGAGAGAACAGTAGAAGAGAAGAGTAGAGTAGAAGAGACTATATACAGAAGAGTAGAGAAGAGAACCGAATTGAAGAGTAGAAGTGATTGGAGAGGCCTAGAGCAGAGAAGGGAAGAGTAGAAAAGATTCCTGCTGCCTTGCCCTGCTGCCTTGCCTTGCAAAATCCAGATCTCGTACAGATCTCGTAAAGACCTCGTAAGGATCTCGTAAAAATAACGCAATGAGAATGACATGTAGAACTCCTGGTCTTCTAGAGGTCAAGTTGATGGTGTGCCATGCGGTTTACAACGCTTTGTGTCAGGTTTAAGACAGATAAACGGTACAAATCGTTGCAGTCCGCATAGGAACTTCATGAAAACAATGTGCACACACATGGATCGGCAAAATGATCGGCTGCAGAAAAGAAAACTGTTACCTGAGTACTCGGATGTACTCGGTGTGCCAATGGGGAAAACCATCATGGATGACATTCTTAGAGATTAAATATGTTGTTCCGACAATGGGAATTACATCTGAGAACTTGGGTTGATAGAAAACAATTTGTGGGTGTGCCATGCGTTCCTTGACATTTGGGGTGAGGTCAAAGAATTCACGAACTGATGTAAAATGTACCAAATCCCTTAGGATAATAACAAACCAATCCAAAAACCTGTCCGTGAGGGCCGGTGTGCCATGGTGATTTGCACATGGCGTAAGTTCTTGGGGTCGTGGGGTAAGCGGTGTGCCATGCGGTGGGGTAAGTTCATAGATTTTGGGGCAAGTTACCCCCCGGACTCGTATGTTAAATAACCATGATTGAAGTATTATTTACGACCAAATACGATACATAGGGTGTATTTGCTGGGCTTAACCCTGTGCGTATTTGTTTGCCATAGCCACTTAGGAACCATCACATTATTCCGAACGTATCCAAACCTTAGTTTCATCGGCTGGGTCTGTCCATGACATGCGGTCCGGTACATGAAAGGATGTTTTTTGTGATCTCGGGATGGGATAAGTTTAATGGATAAACTTGTTTGCGGTTTGACAGATTGGTTGCTGTTCGATCCCAATGCATCTTATTGATCACATATACGTATATATATATATATATATTATTGTTTCAGCAAAAGTGTCGTCAATAGTGGTGAATGTTTATTTTATTTTTCAGATGATTCGTGATGGATGAAAAACATCATATAAGGGGTATACTATATAATTATATAATCCATCTTCAAAAAGTTGGGATTGCTTATCGAGTATAGACACTGGGTAAGGTTGGTTCATGTTAGTTCATGGTTCAAGTTTCAGCCGTTAAAGACAAGTGCTGATATCGCCTGCGAGTAGGAGCCATCAGCAAGCAGTGGCATTCGCTCAATCACCTTTGCCACCATATATGGGGAGACTATAAGCAACAGAAGCGTGGATGACCCCCATTGGGGATTTACAGTAATGTTACGTTTAATGATGTTTACCCTCTGGTAAACGTTGACATAACTATGAAACATCACCAGTTTTAATGGGTAAATCAACTATTTCTATGGCCATTTTCAATAGCAAACTGTTGGTTTACCAGAGGGTAACGATCGTTACAACTGCATCTTTGCAGTACAGTACAATATGTGACTTGTGATCATGTTTTCAGATTGCCAACATCATGTGGTATATAACAGTATGTATACAGTAATGTGGGAGAGCCAATGTCATAAACAAGAACCCGTTTGGGGATGGTCTATTCCACCCATTTATTGTGATGGTGGGGGTGATTTCTGGGTTTCCCACATTAGATGCGGTAGAAATCTGGTAGAAACCATGCGAATTTCGGCTTTGAAACTGCCAAGCGACTGCGGTCGCCAGGTGTCCAAGCTCTTTGCAGAGGCCTGCAGGGTGAACAATGATCACCTGATATCCCCATAGAATCCCCCATAGAATCCCATAGAATCCCATCAAGTTGATGGTTTAATCATGTTAAAACCAGTTGAGTTTCGCTTCAGAGACAGTGGGCCTTCAGTGGACGTCTCAATCAACTCACTGAAGTCGGTGAATTCCTCTGTTTTTTTTGTAGATGACTTCAACCAACGGGTTCCCATTGCCATGGCTGCCATGTTGGATGTCACGATGTCACCAGAGAGAAACAATGATGTCAAGAGGCACCGAGGCACCCAAGAATTCCAAGAATCCCAAGACTGACCAAAATGGGGGAGCTCCGGCACAAAGAATGTGTAGATAGTTTGCTTCCAAAATCCATGCCATTGATCAATTTTATCAATTGGATAGTTGTAGACTCTGTAGACATTTGGATAGCTGTCCAAACTGCTATGCAAAGATGTTCCAAAGAATACCTGGAATCCAGAGTTCCTAAGCACCCTAAGCAGGTGGCCAATAAGCCCATGAAACCATATTGGTCCATCATGATCTATCCCGGTGGGGATGTTATAAGCGAGCATAAGCGTATGCAGTACGCATAATATGTTCTAATATATATATATATATATATGTTGCATAATGCAGAGCGTAAATGTAAACCTCAATAAACAATAATAGACATATATTATCATATATTCGCATCAGTTTTTGCCAGATAAGCGCGGGTTTAATCAACAGATCTGGAGGTTTCCTAAATATGGCTACCGCAAATTGCAAACCATTGTTATTTTCCCCTTTCTGGGTCGACCATGGCTAGATACGAACTAGTACTTCATAATATTTTGCTTTGGTAACATGTAATTTCACCAGCTCAACGTTTGATTTGTTCGGGTATCATCACTATGCATATTATGATATGATTATGAACTATTTTGATCTTATTTGGGTATCATGTGCTGGTGGACACACACATATATATATATAAATATAATCTACTGATCAACAAGATCAACAATACCAACAATAAGCATCCAGAAAGGATCTAAGAATCTATAGGTTTTTATTTTCACAACAAAGAAACATCTAAAACCATTCCCCAAATCACCATAAATAGGTGGTATGTTTACCATTCCCAGTCTTGGGTGGTTTATGGCATTGTTTTACCCACATTAACTAAATACCTATGGTTATGCCCACACACACACGGATATATATATATATATATCATATAATAAAAATCTGTTTTTTTCACGATAAACATCTACATACATCTACACTAAACCAAAAAATGGTTGATGTTTTGCTCAGTCTTGGGATGTTTGAGGTCGCATCATCCCCCTGCTGCGGGGTTTGGGGTTCACACCAGGCTGGCGCCATCGTGGTGGCAGGCCTCATCTCGCCCTATGCGGCAGACCGAGACTATGCGCGGGAGGTGGCAGCCGCAGCAGCCGCGGTGTGTGAAGAGGGTAAGGGTTGAAGCTGGTGAAGAGGGAAGAATTGGTGGATGTTTGGTGATTTATGGTGATTTTATGGAATTGATAGCTCTAAATTTTAGAGCTGATTTATCATAGCTAAGTTGGTTCATGACTGGTTTTTACTAGGGTTTATACCTGGAAGATCATCTCAGTAACTGCTTAGTGACCACATAGCCCCTTATGAGACGTGATGACCAGGGGTACCAACTTACTAAGTGGGATGATCCTTCAAGTAGGGGTACACAAATGGCGTATAGGGGTACTTATATGATATACGAGTTAACATTAACTCCGTGGGGATTATAAGGCAACACTACAATTATTGGGGATTAACCAAGGTAGACTGTTAACTATATCTATTGACTTTAGGGTTTGCAGGAGATACTTAAATAAATACAACTATTCATTCACTTAATGGGGTATCATGAAGATTGTCAAATGGAGAACCAATTGTAGTCGTTCGCTGGTGAATAATAACCCCATTAGGATAGGGGATACTTAAATGGATACAATTACAAGTACTTAAAGGATCTTAATGGGGTTTATAAACAAACTTATGACTGGGGGGAGGTCAATGGCACCTTGGTGCAGCAGTTTGCAAAGTTAGAACTGCAACGAGGGTTTTTATTGGCTTTTCTAAGTATATTGTTACCCTCCGGGAATCAAACGTGGCTAGCTGGGAAATCTCCGAAAAAGATGGAGGTTTGAAAGGGAACATCATCCTTCTGAATGGTGGATTTTCTGGATTTTCCATTGCCACGTTTGATGACACCGGAGGGTAGATGATGGGTAATCCACGGCAGCATGGGGAACGTGTCATTGTACCTCTTGATTTCACATGTTTCCCCCTTTTTAACAGGGGTGTTGAGAGCAACCCTGGGGGGAAATGAGAATAGAATGCACATACACACGTATAGAATCGTGTGTGTATATATTTAATTATATTACATATTTAATTTTATATTGTATATTATATATATATATATTTGTATATTTGTTGTTTTTTTGAAATATAATGATTATATATATCCTAAAATGGGCGCACCCCTGAATCATCCAAATTAGATAATTTTAGTATTCAAACCTATGGTGACTTGGGGATCTTCCGTTTTAGGAAACCCCCATATCGGCAATTACATATTTTGACATGCCAATACCACTCCAATGGATTGAAGCAGACAAAACCATCCAGCTTGGAACTAGCGGAAAAAAAGATCAGGTGCACAAAAACGCTTCGTTGCCCTTCATGGAAGTCTTCGTAGACGCTCCCCTCGCAGCTGTGGAGAGCCGCGATCCTAAAGGGCTTTACAAGTCGCTTAGCCTGCAATTTTTGGGGGCACCTTTGGGAGGCCAAAGATCTCTGGTTGGTTGAAGCATTGGTTTGATCTATTATATATATATACTATATATATATATTTACTATAATATACTATATATATATACATACTATATATATACTATATATATACACTATATATATACACTATATATATACATAGTTTATATATATATATAGAGCATATATATATATATATATATAGTATATACATTTGCATGCAGTAAATATTCAGCATTCAATGGTTGAAAGATCATGTTTTGGTGGGTAAACTTTTAGCTACTTGGAATTCGATGTTGTTGATGATCCTGACTGCTCTGCGATATCTATTTGAGTATGAGTCAAAGTTCGTGGACTGAAACTAAGAATGACTGGGTATTGGCAAAACCCCTCCCCCCAGTATACATTCAAATCCTATGGTTATCTATGGTTTAATCTGAATGGGTCAATTTAAGGGCATATATCCAGTTAGTTATTCCGCAGTTCAGGATGGTTAAGCCATGGGTTCAACTCACCATTTGGCAAAAATGGGGATTTCACTGCCCCAGCCGACAATGGAAATGAAAGGGTTTCCTATGCTGAAAGTGACCCACACTGATCCACAAATGGCGCATGTTCCGTAATTTAACATAGCTATTTAAAATTTTTAAAATGGCCATAGAAATAATTTATATACCCACTAAAAATTGTGATTTTCTATAGTTATGTTTATTTACCAGAGGGTACCCGTGTATAGTTCTTACTCAAGGGTATACTCGTAAATACTGCACCAGCCTTATTCCAATAGCCCCCGCATGTACAGTAGTTCTGCGCATTTTAGATGAAATGGTCTTGGCCCCTTGGACGGACAATACAAATCTGAAAGACATTTAAAACATATGTGACTGTATATAGATCCCGTGTGAGCCATTTGCAAAAATCCAACCTGTTGATTGTTTACATTTATTATAAGGGTTATAGTGCCATTTTTTGTGAATGATATAATTGAAAACTGATAATGAGATACCGTTCTTAACCAACCAGTACTGTCCCGTTGATGCTGCTACAGGAAAGCACGCGAGGGCAAGATCAAGGGCTTCACAGGTATCGACGCACCCTATGAGAAGCCCGGGACCCCTGGAAACCCAGGTGGTTCATAGGTCCGCCTGGCGTATCCTGGCGCGTGGTGTCACAGGTTGCCCTGGGGAAGAGAGCCAGCCATAAGTCCTAAGTTCATGATCTTCTGACCTCCAGTAGAGGTATACCGTGACAAACAGAAGAGATCCTCTACCAATCTCTAGCATCACTTCAGGGTGAAGCCTAAGCCTCCCCATTTTCGCTGGTTAATGTCTCTTTCTTTGTAGGTTGGTATCGCATAGTATCCCCATTGTTTTTGCTTCATATAGCTCCAATGAGCATGCTTCAACTCATTTAAAATCCCGAATTTGTTGACTTCCACCAGGTTAATTCCACAAAAAAAAAATATCCGTATACCGTAGCCTTCACCTTTTTCGGAGGGAAACCCACTTGAGTAAGTCTCTTTCGCATTTGGGGGGGCTCCAGCCCAACCAGCCCCAAGTCTTTGTGGACGACGTGGCACTTTTGGGCTCGCAGATGGCCGCCGTTTTTGATAGCTCTCCTCCCGGCCTGGCCGCTGGCGGCACACACGAGGACACCGCAGCGATCAAGGCCAACATCATCCAGGAGAGCGAGCGAGCACCTGAAACGAAACTTCGTCACTTGGGAATTTGGCACTGAAAGACATCTACAAGTAATTTGAGGTACCAAATCTAATGTTTATATATATATATATGGTTTATAATATATGTTTTATAATATGTATATATATATATTGTATTATGTGTTTTTGAAATATATACCGTGTATGTATATATATATATATATAGATGTTTCAAATGTATTTGCAGTACATGTGCAATAGATGTGTGTAGATGCATATTCAATATTCGATGATACACACATGACATATTGTGGCAAATAACCCGTCCTCCGGCCACCAGGCCCCCCCTGAATGGGATGTTATCTAAATGATATGGATACAGTAGATACACCATGATAGCATCAGCGTGGCATATGATGCCTCTGCGATAGGATGTGCAAGGGAGGCTCCTCCAAGCCAAGCGTGAAACCGAACAAAAGGTGGCGGCTGAGCTGCCACTTGGCTGCACAAACCTAAGCCACCAGATGTTGGGCTTGCATGGGCTTCCAAAGAGCAACAAAAAACGGTGTGCAAACAATTACAGATATTGTATGAATGGTACCAACCAAGAAGAATCGGAGTCCCAGCTTAGACAATTTCAAATTTAGAGGTGTGGATCCTTACTTTTTTTTCGGCCATGGAAGATCTGTGAAGATCTCCTGGGCCTGTAGGCGTTGGTAAGGGCTGTGTGAAATTGCTAGAGGGACAGTTCACTTTCAGAGTTTGCGTTTCAGGCGAGAGGGTGATGGATGGTCAATCTGGGTGAATGCCTGGTGGATGGTTTCAGTTTTAGTTTTTTTTTTGGTTTTGGTTTTCAAGTCCCCGAGAAGGGGGTTTGCTTGGAATGGCAGAAGTTTCCTGCTGTAGTCTGGATTTCAACGATCACCTTAGATGGTTGTCCAAGATGATCCTTCAAATGGTATCCACTGATTGGTTGCTGTTTGCATTAAGTTTTTGGATAGGGGAACAATATATGCGCATACAGCATACAAGAATAATTACTTTATGTGTGATCTACAGGAAATAGATAGATAGACAGACAGGTAGATAGAACCTATATCCGCCCTTTGGGGTGTTCTCAGGTTAGTTGGTTGTACAGTGCATTCGAAATCCGGTGGCAACCTGCGCCCAGGAAGTTTTTGCACAATGCAATGCATGAGATGGATCAACGTCCCTAGGAAGGGATAGGAGGGATAGGGATAGGGTGTTGTGACAAGTTGGTGACAAATGACACGCCTGAAACTGGAGTTCGACCAAGGATCTATGGCTTTAAGCAGAAACACCAGATTATTTTTTGCCACATGTGGATTGGCAGTGGGGATACACCAACCATCGATGAGGTGAAATCCGAATAAGGGAACCATGTTCGTTCGCTAGAAACATCTTAGTGTCAGAAGCTCACATCAGAGAGCTGGTGAGGGATAGAACGATAGAACTATAGAACCCCAAAAAATCATACGGTCTACGTAAGCTGGGCAGCTGGGCTGGTGGTTCCGGCAGCGGTTTCAACATGTTTCAACGCCGGCGAACATCCCGGGATCATCCCTGTGGCGACGGAAGTGCTGTGAAAAATTTGGCCATGGGGCCGGTGCCACATAGTCTGCTAAGTTGATTTATGACTCCAATATATATATATAATATAATATAATATATAATATAGTATAATAAAATATAATATAATATATAAATATAACTAGGTTTTATGCTAGATAGATCTATAGTTGACGGGTTTTATAAACCTACAACTTTGCGGCACCCTGGCCTGGATGTTGAATTCTCTCAAGGGGCACCTTTTTGTTAAGCCTCGACCCAGAATGATAGCTATGTTTTGATGGGAATCCCCAAAAAATTTTGCGTTTTTTTGCGGTCCTCTGGTCATATTTGGGAATCATAGCCTCTGGTAATCCAACATAGCAACATAGCTATGGAAAATGACCCCTGATTGCGTAGATTCATCAATCCCTTTGATTCAGAAATGCTGAGATTACCACAGAATCACTGCCCAGGTTTGGACATGTTGAATCAACGCCTCGAAGAAGTGCAGATCCTTGGTGGATGCCATGGTTGTATACATCATGATACGTTAATAAGATTTATACCCTTTGGTAAATTAACAGTTTGCTATTGAAGCCATGGCCATAGAAATAGTTGATTTACCCATTAAAAATGGTGGTTTTCCATAGCAAACTGTAACAAAATTGCCATTTTGTGTATATCACGTGACCGCCTCCACCCCCAAAAAAAATGTGGACTCGCAGATGACGATCACCTTCTTGAAAAACGATGCATCGCTTGGGTTTAAACTTGTATGCCTAGAATCAAACACACACATGCAGACATACACCCATAATATATATATATATACACTGTATTTTACATATCATGTATATCTAGATGTATGCAAATAGGTGCGCTCCGAAGATTCCGAAGCAACATGAACATCTGGTCCAGATGCCCAGGATGCCGCAATCCGAGATGTTGGAGGACACTCATGTGATCCAATCCTTGGCCAAAGTGGAACAGCAATGGGGCGCTTCGTCGGCATCGGTCATGGATTGGTTTTGTGGATTGGGGCCCCACAAAAAATCACAGGATGGGTCAGGGTGAGAGTTCTAATGGAGAAACAGCACTGAAGAAGATGGAAACCAACCTCTTCGGTTGTTTTTCCGTGTTTGAACTGGATCATGATATTTTCAACACACCAAGGGAGCTGCGTGAAGTCAAGCTTGGATCAAACTCCAAAAGACCAGCAATCAGACTATTCCATCAAGATCAGAATTTGAAAAGACAACCAAAAAGGATTTGGCAAAAGAATGGACTTAGCACTGGCAGTGTAACTGTCGTGTAGCCAAACAATGAAAACTCGACCGCCTTTCCCGCATGATTTCCAGATCGTCCCTTGAGACCATGCGATTTTTTTTAAGCGTTGCGATAGCGATGTCATCATTCCAAAACGGCCTTGCAAATGGATCCACAAATGGATCCACAAATGGATCCATTTGGATCCATGCTGGGAGCCCAGTTGTCTTTCGAACTTTATGAATTGGCAGGTAAGGAGCTGGGGAAGCTGAAAACGGAGTTGCATCAGATGATCTTCGCGTCTCTTGGCTGAACCCAAGAAATGGGATGGTTTACAATCCCGAAAAAATGGCCTATAGCCTATAGCCCATTTGTTGTTTCCCATGTCAAATTATGTCAAATTCAATTGTGACATATTGTGACCCAACATATGAGCCTTAAAGCCCTTTCTCCTATTTGTTCTGCATGTTTTTAAGCTTATGTGTGTTTTCTATAGCCGCCATTCTTGACTGAGCAACTGTGATTAGCTGCGCAGACCAAGGCACAATCACAATGCTGATTTGATGAAGCATCAGAAGGAGCGTTGTAAAAGATTTGGAGGAACTTGCATGTGCAGCCAATTTGCTAATTGTTTCTAGGTCAATAACAACGGATATAACTATAACATCTATAACCAAGGTCTAATACTGAATAAAGCCAAGTTTCAACAAGATTGATAAAACATATTAAAACATTATAAACCCAAGTTGTATGTGACGTGACATAACCCCCAGACATCATGGTTCTCTTTCCAGCGTTAGCGATCTTGATATAAATTCACATACGGTAGCTACTATATATTAAACTATATATAGATAGCTATAGTATGCTACGGTATTCATGGGGCTTATACCCTCTGGTAAATAAACATAGACCCTGAAAATCACCATTTTTTAATGGAAACTAGTCTTCCAACCCCGACAACTGCCAGGGTCTATGTTAATTTACCAGAGGGTACCATCTGGTTATTTGTTACATAGCCATGGAAAATCACCATGTTTAAGAACGGTAAACCATCTATTTCGATTAGGGCCATTTCCCATGGCTATGTTAAATCACCCTCTGGTAAACTAACATAACTATGGAAAATCACCATTTTTAATGGGAAAACTCACTATAAATGGCCATTTTCAATAGCAAACTGTTAGTCATAACCAGAGGGTATAATGTTTATAAACCAAGCAACATGAAAAACCAGGGAAAACCCACCTGGCAGGACACCTTGGATAAGATTCGGCACGACAGCCTGTCTCGAAGTCCTGGATCTGGCGCCACGCAGATCTCGAATGCCCGCAGCATGTTGGCCACTGGGCAGGGCATAGATGGCGACTGGATTTCTAGTGGCCAGGACGACGATCAAAAAAAAATATATATATATATATATATACACTAGTGTATGCATAACTATTTATATAGTATATCAGTATATATCTAGAATGATCTCTATTTATGAGTATGTTGTGTATACAATAAAACACACATATATATATAGTTTTATAGAGTTTATACGTGTATATGTATATCTATATATATATACCTATATATATATATCCATATAATCTATGTATTACGTATGAGTATACATGTATATAGTATCAATATATATGTATATCTAAATGTACATATATGTATTATGTGTGCATATTGATAAACATTGGAAACACACCAAGAACCAATCTCGCCTCGAAGTCAAGGCCAGTGCCGACGCCCGTATCAAAGCCATCCAGGTTGAGCCGGGCGTGCCGGGCCAGATTCATGGGCCCCGGTGTGGCAATCGTTTTTTCCATGGGGAAACGGGGGGTTAAAACCATGGGGAAAACGATGATGAACATAGTATTACTGAAGATTCATGGATTCCCCATGGTTTTCCCCATGGTTTTCCCAATGATTCATGTATTGGGATTCACCAATGATTTTTTTTGGGACCTTGATTTGCTTCAATCCGGAGGCAAGCCTTGACCATCGAACATGGAGATTGAATCAGCCAAGATTTGGATTTAACAGGCCAACGTGTAGACCGAACCAGTCAAAACTAGAGGATTATATAAACCACATTGAAACCATGAATATTTGGATTTTTTTTTGATGTGTTTCTATGAAGTTGATTCAGATTGGGTTTGTCCGGTCAGATGTGGCATGTCCCAAGATTGCAAAACCATAAAAAGCAGTATAGTTAAATCATTTAAATCATTAGGTATGCATGGGTCATGATTAGGGACACCAAGGCTTGGACCCTCGAAATTTAGCACAAATAAACATCGGCGTTGCATCAAGTCTTCTCTCAGTTGTCCGGCCGGTAAATCCCCGAACTAGCCATGGAGGTTAATAGCTTGAAACATCGAAGTATCCATGTTTGAAGGGTAGATGTTCCCCCAAGAAATTTTGAGGCTAGATGATGCAGATGGTTCCCCAAGAAAAGCGTAGCCCCGTGGTGTCTTGCAGGCGAACTTCCAGAAAATGGACCCCTTGGTTCCCAGAGTGACAGCTCTTGAGCTTCGACTCCATCATTGGCACGCGGCCGGCGGCTTATCAGGGCCGCCTGCGATGGGAGCCCCGCCGCTGGGTGCCTATGGATTTGAGCCCAGGCTGGGGGTTGCCAAACTCCTCCCAGATGCTAGCTGCTAGCTATTGAAAATTGCAATTGTGTAGCGGATTTCCCAAGAAACAATATTTGTTTACCGGAGGCTAAGCAGGATTTTTTTTTGTTTTTTAACGCGCGTGTTTTTTCTCCTTTGGGGGGTCCTAATATGTTTTAACATGTTTTAACTTAGTTTCTATTCAGACTATTCAGACCTAACGTCAGTGCTGGTTGTTGAATTATTGGGAAGTCGGTTCTTGATTTTCCATGGCAATATATGTTTGGGCAGTGTTTCACTTCTATCTGGAAAACTTACCCAGACACATCATTATTATATCACGAGTGATGGTTAATCAACTGATATATGGTTCATGGATGTTCATGGGATATCACATGAGATATAACACTGACATCATGATGTCAATCACATGAGATATCATGATAACATCTATGGTTCATGATGTTAAAGGTGAATATGAACCCAAATTTACCCAGATGGCATGCAGCAAAAAGAGAGTCTTTCTCGCTCCAGCTGGTGGACATCCGAGATGTTGGTAATTTAGTGCAACAAGAAACCATCCCCAATTGACCATCAATGGGTAGTATAAAACATCAAAATATGGCTGCTTTATACTAAGTAATGCTAACATTACTAACATAAAGCTGGCGATGCAATGTGGAAACAAATGGCTTGGGCGCCATGCATATCCTCCGGCGCCCTAAGAATTTCTACTGCAAGGGCAAAGAACATCAATGAACTAGTTATTCAGTTTTGCTATGTGTTGCTTAGGTTTCAGGTTTGGCAGGTGTGCATATGCATATGTTGGAATAATGTTTTATGCTTATCTTGAATGTTGTAGGATAGGTCATAGGTTATAGACATGATTACTAGAAATTCTTCATACGTTATATACAAATATGTTTAATCATTCAAGCCCGATCAATATCCCAATAACAGCAGTCAGTCATCATTATCGTTTATCATTATACACTAATATAACGCATGATCTATGTGTAATGGTCATATTTGGGCTATATATTATCAGTATCTATCTATATCTGGGACATTCCTACCATTATCAATCATCATGCTTTTTACTCCATTATATTATAATATATATATATTATGTTATTATGTTTTGTATATATATATATAGATTTAATATGAACATGCATATATCAGTTATCATTGTCAGTTTTAAATATACAGTTATCATTGTCAGCTATAGTTAAAAATGCATACTACATATATATATATATATATATATGGTACCCCCCCCCCCTGGTACCTACCTTTCCTTGATTTACACTGTAAATTACAGTATAATTTGCTTATTTTCATATGTTGAATTTGATAGGTTTTTTATATTGAGTTTCTTGAGACATGAGTTCAGGCTTGAGTTCAGACTTGACTTCAGACTTGAGTGTCATAGTCTCGATTCCTGCTACCCAAGATCCAAGATCCAAGATTTCCAGAAAGCTTTTTATATTGAGTCTCTTGAGACATGAGTTCAGACTTGAGTTCAGACTTGACTTCAGACTTGAGTGTCATAGTCTCGATTCCTGCTACCCAAGATCCAAGATCCAAGATTTCCAGAAAGCTTTTCTTGGAAATCTTGGGATAAACCCAAGATCCAAGATCCAAGATTTCCAGAAAACTTTTCTTGGATGCACTTGCAGAATCTTGGATGCACCCAAGATCCAAGATCCAAGATTCCCAGAATTTTTTTCTTGGATGCAGGCTGGAAATCTTGGATGCACCCAAGATCCAAGATCCAAGATTTCCAGAAAACTTTTCTTGGAAATCTTGGGATGAACCCAAGATCCAAGATCCAAGATTTCCAGAAAACTTTTCTTGGATGCACTTGCAGAATCTTGGATGCACCCAAGATCCAAGATCCAAGATTCCCAGAAAATTTTTCTTGGATGCAGGCTGGAAATCTTGGATGCACCCAAGATCCAAGATTTCCAGAAAACTTTTCTTGGATGCACTTGCAGAATCTTGGATGCACCCAAGATCCAAGATCCAAGATTCCCAGAAATTTTTTCTTGGATGCAGGCTGGAAATCTTGGATGCACCCAAGATCCAAGATCCAAGATTTCCAGAAAACTTTTCTTGGAAATCTTGGAAATCTTGGGATAAACCCAAGATCCAAGATCTTGGGTGCATCCAAGATTCTGCAAGTGCATCCAAGAAAAGTTTTCTGGAAATCTTGGATCTTGGATCTTGGGTGCATCCAAGATTTCCAGCCTGCATCCAAGAAAAAAAATCTGGGAATCTTGGATCTTGGATCTTGGGTGCATCCAAGATTCTGCAAGTGCATCCAAGAAAAGTTTTCTGGAAATCTTGGATCTTGGATCTTGGGTTCATCCCAAGATTTCCAAGAAAAGCTTTCTGGAAATCTTGGATCTTGGATCTTGGGTAGCAGGAATCGAGACTATGACACTCAAGTCTGAAGTCAAGTCTGAACTCAAGTCTGAACTCATGTCTCAAGAAACTCAATATAAAAAACCTATCAAATTATACTGTAATTTACAGTATAAATCAAGGAAAGATAGCTTCATCCTTTTGAATCCACCCTTCCTAAAGTGTCAAGCACGTGAACCACGTGGTTCGTGCAAAGTACTGGCTGTAGTTTGCCCAAGTGAGAACTTGTAACGCAGCACTTTGTGCAAAGCCTTCATAGCTTCATCCTTTTGAACCCACCCTCCCTCAAGCATGTAACCGTGATTCGTGCAAAGTACTTGCTGTAGTTTGCCCAAGTGAGAACTTGTAACGCAGCACTTTGTGCAAAGCCTTCATAGCTTCATCCTTTTGAACCCACCCTCCCTCAAGCACGTGAACCACGTGGTTCGTGCAAAGTACTTGCTGTAGTTTGCCCGAGTGAGAAATTATAACGCAGCACTTTGTGCAAAGCCTTCATAGCTTCATCCTTTTGAACCCACCCTCCCTCAAGCATGTGACCGTGATTCGTGCAAAGTACTTGCTGTAGTTTGCCCAAGTGAGAACTTGTAACGCAGCACTTTGTGCAAAGCCTTCATAGCTTCATCCTTTTGAACCCACCCTCCCTCAAGCATGTAACCGTGGTTCGTGCAAAGTACTTGCTGTAGTTTGCCCAAGTGAGAACTTGTAACTCAGCACTTTGTGCAAAGCCTTCATAGCTTCATCCTTTTGAACCCACCCTCCCTCAAGCACGTACCACGTGGTTCGTGCAAAGTACTTGCTGTAGTTTGCCCGAGTGAGAAATTATAACGCAGCACTTTGTGCAAAGCCTTCATAGCTTCATCCTTTTGAACCCACCCTCCCTCAAGCATGTGACCGTGATTCGTGCAAAGTACTTGCTGTAGTTTGCCCAAGTGAGAACTTGTAACGCAGCACTTTGTGCAAAGCCTTCATAGCTTCATCCTTTTGAACCCACCCTCCCTCAAGCACGTGAACCACGTGGTTCGTGCAAAGTACTTGCTGTAGTTTGCCCGAGTGAGAAATTATAATGCAGCACTTTGTGCAAAGCCTTCATAGCTTCATCCTTTTGAACCCACGCTCCCTCAAGCATGTGACCGTGATTCGTGCAAAGTACTTGCTGTAGTTTGCCCAAGTGAGAACTTGTAACGCAGCACTTTGTGCAAAGCCTTCATAGCTTCATCCTTTTGAACCCACGCTCCCTCAAGCATGTAACCCACATGGTTCTTGCAAATGACTTGCTGCCAGCACAGATGTAGTTACGAAGAAAGGAAGGAATTAACAGTAAGAAGTAGGTACCAGGGGGGGGGGTTAGCATATATATTTATACCAATATCTGATTCATTCATGTACTACCACTTATCATTCTCCCAATCCCCATGTCCACATCGACTTGGTACCAGGCCTGTACCCAACCCGCCGGACTACGAGGCGACCGTGGAAAGTCCTGATGTGGCCTGGATTGCGATCGCTGAGGATCCCAGCTATTTTGGGGTTCACTAGGTACCAGGGTTTTGACCCATCCCCATATATATATATATTATAATCATAGGATCTTATATAATCATATCTCTAGTACCTATTTTAGTGAACCATCGTAGCATAGTAGATATTATATCCACCAGTTAGTAGTGTATAATGATCCAAACGGGGGTACCCCCCAAATCATCCCAGTCATTAGACATATTAGACCATGCCTTAGTATTGACACCCATGGTGACTTGGGGATCCATCATTTTCAGAAGCCCCCATATCTTAAGGTCCCCCCAAAATCCAAACTCATGTTTGTCCATGTTTCTTAATATAGGCACATCAACAATCTCAATCCATTCGTCAAATGAGATATGGTGAGAATGTGATTGAAACATATTGACCCCCCAAACATTTTTTTTTTTAAAATTGAACGGAGTGGGAGCCCGATGGGGAATCAATTGATGGGATTAAGCAGGGTAATTACAAGGTTGTAACGAGCGATTTGACAACCAACAATGCGGATAATTTTGTCACCAAAACGCGCTAGGTACGGTAGAGTAACTATATATCCCCAAACAGCGCACTTATCAGGTTGGTCAATTAGTATATATACTTCAACCAGAATTTGCTGGGTTTTCTTGGTTAGGTAGGTTAGTCACTTGCCGCATTCCGCCACACATGGGGGTGGAAAATTCTACTATTAGCTTAGCAGCTTATGAAAACCCTAACAGTTAGGGGAAGTGTGTTACACTGGGGAATGTTTGTTGTATTTCATTGTCGTTATCCCCGTTTGGGCAGCTTTCTGCGTTTTTTTTTGAAAGGGTCTGGTGAAGGGTAACCAGATCTATCCACAATTTCGAGCAGGTCAGCTAGTTAGTTGTCTGTGTATTACCTACGCCTCACCCACAGAAATGGAAGATGGAGAATAGCCTGGTAACTCAATACTTTATGAGTACTTTATGCCAAAGCATTTTGTTGAGTCTAATGTTGAATTTGCAAATAGCGTGAAAACAACCACGGAAGAGGGGGTTACTATGTAGGTGGCTAGCACTGTTGCACATCACTTAGTCACTGGTTTATAGATTAGAATCCTGCCTGTCGCGGACTAGCTGCTGACTAGCCATGGTTGCCCCCTTATAGCTATGACCGGGTTTGCATCCCGCTTCCCAAGATGAACCAACATTTTTTGGAAATGCAACATGGAGTCCCCTATCCCGTAGGTAAAGCCCTGTCATTCCTGGGCCCCGGGTCAAATGGTTTAATCAAAGGCGCGCTGGTCGCTGGTGCTATTGTTTGACATATGTTTTCTGTTGTGGATCATGACTTGAAGTGATGGTATGGACTGGTACGGGGTGAGACCTATGGGCCATCTAAGAATCTATGGCCTATGGCTTTAATAGCCTTCGGCATTCCGCAGGCCATTTGGCTTGCGGCTGGGACAGGGGCATGAAGGAAAAGGCTAGTTGACACTTAACCCAGTTGGTGCCAAAAGCTGGTTGGCGCAAAAACTAGTCTGTACAAAAGCTAGTTTGTGTAAGAAATGGGTAGGTAAAAGCTAGCAGCTAGTTGGTGTGAAGCTGGGTTGAGTAAGGGTGTAAAAGCTAGTTGGTGTAAGAAATGTGCTGTAGGACAGCTATTTTGTTTAAAAGTAGTTGTGTAAAAACTAGTTTGTGCACAAAGTCAGTTGTGTAAAAGCTGGCTTTTGGAAAAAACAAGTTGGTGTAAACGACTAGGTCAAAAAATAGTTTGTTGGAACACACGCTACTTTGTGTAAGAGCTAGTTTGTGCAAAAAGTAGTTGGTGTCTTTTGGTGTAAAAGTTAGTTGGTGTAAACTTGGTTTTGTCAAGGGTAGTTTTTGAAGAAGTCAGTTTGTGTAAAACTAGTGGTGTGAGACGTAGGCGTACAGATTCGTTTGTGTAAATGCTAGCGCTAGCTTGTACCAAAGCTTGTTGCAAAAGCTGGTTAACGCAACACCTTGGCCGTGTGGTTTGGCGCAAAAGCTGTGGGAAAGTGCAGCATCCAAGGCCCCGTTTTTGGTGATCCCACCATTGGGATTTCCCTGTCGACCCAGGATGAGGAAAATGAGGAGGAAGACGAGGAAGAAGACGCAACTGGGACTTTCTGGGCGCTGGTGATTGACATTGGTTATATCAGGTTCATGCACCTTCTATCCATGAAGAACAAGTCTGAGAACCCTGAATGTGGTGAACCCAGTAATGATAAAACAAATCATCCCCAGAATCACAATAAATGGATGGTATAAACATCATAAACCGTCCCCAAATGGGAGGTTTATCATTGGGGGAAACCCACATTCATGAAGGGTTACTGATTAATTAGCTAAACCTTGCTTGGGTTAATGTTTTGCGGCAGGGTATCCCAAATTGGCTAGGTCACTAGGTCAACCGTGTAGCCATCAACGCCATTGGTTTTTAAGCAAGATGCAAAAACAATGGTCATCATATTGATGTAGTACCCCATGTAACCCCAAAAATGCTGGAACAAGTGCAGTTTAACACTATTTTAGAAGGGTTTTATATATATGTGTCTATCTTTTTGTATATCTCAATTCCACCTATGAAGTTATTCCGCACACTCAACATATTAGGATATATTAGGCAGGTTTGATCTGAGGGAACATGTGCAGCAGTTCCATATTTAGTTGATGTTACATATACAACATATACACGGTTTCTTTCTCTTTGACTCAACTCCCCATTTCTTGCTGGTGATACCCCCCGGATAGTCTTGTTGGATCTTGTTGGTGAATATCCAAGGGCATAATTCTTCTCATTTTTGATTCGTTTTTTTCTAAAAATTGCGATGCCCCCTGTTTAAAATGAGGATCTAGACCCTGGGATGGATTGGCGGTTTTACCTCGCATTTTCAGGCCCGCACCCCACACTTTTCAACAAACTTTATTTGAATTGTAAATTGAAAACGAAACCTTACAAGACCTTATATATATGTGTGTGTGTGGCAACCCTAGAATAAAACCTTGGACTATGAGGTATGTGTTTTGCCTGGACAAGAAACTGCAAAACACTGTTGCTCATTTTTTTGGACCCCTATGTTTTTTGGACCATCCAAGGATAATCTTGGAGCGCTACGTGGCATCCTGGGCAAAGCTATCGATGCGAGCTACTCGACGCAGGGGATTTGGTGTCATCGCCCGGTGGGTTTACCTTGGTTTAATCGTTTAACCATGACACATGGTGGGTGCATATGGTTCAAAGATGATGAAATACATTGAAATATCATATTGATAGAGTCTATCTGATAGAGGAAATGGTATGGTTTTACCATCAAAGAATGGTTGGTCTGTTCAACATGGTTTAAGATTTTCTAAATATCCTGAAGCGGGGATATCTATATTTATATGTATATATGTACATATCAAATTCGACCAAGAAGGTTCCCGCAATGAGCGTACGAACAAATAATTCGAGGTTTCTAAGAGGCTGACTACTGACAATCATCACAGGATGTAGTCAGCAAATCATGGGCACTCCTAAGCCATATGTTTAATTGATTATCTATATACATATATACGCATATATATGTATCTGCATATATGTATACATATGAGGCAGGGTCAAAATTAGCGTAGACCAGCTATGAAGAAGGGGACCAAAAAGTCATGCAACAACAACATGCATCCAGCACTGTAAAGCGATAGGGTCCCCAAAAAAAAACGAGAACCCAAAAACATCGCACAAACACGTATTCCGTTGTTCCCCCTTTGTTTTACACTTGTCCGTTGGCGATAACCATAGCGATAAACTAACGATAATCATTTGTTGAAAAGGGGCCCCGGACCAAGGATAGACTCATTTGATCCCATTGGTATCTCTTTCCAGAGTGATTCAGCCATTTGGCTGTTGCTGCAGCTATGCTTGCAGCGACTAGAACATAGAAATGACATGAACTGACATATCTTTACAAAAAAAAAACAAACAAAAAGGGACACCTTGCCACGAAGCTGATGTTTGGCATCTTTGAACACATTTCCGCCGCATTTTTGCATTATTGAATGTGCTGATTTGAACAATGCACTGTAAAGCGATAGGTCACTCCCAAAAACCCATAACCAGCCCCAGGTCGCCATGGCGACCTGACATCCTCAATGAATCAAATGGCAATAGTATAGTTGTTCAAAACATGGTACTAATTGGTAACAGCAGCAAATAGCAGCAACAACCATGACAATTGTCATCAGGTCATAACTATGGTTACATGGATGGCAATAAGAACAAACCACCATCATCCACCATCTTTTTTGATATCAACAAAAACCCAAGTGGTAACAGGGCTGCTGCTCGCGCAAGGTTCAGCTGGCTGAGCCCCAGCGCCACGTGCTGGGGCCGTGCCTTGCGACCCAGATGTAGTCAGTGGGCCATGGGATGCCATGTGAAAACCATTTTAATTGTTAAGGATATATGTTTTAATAATGGTCATAATAATTGTTAATAGTGGTTAATAATTTAAAACCATGTATACACCATATTACCACTTGGTTTTATAATGTTTTATAAGCATTATTTATGATACTTGGTGAACAAGATATATGAATGCTTTAAAATATATTTACCAGTAATAATCAAAAGTGTTGAGATACTTGGTGAAGATGTGGAGATAGTTCGTTGATCATAGTTAACAACTCATTCTACGAGGTCTTCGGAAAACTCTCCATGGATCGGTCCGATCCAAGAACCTCGTGGCCCATGTGGCCGTTTAACGGGTCATTTGAACAATTCAAGGCATAGCGGTTGACTCTTCCGCACAGATCCGGGCTCAATGTAGCTATGAGGACAAACCGAACACAGCAGATGGGAGGAAAAGGGCTGAGGGATTTGGGGGTCGGTGTGGCATTAGCGTTGCTGCTTGCCCAAGCAGCCTAGCATTAGGCGTTAGGCGTTGCTCGCTGTGGCATTTGTTCGACAGAGGTTTAACACGATGAACCATTTGGGTTGTGCTGTGTTGTGCTTTCAATGTTCAAAGGTATTTGGGTCAACCTTGGTTAGATACTTTACAGTAGTACTTTAATCTGTTGCTGTCAATGGTATATAAATTCTACATACCTGCTAAAAATATCTAAGAATCGTTTTTTGCAGGCATCTAAGATTCACCATGGTGTTAAGAATGTCCCATCCTGTTTGGCGGACAATGCAACCATTTGATGGATTGAAACCAGCAACCAGAAACGCAGTGCGAAGTGTATAGTCCAATTCAATACTAAGGAGAAACAAAACAGCAAGGACAATTTAATATAACAATAAACAGTAATAGCAATATACAACAATGGGTTCAACTGTTTGATATGATAGTAACACATATTGAATATCCATGAATATCCACTTTCAGCGAACACATCTTGGGTTGTTTTAATCCTGCAGCCTTGTCCCGTTCGAGCCGTGGTATTTCCCAGAAAGCCATGGTCAAAATATGGCCATGTTGTTTCCATGAAAGGTTGGTCATCCCCCATTTTTCGGGGTATTGAGGGAGGCATAGCCAGATCCATTTGATAGATGAATCATGATGATTCCCGAATGTTGGATGATTAGAAGTATATTATACTTCAACAAGGTAAGCATTTTCCACGTTTTTCTTTGAGGGTGGAAAATTGTTGAAGTTCAAGGGTGGAATATTGTTGATGCTTTCCGGGAACGGTCAAGTATGTCCAAGTTCCATCTCGATGTCGAGATGATCCCTTAATTATTAATTACAACTTTCATATATATATAGGCGTGTGTATAAATATATATATATATTTAGGTATATATACCGCAGGGATTGGTTTTTAAATCTGTAGGAAACCATGGTTTGCACCATCAAATATAGGGTTTTCCTGCAGATTTTGCACCAGGCCCAGGGAAAGCCATCTGAGGCCTCAAAAGCCTGAAGTCCACGTGAGAACAGACCAGTTGTCAGTGGCAACTGGGATCCCATGGGGGGGCCAGGGTTACGTCGCCATTCCAAGATTTGGACGAAGGCATGGAAAATCTTGGATATGTCATTGAAGTCATTGAAGTCATTCGAAAGTTGGACATGTTGGACATTGAAAATCACTGAGCTTCATGTTAGGCCATTTGAATTTTTAAAGCACGCCTATCGTTTTTGAAAGTTATTTGAAATTGATCCCATCCTATCCCCATCAAACCCTGATTTCGAATTGACTTTGCTCGAATTCTTTCCGTTTCTGGAGTGCAAAAACGGACGTATTAAGTGCCAAAGGGATTGATACGAAAGGATTTTATCAGAACAGCCCCTCATGCAGGAGTGATTTGTCCACTGAAAATAATTCAAAATGCTGGGTTTTTAGAAAGTTTTAGAAGGGGGTTATTTTGATGGTACTTTGCGTCTTACAATATCTTTGCACCAGCAAATGCAAACATGTGTCATCGTATTTACACTGCCCAGAGTCAACATGCATGAATCTTTTGTAACTACATGTATAGATTGATAGATGAATAGATAGATGGATGGATGGATGGATGGATAGATAGATAGATAGAATAGATATATAATTGCATAGATAGATAATTAAACAGATCGATATGGATATAGATATAGATATAGATTTAGATAGATACAGACAGACACACAGGCAGACAGACAGACAGACAGACAGACAGACAGACAGACAGACAGACAGCCAGACAGGCAGGCAGGCAGGCAGGCAGGCAAACAGGCAGGCAGGCAGGCAGGCAGGCAGAGAGATAGATAGATATAGATAGATATAGATAGATATAGATAGATAGATATAGATAGAGATAGATAGAGATAGATAGAGATAGATAGAGATAGATAGTTATAGATAGAGATAGATAGAGATAGATAGAGACAGATAGAGATAGATAGAGATAGATAGAGATAGATAGAGATAGATAGAGATAGATAGAGATAGATAGAGATAGATAAAGATAGATAGAGATAGATAGAAATAGATAGATATAGATAGAAATAGACAGAGATAGATAGAGATAGATAGAGATAGATAGAGATAGATAGAGATAGATAGTCATAGATAGAGATAGATAAAGATAGATAGAGATAGATAGAAATAGATAGATATAGATAGAAATAGACAGAGATAGATAGAGATAGATAGAGATAGATAGAGATAGATAGAGATAGATAGAGATAGATAGAGATAGATAGAGATAGATAGAGGTAGATAAAGATAGATAGAGATAGATAGATACAGGTCGATAGATGTAGATAGAGGGATCGATAGATAGATGGATGCAACAGCATTTACGCTTTGTGAAATGAATTGCTTATCCTACCAATCATGGACAACGAGGGACGATGTGCCGATTGACATCTCAGGTGCAATCAGTGAACGTGATCTTGAAAAAGTGGCTGCCTCAAGGGCAAAGTGAACGCGACGATTGGAGTTCTGCAGATTATACCGTTTATATAGTTTATATCGTTATTTTTTCGAAAAGAACGGAACACTTGGATATCATCCGTTAGAGTTCTGAACAGTCAGTAGAATGGGGGGGAGAGGCCAATTGATGGATGTTTTCAGCACCCCAATTTTTAGTACCAACAGATGAAGAATCAGCGAGAGAGAGAAAGAGAGAGATATTTCACTTGCCATGGCTACGGGGAGATATTCATGAAACCCACTGCACTCGGATGCCTATTTCCAGGTCACATGTTTCATGAATAGGCATCCGGGTGCAGTGGGTTTCATGAATATCTCTCCGTAGCCATGGCAAGTGAAATATCTCTCTCTTTTCTCTCTCTCGCTGATTTCATGATCATCGGTTTTATGAAACACATGTTTACAGTGCTCTATGACACTTGTAGTTTCAAGCATTTTTTAATGTTCACTGGATCCATTGGGAAAAGTGCCTATCTTTAGTACTTCAAATGAGTAGGAACTAACGTTTCTGGGTAAATTACAGTGACCTCACAGTGACCTCGCTGGAATCATGATTAGGATTTGGAAGATTTGGGGAGTCATCCCCAAATGGCCGAAGTATTAAGGTTATTAGTTATTGAAAACTATGATTGACTAGTCTTTTTATATATATACAGTAGAATATTTATCCAGAAGTTTTTGTTGCCATCCGTGTGTTTATGTTTTTCTATGGACGTTCATCCTGAATGCCATGTTCCTCCATTGGACGACGATAACTGTGAGGTCACGGATGGTTGCGAAATCTTGCAGCAATTGATAGATCTGGGTAAGTTTCATCACGACCGAGCCCTGGGAATCATGGTTAATAAAGTTTATAGGGACATCATCCCCAAATGGCCTTCATTCAGGTGTGTGAAATATTAGACTTTACCCAGAATAGATTGTTTATCCTATGATATATAGCCTTTTATTCATCCAAATGGGTGCAGGATTTGGATAGGAGAAATACATAGAAGCACATAGAATTACTATAATGACCTCAGCACGTCGTCACTATAAATGATTTTCAGTAGGTGGCTTCACAAACCAGGTAGGTTGGTGAAGTATTGTAATTCAACCATACATTCTAGAATTGGTTGAAGGGAAAATTCAAACCGGAAACCTCTATATTTTGGTGGAAAAGAACTCAAAAACCTGAGGGGGTCCCATTCATTTTTTGACCTAAATCAACCCATTCACTGTATGCCATTTCTTGAATTTATAAACACGCGCATATGCATATATGCTAAAATATGTTATATTCTTTTTCTGGCATGTGCCTAAAGATATGCTTATTGCAATTATTATCCTAATGCGTGTTATGCACTGCTGAGGCTGGATGAATTTGGCCTTCACTTGCAGCAGTCCTTCAGGTCGCCACTGAAGGAACAATGATAGGTTGATGTATTCATCAAGAATACCCTCGAGTAATGAAACGTGGCAATATGAAATTGTTAACAGGATCTAATAGGAACATCATCGCACTAAATGGTGTATTTTCCATCTAGCCACGTTTGGTTACTTGAGGCTACACTGTATGTTGCTTTGGTATGCGGTCAATGGTCAAGTTTCATTTGTGAGAAAGTGAAGGCTCACTGAAAGCTAGCTCGTCATTTTTGTATAGAACATAAAAAAAAGATGAACAACAGTAAGAAAAACACATGTTTATTTTTTTGTCCATCTGATTTGTTTTCATTTTAGAATATTTTTTTGCGGGCTACTCCTGACATGGCCCCTCCAGTTCTTACAAGAGGTTGGTTTTGAAGGGGTCAGGAGACCGTCTCATGTATATAGATTGGGAGCATCAGTGGTGCTGATTGCATAGTTGCGTATACCAGCCTTTATTAATGCAAACGTCACACAATGGTTCACAGATGGTTTAACAGATTGCAATTGGTACGCGATAGATCTTGATGCAGCTTTATGGGATA